GTCTCGGACGCGCTGGAGCTGGTCTCAGCGGTGGTCTCGGACGCGCTGGAGCTGGTCTCGGCGGTGGTCTCGGACGCGCTGGAGCTGGTCTCAGCCGTGGTCTCGGTAGCGGAGGTGGTCTCAGCCGTGGTCTCGGTAGCGGAGGTGGTCTCAGCGGAGGTGGTCTCGGCGGAGGTGGTCTCAGCCGTGGTCTCAGTGGCGGAAGTGCTCTCCTCCGAGGTGGTCTCGGCAGAGGTGGGTTCGGTAGAGGTGGCCTCGGTGGTGGTGCTTTCGACGGAAGTGGTCTCGGTGGAGGTGGTCTCGGTGGAAGTGGTCTCAGTGGAGGTGGTCTCGGTGGAGGTGGTCTCGGTAGAGCTCTCGGTCATGGAGCTGGTGCTCTCAGTTGCGGTGGAGCTAGACATGGTCGAGGAGGTAACGTCGTCACGCGGGTATCTGAAACCCGGGTTCACTTGGCGGCCCAATGCGGTGACCAAGTTGATGCAAGCTTGGGAACCAATGGCACCGGCCAGCACTTCGGTGCAGCCATCGGCCTGGAAGTTGGGGAAGCCGGCGTAGAGACCGTTGGGGCAGGAGAAGAAGTTGGCGTTGCCTGTACCGTCGGCCGCGAACCAGTTCAGTCTACCATCAACGAAGCGGATGGAAGCATTGACAGCATTGACGCCCTCGTTGACAAGGAAGCCCACGACGGCCTCGGTGGCACCATTTTGCTTGGCAATGGCCCGATCATACGAGACGAGCTTGCCAGTGTCCAGGATGAGCGGGGTAGCGAAATCGCACTCCTCAGCGGGAACGTCCTGCGAGTTGGTGTTGTCACCGTCAATCAGGTTGACCACGACCGCGGGAAGGGCAGTAACGCCAACTTGCTGACGACGTTGAATGGCACGCTTCGCAGGCTGACGGGCCAGGGCGGTGAAGCCGAGGACAAGGAAATCATCCTGCAGATCGGTGACAACTCCATCGGGGAAGCCGTCACCCAGGTTCAAAACCGGGGCCGAGGTGATGGTGCTGGAAGGAGCACTGGTCGAGCTGGACACGCTGCTGGTGGTCTCAAAGGTGGTGCTCATGGAGGTGGTCTCGGACGAGCTCATGGAGGACATGGTGGAGTCCGTGCTCGCTCCCGTGCTAGAGGCCGTCGAGCTGGCTGACATTGAGGTCGAAGGGATTGTATAACCAGAGTAAAAGGTGTTTCTGAAGTCCGAAAGAACGACAACCGGGGTGGGAGCATTGAGCACGGTGAGAGGCTGGCCGTTTCTGAACGGGTCGATCACTGTGTTGTACGGGATGAACTCGCTGTAGAAGATGGGCTGGACGATGACGCTGACGGTCTGGAAAGCTGGGCAGATAGCACCGTTCGGGTCAACGTCGACGATGGCGCGGGGCGCCAGCATCTCGACATCGCGAGCATGGTAGCGAGCCGCTGCGCCGGCGGCAAGGAGGGGAGCGACGAGTCCAGTTGACTTCATTTTGCTAGATTATTGGTTAAAAGGCAAAGAACTAAAAGAGTGGATGGCAAAGGTTGCCGGGCGAAGAAGCAATGAATGAAAGTATAGCCGGATTACGAGAGTGAGTAACTGTCGAAGATGTTGACTAAATACGAAACCTTTATCATGTCTGGGTGCTGTGAGCAAGTGGCATTCCTCTGCTTGTTGTGATGCTCAGGCATGTTTTGCGAGCCCCAAGAAAGGTTGCGTGAGATCAATCTGCGCGGCATACCAACAGTCAGGAGTGGGCGGAGATAATGGTTCCGGTCCTGACCCGTGGTGACTCGTGGGAGGTGGAGGTGAAACAGCCTTTGGGTGATTGAGCTCGCATTCCAACGAGTGATAAGGTTCCAGAAGGTATGCACCCTAAAGCATCTAGAAGGCGACAATTAATATCCGTACATCCGCCGGTCAATCTCTGACTGTTGAGCGGATGTCCAGAATATTCGGCCTCGGTTTGTACACATACACGCATTCTCTGGATATGGTAAACCTGATTTACCATCGAGTATCGGATCCGCACCAAGGTCGCGATCGGGAAGAAAACAACTATAGGTGCACGTGCGTTATCCATGCAACTTTGATTCCAACTTGACAATAGGGAAGTCAAGGTATGTAAGACCATGGCGCAATCACAACCCTATGGGGACCCAGCGAGAGAACATCGTCGAGTTCGCTCAGGAGAGGGAGGTCGTTTGCCAAGGCCAACCCAACCCCTGCCAAGGTAACCCCCTCAACCACGACATCTGATCGACCCTCCCTATCATTCCAGTCGGTCGTTCCGGTCCAGCACTGTCAGCCTTCCCTCTCAAAGATGTTCGTTCTTCAGACACTGTTGCTGCTACAGCCTTGGCTGGGCTCATGCTGATCGCAGATGATGTGTCTCCATGTCGACCGCCTTGGCCATCAGGCGACCAGCGTTACTACCGGATGACTGCCACCTTATCTCAGCCGCACTATCGTGGTGCTTGTTGCTGTACAATTTCCTCACCTACATCGGAAGTGGAGTTTCGGTGTACATCAGAGGCTTTGTCCTTGTACAGGCATCTTTGCGCCCCCAAGCATCGGCCGCAGGACTCGCGTCTGATGTAAGGCCGCACACACGTGAGAAGATGCAGTTAGATGGTGAGCAAGTCGGTTGCCTAGCTCTTCTAGTCTGCGAGTTCTGTGCTGCTCGCCGTTTGGACTACGTTGAATGGGTGAGATCGCTTACTTCCTAATGGTTTAACATCTACAGCTTCCCAGCTTTGTCCTTGTGCAGAATTTGTCATTGCTTAGGCTGTAAGAGACGCGCAACGGAGCTGGACCATAACATCAAAGAACAGGCATCCGAACGACCCTATACAATGTATTCCGAAGATCAATCAAACGCGACGTTCAGTGATCTCCCTCCCGAGATCCTCCTCCAAGTAATCCGCTCGGCCAATCTGGGAGGGAACATCCTCCCACTCCGCCTGGCCTCCCAGAGGCTGCACAAAGCCATCGACCACCAAGCCACGCTCCTGCTCTGCGACCTCCGCAACTCCTACAACCTCCCACATATCCTTACGGATTCAGCGCCATCGCCTTGCGCATCGGCGCTGCCCAAAGACGACTCTCACCTCCTCAATCTCCTCACCCTGCAAACCTCCCTCTCCCACCTCCTATCATACCCCACCCTCTCCCACTCCACCGAAACAGCCACGCTCCCCTGCCTTCTGCTCACCTCCCATCTCCACCGCCTCCTCACCAGCGCCCCAACACAGACCTCCTCCTCTCCACCCGCGATCCTCTGCCCCTCCACAACCCTCCTCACCAGCACCACCACGCCCCTACCGCCACCCTACCTCGCCGCCCTCTCCTCCCTCCCGCTCCACGACCTCGACACCTTCCTCGACGGCGTAAACGTAACATGCACCGTACTCTGGCGCGCCGTCGAGGCCTGCTGGGCCGCCAAGCCCTGGGCCGTCGGTGTGGACGCCGACCTCGAGCGTGCCGTCGTTGCCGAGATCGCGCTGTGGCGCGGCGTCCGGTGGTGTCTGGACGCACTGCGCGGTGTGAGAGAGGGGCGGATTCGGGATTTCGAGGCGTTGTTTGGGGCGTATGTCGCACCGCTAGCTAGGGAGGGCGAGGCTGAGGTGGTACCTGCGCTGGAGGACACAGGGGAGGAGAGCGGTGGTGTCGTCATCCGTGGAAGCGTGTGGCGGGGCCGTCAGGAAGAGGCGACGAAGTTGGCGACCGGTGGGCTGGCGGCGTGGCTGTGGGGGGAGAGGAAGCGGAGGCATCAGGAGGAGGTGGCGGCGAATGGCGGGAAGCCTTTGGAGGGCGTCAGGGTCTTTCTGGGGGTGGGCGTGCTGTAGGCGACTTGCGATTCGGGGGAGGGGCGTGATGTGACTTGCGCGATGCGTGTACTGCAATATACTGGTAGCTCCTCTCCTATGATGATGTAGCAGGGCTGGCTGCCGACATGGAAGTAACTTCAGATAGGCGAGTGGCGAGTGACAATGTCTAGGTAGATCAAAGCGTCGATATTTCCCAAGCTTGACTGTGACATCTATCATGTTCGGAAGGCTGGAAGGGTGTACCGAAAGTGACCCCCCTTCGACCGAACCTCAACGCAGTGAGGTATAGCATCACAGCATTTATCCACCCTGAAGAGGTTCGTACTCTAGAGGCTTCAGACAATATACACGCACGAGGTATTACATTAGTTCTATTATTGGCGCGCATCACGCTGCGTTGAATAGCAAGTGGAATTTTCTCGGAGTGGTGGTAGTGGTGGATGCGGGCTACATTCCCGACAACAATTATATTCTCGAATCATGCCAATGAACTCCAAAGACTCTTTATGGGGCAACTATCATCTTTTGCTACTGTAATACTACTTCGTGAAGTTGTCATCGCATCTTACGCCAGGGAACACTCTCCAACCACCATTCTACAGCAGCAAATCCCCCTGCTGCGCCCCGCCCACCGGCTGCATCACCTGCTGCGGAGCATTTTGGTTGACTACAAAGCCGGCTTGGGTGCCATTCGTCGGGCTTGCGAACGTATCGACATTATTGCTCAGGCTGAGATTCTTGAAGTACTCATCCGCCGCTGCGATCGCATCAGGCTGACCGACCGCCTTTGTGTCCACTGCCAAATGACTGGCTGCGAGCGCGGAGCTGAAGTCCTCCTTGCGCCGTTGCAGTGCTGGGGAGGGTGTCAACTTGCGGGCGCGAGCAGTGCGGAAGACCTGCTGGACGGGCTTGAGATAGATCGTGGCGAGCGTGCCTATACAGAGGCAGAGCTCTTCGAGGGTGTTGGGGTCCAGCTTTTCGGAGTCGGCCGTAATGGGTGGCTTCTGGCCCATGACCACCTTCTTGGCGGCTTCAGGGTCGGTTGAGAGAAGTCGCCAGTACATAAAACCGCGATCGCGGAGGTCGGGGTCGTCGATCTCTTCGGTGCACCACTTCAGGACCTGGGGAACGAGTGATGAGCCTTTGGCGGGCCGCTGAAGGAAGAGCTTAACTGTTGCAGTGAGAAGAGCGAGCTGCACCTCCGTAGACTCTTCGTGGAAAGTTGCAAGATAATCTTGTAGGAGCGAATCGGCATTGTCGATGCGGTCGGCATATTGGCCAATGATCCAGACAATAGCAGCTTTGGCTTCGGGTTCGTCCAGCTCGTCAATCTGGCCAATGACGGTGGAAATAATGCCTTCGTATTGATTGGGGTATTTGCGGAAGATGTTTTTGATAACGACTGTGGCTTCTTGTACAATGTATGGGATACGAGCATTGACGAGCTCAAGTAAGGTATCAATACACTGACGTGCAGCGGGCTCGATCTTGATTGCAAGCTTTCCGATGGCGCGTACGGCTTTACGGACGAATTGGACATCGATTTCTGTGGCATACTCTTTCAACTCGTTCAGAACAATGCTGATGTTGTCCTTGTTTGCGAGCATGAAGATGAGCTCCAGCTTGGTGACTTTGACGTAGATAGGGTCGTTGTATTTGCAGAAGAAGACGCGGATGTCAGCAGGTAGGGCTTCAGGTCGTTGCTGTAGAATGAGGATGGCGTTTCGCAAAGCAAGATATTGGATCTCTGCAGGCTTCGATAGTAGAGTAACAAGCGGAGGTGAGAGCTTCCGTGATATCTCGACGATTTTGTCCTGGTGGTTCATATAGTTTGTCAGATACATGATGACACGTATACAATTCAGGACGACGCCGGAATTGGAGTGTGATAGCCGAGGGAGAATTCGTTCGGCGAGGAGGGTAGCTTCGTCGGATGATTGAGGTACGTACGATGTCATGGCTTCGAGTATGTAAGCTTGACACCATTCGTTAACATCCGGAAGAAGAGAGACAATCTTGGAGGCGCTGGTGTAGTCTATAGTGAGCTTGATGTTCTCACTACGCTCCCAGATATCGGTTAGGGAGGCCAATGCACAGGCGATAACAGTGGCGTTCTCGTCTTTGAGCATCCGATTCAGTCTCTCGATGAGGTCTGAGTTTTCAACCAAGCGCTTGTCGTGATCGTAGACTTTTGCGACGGTCATGGCTGCGTGCTTTCGGACATAGGGATCCGAGTCTTCCATAAGTTTCCTGAGGTGTGGTATAGTGCCTTCCACAAATTCCTTGACATGGACATACGAGATTGTCCGCAGAGCAAGTGCCCGAATCAGGGGATTCGCATCGGTCAGGTCCTGACTTGTTAGCAGCGGACCAGTCGGCATCAAGCATGCGCACCTCTTGCAAGATGGGAAGTGCCCTTAAAGCAATCTCAGGCTTCGTTCGAGCATAGTTCTGAAGATAGAGAAAGCACCTATCTAGAATTAGTTGCGGTAGATTTAGGCAGCGGTTAGATGCACATCTTCTTGATATCCAGACTTGAGATCTCCATGCAATTCAAGACATCTGGAAATAACGCAACCATGTCATTGTTGCTCATAGTCATATTGGCGACAATCTTCTTCAGAGCATTCTTTTTGGCGGCATGATTCTTATCCTTCTTGCCGCCGCCGCTCAACTCCTGGCGAAGCTCTGCTACTTTGCCCTGTCAAAACCTGTCAGTCACCATAAAAGTCTCAGCCACATTATTCTGGAAAGGCTTCAAACGGGCAAGGCCAATTCGTTCCTGGGGGCCCGATGGGGGAAAAGACACTCTCTCGACCCAGACGCATAGGTGAGACGTCATAGCTTCGTAAGCACACGTGGTCAACCGCATCTTTGTGTTGAACGAGTCTGAGATCGTTTGGCTTGCATTGATCTCGAGTGGCGAAGCCGTGCAAGCAACCCTTCTGCACAACGGTCCTTCTCTAGGATATCGTGGGTACAGCTTTGCAGAGCCCCGGCCTTGCAGGAGTGAAATGGATAAGGGCATCCTCCAGATGTCACACCGCCAACGTCTGGAGACATGGGGACGGGAAGCCTGGCGCCTTGGCCAGAAAGGGGGACTCACTCGCGCAAAGAGCTTTGCATCTCCCTGTCCTGAAGACATCTCGGCTCACTTGAAATCACACCCAGCCACCTCTAACTTCGCATGTCGTCGAAATGGAGGGTGAAGAATCGGGAGCATGGGTTGAGAGGAAGAGGGGATGAGGTTGACCACCCAAACTTGCCAAGCGTCATGTCGGAAGAACTCTTCCACCGATGCCGACGTTCTATCTCGCTTTCCCTGACACATGCGCCGCTGCATCTGGTCACTTCATATAGACTCTACAAGCAACAGAAGCACCCCGGAGACCACCAAGTCCCATCTCAAGTCCGTCGCAGACCCTGATCCTTCAACACTCGAGCGCGTTACGTACAAGTCCGCCTAAGAACACGCCAACATGTCTCTCCAGAAGTCTTCCGGTGCCGTGCCCGCTCCTCCGAAGTGGGTGGTAGACGTGAACAACGGCCTCCCCCCGAGATCGAAGAACGCATCGAGCATTCCCGATCCCCCGGGCTTCATATCTGCCAAATCAGTCTCTGCTAAACAGGTAAGACTACCTCGTGGAAGTGTAGATTGATCTGACAAGGGGACAGAAAGCACAGAAAGAGGGCCGTAAACAACCTTCTCCCGTGGAGATGAACACTTTGAAGCTCAAGAAGGCATGGGAAGTTGCCCTTGCGCCGGCGAAGCAGATTCCTATGCAGGCTATCATGATGTATATGTCTGGCAATACTCTCCAGATCTTTTCCATATTCATGGTCTACAACCTGTACGTGGCCTTGGTGTCTTGCTCAAGCGCATAGCTGACGTGTGTTAGATTTAAGAGTCCGATTCAGGGACTGACCCAAACAAACACAATCTTCACTAGGTTCGAGGGTGCCGGATCACATGCGCAGATTCTTGGTATCAAGGTATCCTACGTGCTGATGCAGTTGCTGCTACTTGGCTTGGGCATCTACAAAGTCAACGCGATGGGTCTGTTGCCAACAACACGGAGCGACTGGCTGGCATGGGAAACTGAACGTCAACCGCTTGAAAGGGCTTACTTTGCCTTTGAATGAATACAACCTGCCAGGGTATCGTTTGCAATCAGCCACCTATGCCGAACTCCTTTGCTCTGTAGGAATGCTGGAAACCCATATCCGATGCCGATAACAGGGTATGGTATCCTTCCACCATGCTAACGTCGCATTCTTGGATTTGCCATTACCCTCACGCGTTACCGAAGCGCACTTTCCGTGGGTCGTGACCTTCAATGGTATCTTGGCCTCCTGGTTGTGGCGGCTCGCTGGCCCTGGTGGACTCCTTCTCAACGATCGCAAAGTCGCCCGTTTTCGCTTCAACTCCACCATCTCCACGCTCTAAAGACAGCTCCTTTAGCTTCGCGGTGATGTCGTCCTTGGCCGTTGCATCGATACTCATGTCCCGAATGGCCATTGAAAGATCGGCGGTGTTCTTAACATCGTCGAGCAGAGTGACCTTTGTGTCCGTCACGTCTCGAAGCCACGCAGGCTCGGTGCTCAGTTGACCCTTGACAAACTCTCCGCGAGCCTTGCAGGAGTCCGAACACCATCTTTCTACCACTGCGCGATCAATGAGCCGGAAGTCCTTTCCACCTTTCCCGTTCCACACTTTATTCCCACCATTGCGCGCTTTTTGGTTCGGCTTGGGACAGAGCGCATAGCCGCATCGGTCGTCAATGTTGCGCTCGGATACCAACTCGTCGAAGTCAGTAGGCTGGAAGAGGCTTAATGCTTTACCGAAGATTTTGGCATCGGCAGGTATTGGATTGACAGGGCCCACATCTGGCTTGCTGGGGAGATCGAAGCATTCCAGAATTAGATCGGTCACTTGAGCTTTCACCCGCTTTTGGTCTTCTAGAATGCGGGCATGGCGGACAGCCGTCTCGCGGAAACGGTCGGTAGTCATGACTGAGTAAGCGAGTTTATTAGGCAGCCAGATAATGTTTCGAATAAGAGGAAGGCAAATCTCACGCGGGGCAAACGTGATCCAGTGACCAGCACTCAAGCAATAGAGTGTCAGCCTCCTGGCCTGTCATCCGAAACGCCCGCGGCGGTAGTGTGTAGGAGGTCGAATGCAGGGAATTGTTAGATGCAGAATTGCCCCACGACGGGCATATAGAAGGGTTGCAGTAGTCCGGACCTTGGCCGCGAGCCACTTCGTCTCGCTTTGAGACCCGTGAAAATACCACTCTGGCAGGCGAGGGCGCAGGTCTGTCATCCCTGGCCGAGCTGACTTATCTTGGAGAGTTGAGGCTGTCAGAACAAGAAGCTTCCTGCGTCACGGTAACGACTCGTGCGCTGAGGCTGTGTTGGTGGAGCTGCGTCATCGCTGAGCAACGCAGCATCTCAGTCCCACCTCGAGCCATCATTCACATACCTTACTCACCCAAGCAATTCCCCTCCAACACTGCTGCCGCTGCCCTGAATCGTGCAGCAGGTGCTTGCAATCATGCCTGCAGTCCCCTTCAAGGTCAAAGCCGTCTACGAATACCACTCCGAGGAGCCCGATGACTTGAACTTTCCCATTGGCCAGATAATCACAGTCACGGACGATGCTGATGAAGATTGGTATACCGGCGAGTACAATTCGGCCTCCGGCGAGAAAGTAGAAGGTATATTCCCTCGCAACTTCGTCGAGAAGTACGAACCTGCTATTCCTTCTCGACCTACCCGCGCTCCAAAGCGTGCGCCTGCGCCAGAACCAGCGCCTGAGCCCGCACAAGCTTCAGAAGATTCCGCACAAGAACAGCACGCCGTGCCTATCGCGGAACCCGAGCCTGATGTTCCCAAGGCAGCTCCTGAGCCAGTCGAACCCGTAGAGGAACCAGTTGCACCCAAAGCTGCTGACCCCTCACCGCCCGCACCAGCTGCTGCCGCCGCGGCTGCACCTCCTACATCCAAGCCTGCTGTGTCGAAACCGGGACCGCCTCCGGTAGCCGAAAAGCCTACTACCAGCTCTTTCAAGGACCGCATAGCTGCCTTTAACAAGCCTGCGGCAGCACCAGTTGCGCCTTTCAAGCCTGGTGGTAACACCTCTGGCTTCATCAAGAAACCATTTGTCGCGCCCCCTCCGAGTAAGAACTCGTACGTTCCACCTCCCAGGGAGCCTCCCCCGCAGAAAGTCTATCAGCGTGAAGAGGAGGCTACTGGGCAAGATGAGAATCGCGTTGTTCCGCCTCCGCCTCCACAACGGCTGGAGGAAGCTGCAGATGAAGATCAGCCGAAGCCCACAAGCCTGAAAGAGCGCATCGCACTATTACAGAAACAGCAGCTCGAGCAAGCTCAGAAACATGCGGATGCGGTGCAAAAGAAGGAGAAGCCAAAGAAGCCGCCAAAGAAGCGCGTCGAGTCCACCGAGGATCCCGAGGCGCCTCCAGTCGAAGGCGACTTGGAAAAGGCAGATACCAATGAGACTGTGGGCCGAAAATCTTCAGATCTCGCCCAGGAGTCCAAGACAGGCCTGCCGTCAGCCTCGCGTCAAGATTCCGCTCATATAGGACCGACACCACAACCTGTGCGAGAGCTTGTTAGCGATACCAACGACGCCGATGACTCTGAAGCAGCAGACACGGAAGATGCGCAGGAGACTTCAACTGAGGAAGAGCGGCCACGTTCGAAGGGCGCTGCTATCAGCGCGGCGCATGTTGAGCCCAAGAAAGAAGTATCTGCCCCCGCAGAAGATAACGATGAGGACACTGAAGAGGAAGAGGAAGATCCTGATGTGCGCCGCAGGCGTGAACTCCGAGACCGTATGGCAAGACTCGGCGGAGGTGTGGGGATGATGGGGATGTTTGGTCCGCCCGGTGGTGCAGCGCCTCCTCCTGCACGCAAATCTAGGCCTTCGCAGGAGCATTCTCGGGCGTCCGAGGAGCAGTCTCCAGAGGAGACCAGTAGAGCTCCTCCTGTCCCAATCATGGCGCTGCCAGGCATGTCTAATCAAGTTCCTCGACGGACTGAGGAGCCTGCAGATGAGGACAGCGACGAGGAAGACGAGACCGCACAGCCCACCCCTCGGGAAGCGCCCAAACAGGCCGACCTGGAGGACGACTATATCTCCCAGCCTCCACCGCCTCCGAGACGGTCAGACACAACGCGTTCATCCGCAAGTATCGACCGGCAGGCACCTTTGCCGCCTCAGCGTGAAAATCGTGCACCCCCACCACCCTTGCCCGAGACTAGGGCTGTTCCTCCACCGCCGCCCTCATCAGGTAAGCAATCCACATAAACACGCTGGCAGACAATAGCTAACAGAAATAGGTCGTGCGGTACCCCTTCCACCTCCGGTGGCTACACAAGCTCTTGAGCAAAATGAGTCTCACGCTGCGTCACCCTCGTCCGCGCGTTCACGACGTTCAGAAGAGCAACCTATGTCACCGTCAGGAGCACCGCCGGTTCCAGGCGGACGGCCCAGGCCAGATGTTGTTCGAAAGCACAGCGAAGACCCCAGTCTATCGAGTTCTGTCACGTCTCCTACAACAAGGGCTCCGCCTCCACCTCCACCCGGTCCACCTAGCCGACGAACTACGACTGATGTTTCTAGCCCTCAAACTCAGCAGGACGACGATAGTGAAGATGAGGTGACCGAGTACGATGGGGACTACGACACGGACATTGCCTCTTCAGCGAAACATAAGGATGCGTTAAAATCGCACAATCGCGACTCGAGTATCGATGATGGCGTTCTGACCGACGACGCTACCAAATCACCCAAGAGTCCACCATCCCGCACTGTACCACCACTCCCGCCTCTGCCTGTACAGCACACAGTTCCTCCACCACCGCCACCGACCCAAGCGCCACCGTCTCGAAAGTCGACAGACATTCCGCGCACGGCTCCTCCGCCGGTACCTCCTCCTGCAATGCCTCAACATGACGATGACGATTATGACCCTTACCGCTACAACGCCCCCTCTCAAGGCCTGCCGACCCCGCAATTGGATGACATTTACAAAAATATGCCTCCAGGGGCAGACAGGGAAGAGGAAGATATGTATGGAGGTAGTACTCAGCCCCCCCGTATGCCTCCGCCGCCCCCGGCCGAAAGATCCCTACCTCCCCCGCCCACAGAGCGAGCGGCTCCACCGCCGCCTCCTATGGAACGTCCTGCTCCTCCTCCACCTTCCTTACCATCAGCTGAGCCCCATGCAACGCTTCCGAAGCAGTCTTCAGAGGTGAGAAGATCAACCACTATATCACGGCGATCAATGGAGCATGCGAGACCTAGCGGTGAAGGCTTCATGGCTCAGGATCTGGACCTGGGTCACTCTTCCTTCTGGTGGACCCAGCCCAACCTGCTTCCCCCAAGCGTCGCCAACCGTTCGGATATCCTCTACGAAATCGAGGAGAATGCCTCAGCCACGCGCGCGGGCCGCACGGCCATTTCAAAGGATATATTTGTCATTTACAACGACTACAGTCGCACACACATTAATGCGACTTTCGACAAGGAAGATCCATCGCAAGTGGCGCTCGAGCAGACCCATGAGCGCCCACCTTCAACACCTCGCAAGGATCAGCTGGAGGTATCATCCGAGAGATTTGGCGCACCTATCGCGTCCGCTGCGTCTAATTTTGGTCACCAGGGCGCCATGGTCGGTGACGGATCCGCCCAGGGCTTTATCTACGAACTCCTCCGGCCATTTCCGAACGCACTTCCACCCATTGGAACAAGAGCGTACGGTGCTCTAGTCTACGCCAACCTCGCCAACGCCTCGACGCAGCAATACGACGAGATCCGTGCTGGCGACATCATCAGTTTCCGCAACGCCAAGTTCTCCGGTCACAAGGGCGGCTTCAATGCAAAGTACAGTCTGGAAGCGGGCAAACCTGACCACGTCGCAGTCGTCGTTGACTGGGACGGTACGAAGAAGAAGGTACGAGCTTGGGAGCAGAGAAGCGAAGATGACCGCAAGGAGAAAAAGAAGGCGAAGGTGCGTGAGGAGAGCTATCGCATGGGCGATCTCAAGAGCGGCGAGGTACGTGTCTGGCGCATTATGGGCAGAGACTACGTTGGCTGGGATAAGTCTTAGTCGGACTTTGAGGCTCTCCAACAGCAGCGGTCTTGGATAGAGTCGTCGAGACTGAGACTACGGCAGCAGCAGTACAGCAATAGTAGCGGCAGTGGACATAGCGAGGCGTGTTGTTTGGGTTTGAGCGGGAGAGCAAGCTGTTGGGATGCTGCTGGCAGGGACAGAGAGCTGCAGCAGATGAGCTCCACGAGTTCAAGCCTGTGTGGAGACAGCACTAGAGGGAGGTGGGGGCTCTTCTCGACGATATGATGTAAACAGCGTAGACTGACTTGAGTGAACGAGCTTTCTCATAGCGTGTGTGTGGTTTCTCCTCCTGGTCAATCAATACAGTCGAGATTGACAATATATGCTTGTTCCACTCTTGTGAATGCGCTGTGTCTGCGAATGGCGTTTCTTCTTTACCCGAGATCCCGGTATCCATGAAAAAGGGGTACATCATGTCTTGGCACTAGGACGACAGCATTCCAGTCCTTTTCTCTCCTTATTCCGGAGCATGATATCTTACTTTGCAAACGCTCCACCGGCAGTTCGCGTTGGTATGTGAGCCGCGTGGGCTCTGCATACCTACATTTACGTATACGTGTGTGCCCACGCTTGATACGTAACCTACTTGGTCCCGCGATGTATGTGCTTTTGCCACCGGAATCTGTACGGTAAGTCGTGACCGTTTGGCCCTCAATAGTGGCGGCAGACATGAGACGGACATCTATAGGAACAGAAGGGAGAGAGATTCACGAGAAAAGCAAGATACAGACGAGCAATGGTGGACACTATGAAACAACAGTGGTGAGTCCTGCAGACTTCAGTGCTTACAGGCGAGTGGAGTGGTTCGACGTGTAACACATCCTGCTGGCTATTCCTTCATCTTGAAACTGGATCAGAAGGCCCACCGCCCAGTGGCAGACACAGGAGCTCAGATCAACAACCCATCCTGACAGTGGAAGCAGCTCTACAGACCCAGGACTACCTAATCTGTCAGATCCATCATCACTACCCTGTGTCCGCGAACTACACAGTTGTCGTGCAATAGAAGCTCCGCCATGCACCCTTCTTGGCGCTCATGTCCTCCCAGTAATAACCTTTCGCATCATTTAACCCAACGAAGGTCTGGCTGGAGCACTTGTCGTCCTCGTATACGAAGCAAATCGCCCCCGGGTACACATTCATGGACCCTTTGCTCCCGGCTGCCACAGGGCGACATTTTCGGTAGTCAGAGGCAGTAGAGGTGATGAAGGCGCAGTTGCCGGTGAGGCGGGGCTCAGGGCAATAGAGCGCTCCAGTTGGGGTGTTGATGGCAGCGGCGGAGGTGAGCGGCAGAAGCGTTTGCGGGAGAAGAAGAGGAAGGAAGACAGATAAGAGCGTGGAAAACGAGATCATTGCAGCTTCTGACGGTTTCAGATCAGGGGGTCTTCGTTACTCACAGACACGTCGTGCGAGTCCGATTCTCATCTACTATAGAGGGGTTGAGATGTGACTATTTCGGTCGGCTTGTACGAATGGTGGCTTTATTAGGACACATACAAAAGACATCTGGCAAAGAAGATCTCGAGACAAAGAGACTCGCATGCCAATCTCGCTGAACATGTTAACATTCGACCGGAGAACAAAGGGAATCCACCCGCAGACCCTCTCTACCCCCGGGTATGGGCTTACCACAAAGCAAGTCTGCACAAAATATCCTGGTATGGTCCAGAGGAATCATGGCTGAGCAGACGTGTATCAAGCCTGATACATAGTGGCTTAAAGCATCGCGGGCACTGCCCGCCTACAGCACAGACAGCGGACTGACATCTACACAATGACAAAGGCAGGACGCATGAGTCACTGACACGTGGTGAGCTTGGTACGAAGGGCACGGTTGCATCTCCAGCGCGTATTCGGGTCGAAGATGTTACAGTTGTCTTAAGACGTTGCGACCCAAGGCATCGGCACTGCAGGAGGACCGGTACATGTATAGTTTGGCATTGTCGCCCTTGCTATCAATGCTATGGACCAACATCAGCTACCGCGTCCACGGAATCATGGAGTTTACAACTGCCGACGCTGTGAAGATTGCCTCAGTCCAGTTCGAGAACGCTTCCGGCGACAAGGCCGTCAACCTCGAGTTCATCCGCCGTCTCACTCAAGCTGCAGTCGCACGAGGCGCCCAAGTCGTCGCCTTCCACGAATGCTCCATCACAGGCTACACTTTCGCGTCCCGCCTCTCCAAAGACGAGCTCCTCGACGTCGCCGAGCCCATTCCAGCCGGACCCAGCACGCAAGCCCTCATTCAAATAGCGCGGGAGCACAACATCGTCGTCCTAGCCGGCCTCTTCGAGAAAGACGCCGGCCACCGCATCTACAACACCTACATCTGCGTCTCCTCCTCCGGTCTGCACGCCAAGTTCCGCAAGCTCCACTCTTTCATCTCCGCACACCTCTCCCCCGGAATCGAATACGTCGTCTTCGACCTCCCCATCGCCGGCTCTTCTTGGAAAGCCGGCATTCTGATCTGCTACGACAACAATGTGGTGGAAAACGTGCGCGCAACCGCCCTCCTCGGCGCCGAAATCATCTTCATGCCCCACGTCACCATGTGTACCCCTAGTAGCCGCCCCGGAGCCGGCTTCGTGGACCCCAAACTGTGGGAGCGTCGACACGTGGATCCAACGACGCTGCGCGCCGAATTCGACGGCCTGAAGGGGCGAGCCTGGCTGATGAAGTGGCTCCCAGCACGCGCGTACGACAGTGGCGTTTTTGTCGTCTTCAGTAATCCGATAGGCATGGATGACGACCAGTTGAAGAACGGGTGCGCCATGGTGATCGATCCGTTTGGGGATGTGTTGGATGAGTGTCGGGTTCTGGGCGAGGGCATGGCTTTGGCGGTGTGTACGAGGGAGAAGCTGAGGTTGGCGGGTGGGTGCCGGTATCGAGAGGCGAGGCGCGTGGAGCTGTACAGGGATGTCATTGGAAAGGAGCATAGGGCGGAGTTGAATGTGAGCTGGTTGGGGAAGTGAGGGTGCAGTGTGGCTACGGCTCTGTCACTTGATTGTAGATTTCGGTGGCGGTCAGCCATGGCAGTGATTGCTCGATAGACTCGGTACATGGTAAAGACCCATTGTGCATGGATTGGAGAATATAATCGTAGACCACAACCCTTACTCACCAAGGCTCCTCGCCCAACCAACGTAGTGAAGACCCCCTTCCACGTTTGCCTCCTCTATAGACTACCCTTCCCTCCAACATGAGGATGTATTGAAGATGGGTCCAGCACAGTCCCTGATACCCGCGATGGCTCCACCAGGTACCTCCCCTCTCAGCCTCGTCGCCTCGTTGCCTCGCCTAAGTAGATAGCGTGGGGCATTCACGATCAGCCGGGCCTAATCCATTGACGTAACTACGGCTTTTTCTTTTCGCTGTAGTCGTATGTTGATTTCTGTCTGCCATTTATGAGATCAGTCCGTGTGGTGTCGATCCGTTCAAGAGCCTTTGACAGGTGACTGCGTTTCCCTCGCGAGAGGCGGTTAAGAAAACTTTAATTCGTATACACCGTTCATCGACCCTGTGGATGCTGTATCACTCAGACCGACCGCCGCTTCAGTCTCTCTGAACGCTGTGTCACTACATTATATCGACTGACCACATCATTACCGTCTGCAACCTCACCTCAGCAGACACAACAAAATCTCATACATACCAAAATATACCAATATCCACACCGCCCCCCCTTCTCCCAGCCATGCCACCGCGCACCACCCCTTCAAACCCCCACCGCCACCCCTCCCTCTCCCACCCCCTGCTGATCCTCGACGGCGGTCTAGGCACGACCCTAACCGCCCCGCCCTACGCCCAACACTTCATCTCCGCCACCACCCCGCTCTGGTCCTCACACCTCCTCACCACCCCCTCCGGACCGGACACGTTACTGGCCGCGCACGCGGCCTTCGCGCGCGCCGGCGCGAATGTCCTGCTGACCGCCACGTACCAGGCGAGCTTTGAGGGGTTTCGACGCACGCCGACCGTGCCACAGGGTGCTGGGATAGTGGAGGAGGATGCTGCCCGGTTCATGCGCGCGGCCGTGAAAGTGGCTAGGGAGGGGTTTCGGGTTGTTGCGCGAAAGGAGGAAGGGGACGGGGAGCGGGAAGAGGAGCACGAGGGCGGAGGGCGGAAGGGTGTCGTGGCGCTGAGTCTCGGCGCGTACGGCGCGACATTGCTGCCGAGCGCGGAGTATAGTGGGGAGTATCCCGAGGGGATGAGGGGTGAGGAGGCGCTGGGGGAGTGGCATTGGAGAAGACTGCAGGTTTTCTTTGACGAGGGGGTTTGGAGAGAGGTGGATGTGGTGGCGTTCGAGACGCTGCCGAGGTTAGAAGAGATTAGAGGGGTCAGGGCGGCGATGAGGGCGGTTGAGGAGTGCGGCGTTAGCGAGAAGCCTTTTTGGATTAGTTGTGTGTTTCCTGGAGAGGGTGGGAATGAGGCGCAAGAGGGACATCGGTTGCCTGATGGGAGCACGGTAAGGGAAGTGGTGGATGCAATGTTGGGCGGGGATGAGGCTCGACCTTGGGCTGTGGGCGTCAATTGCACCAAGATCTGGAAGGTTAGACGGCTGTTGGAGGAGGTTGAATGGGCAATAGCGGAGGGCGGGTATGAGACGCCCAGACTGGTGCTGTACCCGGATGGGGCGGGAAATTTAGTCTATGATACTTCAAGACAAGAATGGCTACCAAGAGACGGAGCTGGGGAGGGTCACGGTGGGAAGGGGAAGGGCTGGGGTGAGGAGATGGCGGATATTGTCAGGGAAACGCAGGAGAGGGGGAAGTGGAAGGGGATGGTTGTGGGCGGGTGTTGCATGACAGAGCCGGAGGAGATCAGGGAGCTCAGTGAGAGATTGATTTGAGACTGGAAGTGTACCTAGGATACTCCAGTAAGCTATGATGAGTCGAATGAGGTCGCTTGACGCCGATGCGTACCGCACTCATGATAGTGTCCGTCGGCATCCGAACAGCCATGCCTATTGGCACCTTTCGTCGCGTCTTTGATCGGAACGTCATCGTATCTTCACCCCATCTTTCGTCGCACCTTTCATCGCCACTTTCGTTGCAGCAGTCTCAAACCGATTGACTTTAGCACGTAGTGTTGTAGATAGTCCAGGAGAGCTTGATGCGGACGGGTACTTTAATGTGGCTGCAAACAGGACCATTGTTGTCGGCGCTTGTCAGCTACTGAAACTTGGGAAGCAGCGTCTCAAGTACACTTTTGTCGTCTTTCTCGTATATTGCCTTTTGTCCGACAAATCTAGCAGCGAAGAACGTAGTGGGATCCTCCTCGATCAATAGTTTGACCAAGTCGGACCAAGATTGCCTTCCGAAGTGTGAGTACATGGTTGCCTCACTGACGAGCCAGCCTGTGAGCAAAGGTTTGAGCATCAGATCGGTAGTTGGCAGCCTCTTATAGCTTGCTCTCAAGAATGGCAGCAGACCTGTAGAACCAGCTTGAGACACCGAAATCTTCACTTTGAACGTGTTCAAGAACTCAACGCCCGCCTTGTTCGCCAAGTCAACTAGGAGCAGTCGATCGGCGAGGAGAAACATGCATTTCGTGTCGAGTGTCGGCTTCTCGGCGTCAGACGGAGCTCCTACAGTAAAGTAGTCCGGCCAAACAGTCTCGATAGCAGGGATACACAGCTTATTGGTGTAACAGTAGACAATGACCACTGCCATTGCCTTCGGATCGGCTTCACCGAAATCGTGAGTGTTCTGGTAGTCTTTTCTTCGAAGTCATTGTTGAGAGCGGCTCGGAAGAAGTCTGACTTCTGGTAGATGACCTAACGATGGACGGCGAACATGCGATTGCCGCATATGATAGTGAAATCGGTATGGGTCTTGGAGCGAAGGCTGTCGCAGGCCTCATCAAGAGGGTATGAGGCTCCAACAAGAGGCATTGTGGAAACGCGAAAACCAAGCAGTCCTGAAGAGTAAGATCGGATGAAAAAAAAGTTGCAAGTTTGCGAAGTTCCTTGTGGATATGCTGGTGGGCGAAGTGCAGGGGAACAAGGCAGCTTTTCTTGGCACAAGGCGACAAAGGGACGTGTGTGGAAGGGAAGGCAAGCGATGGTGACAGGTAGTCTCCGCAAGCCAAGTGATTGTGGCTTTCAGCGCATCGAGAGGTTTCCATGGCACAAAATGCATGGCATACTCGGAGGCAGACTCGCATTTCTCGAATCCGCAACGCTCTGAACTCGCAATAGCTCCAGGTGTCAGTGACACGGCTTGTGTTGAAGATCGTGGCAGCTAGACATAGCCCTGCGGCAGTCTCAGGCTTTCGGCTGACGTTCTCCGCAGTGTAGACATAACACGAATTTCCAGAGGGCGTGGGTGAGATGTTGGCCCCCGACACCGGAATCATGTCGCTCTGTAGCAGAGGTATATGATGAGCAACAGGGAATTCAAGTCTTGCTTGAGAATCAGTTCTTTTGTTCATGACATCTACTCTCTTGCCAATCGAAGCTGGCGATGACAATGTCCATCGTGGGCGAAAGACACAAAGACCTGGAAGTTGCCATCAGCCCGGTGCAGAATGAAAATGGGCAAATTCAACAAGGCTTACCGAAGCCAGTTGATTTGATCTGGTCTTCAAGGCCTCTAAACAATGCAAAGTGCCCAGGAGTACGGTCGTACCGTGTAAATCGCTTGTGACGATTACATTGCATTTTGAACCCCGACCTGTCTCCCCCTGTAGTTCATGGAACTGCGCCGCAATATGAGTTACGGTATTGGTCAGAGCATGACATCGAGCTGCGTGTCAGCCGTAAGCGATAAGTTCGCTTGTTGTGTCGGACGGTGAGCGAAATGCAAGTTGGCTCTGCTGAGCAAGCATGGTCTGGTTGACTGTCGAAGAGCTCATCAAATGGAAGGTGTGTATTGCTTTCATCACTTGCTGTTTCTTCAAACTTCCTCTACTGTCACCAACAGTGCTATCGAGGAGTTCGCGAGGTCTTGTATGGTCCAGTCGCTTCGAAGAAATCGCGTCCACCAGCTGTCGGGACCACCCAAGTTGCCGACCGCACCCTCGAGCCCCTTGACACCAACCATACCCTCGCGTTCGCGCCACTCTTGTTCGGCAAGCTCCCCAGCTCTTCGCACCGCTTCGTCCTCATCTTCTTCTCTATACAGATCGCATTTGTCACATTCAGTGCACTTCCTGCCAGCGTTAGGTCGGAAGTGCTCGCAAAAGTGCCGATAGCCCTCGGCTCCCTCTGCATTCCCTGCCGCCCCGGCCTTGCCAATGTTGGCTCGACACAAGTAGCACATGGAGTAACCGCAAACGCAGGTGAGCTTGTTGCAACCGCTTGATTTGACAAAGGCCGTACCGCAGCGAGGACACACTCGTTTTACAGCCGCTGTTCTAGCAGCCTCGACACTCGTCCGCAGTGATACTATCAGTGGCTCGTGGCAGATATGGGGATCGTGCCACGCCTTGAAACAAACGAGGCAGGATGATCGGCCGCAGGAATCGTTCAGGCATGTGAATCTGGTGCGACGATTACGATGCGCGATATGTGCAACGGCGGTATAGAAAAGTCGTCTGAAATAGTTTGGAAAGAAGAGCAACAGCGGTGCCAGCAAGAACAAAATGGCGGGAATGAGCTCCATAAGAAGGATAAGCGTAATGGCCGGAAGAGCCGGTCGACGAAGTGACCATCGAAAAGATCGTGCCGTGACATGTGTGAGCGGCTTCTCGGCTTCGGCATAGGAACAGAATGGGCATCTGACAAGACTCATGTCTGTGGTCTGAACGCTGGCCTCGAACAAGCGCGCCTCGAAGGTGGCCCAGGTGTTAGGTCCGGAAGGTTGTGGCAGAATGGCTCGTTGGACCAGGAACGCAGGTATACGCCCGTCACAGTCAGATGTCGAGAGACATTTTAGCGTGCCGTGCTCGACCGACACAGACTGGTGCCAACCCTGACCATAGATGGCTTCGTGGAGAGTCCGCCGCACACAATCCAGACACACATTGTGCTCGGCCGTAGTGCACGTACTGACATTTTCAAAGGGGACATCGTTGTAGCATACCTCGCATTCGAACAGCGCTTCGGCAGCAGTCGCCTCGGTTTCATTCAGTCTCTCAGCCAAGCCACGATCCTGAATCTCCTGTTCATCTGCCTTTTGCCGGAGAGCTGGTTTGACGAACAATTCTTCGAGCTCTGCATCCAGAGCCGCGTTGCCAGAGAGGTTTAACTGTGGTGGACCACTCTCTGGATGCGTCTTCTCGAAGAGAACGGATGGCGCATCTTCAACGGTCCGCTTCCGCTTCCAACCAATTGCCTGTGTGAACATAGCCCATTTCGTCTTGTTGGCGATGTTGAAGAGGATGGGGCGTGCCTTGGAGTATGAATTGTTGACTTCAGCAAGGACGGCGCTGATGGAGCCCTTGCTGGAGGAGCGAAACTCGAGGGTCAGAATTCTGGTTGTCGCATCAATATATGCTTGGGCGCGGAAAAGTTGGTCTGCGGGAATGTCTGCTCCAGGAGTTCGCGGCGGATTTTGCTGTCTCCCGGCGGCCCATTCGCCTTTGAAACGGTAGAGCTGTTCTGTACATATCTGCAGGCGGCTGTCGCCATCGAAGCGATTCAGCAGTTCGCGTATGACCTCGATCTGAACGTCGGGAAAGAAACCTGCCAGGATGTGGAGATCCTTGTTCATCGACCTTGTTCTTGCATCCTCTTTTGACTCGACATCCTTCCTGGAACGAAACGGGTTTCTGCGGAGCGTCTCTGTCAGGATGGCAGAAGGCGATTCTGCGCGAGGTGTGTTGGATTGGGGGGACTTTGAACGCGGCGAGTTACGTGAGCGCTTGGACGCGCCCGAGGTCAGCCACATCGCAATGACGAACGACAGTCGACAGACGACATTTTCAGGATGAAGAAACCAAGGACTTGAAGTTGCCAAAAAAGGTACGAAAGAATTGGGTCTGAGACATGTGCTGACTGGAGTGGTGGTTGAGCATGAGTTTGGCGCTATACCGGGCTATGACCCGCCAAGGTCGGTGCCTGTGACGCCCCGCACCCGGCCGCACACGATGGGCTCATCTGCCACTAATCTGATTTGTTAGATTCACAGTCTACTCAAGCACCAAAAAGATCAAAAATCGATTGATCATCGGGGCTCAATCGGGATTCGAACCCGAGGCCTGTCACATTCTCGCAGCTTTCGCAGCTGTAGGCGGTGCCCGAAGCGACAATCATACCACTAGACCATTGAGCCGTAAAAGATTCGTGTCGATTCATGTGTGTGCGAAAGTAGCACGAATTTCAGCCAATTTGCGCGCTAGATCGCATATATACCATCTCCTGTTGGGAACTTTGCTATAGGGCTGAATCAACGCGTCACGACGCGCATTTGGAGAACAATTTTCTCAGCGCGACTCGGACCGCATCTTATTGTTCATCGCCCGCTCGCAACATGAGACTGGGGTTCAAGGGCAATCTCGTCATCGGCACAGACATCACCAACATTCGTCGATTCTTAGATCCTGATAAGCCTGACTGGCGAAGGTTGAAAAGATTTGCTCGGCACTTTCTTCTGAAGGACGAGCTGGTTGCTATTGAGACGAGGTTTCCCTCTTTCCAACTACGCCTTGACAACGAGAATGAGAGGGTGCCGGAATTGTCTTCTCACCAGTGCGCCCAAGTAAGCAGAGCGGTTGCTGGCCGCTGGGCTGCAAAAGAGGCAGCAAAGAAAGCCTGGGGTGCCCATTTGATCCACTGGAAGGCTTTGAGGGTTTTCCATACGACAACCTTTGAACCTGTAATCGTCTGCTTCACTGGCGATTCGCAGACCTCGGAGAGTGATAAGATAACAGAGCAGCAAGGTGAACTCACGATCGCGCATGACGGCGACTACGCAACGGCCACCGTTCTGGCCAACAAGTTGCATGCCGACTTAATCGCCGAGTTCGTGAAAATAAAGCGCGAGGCGAAGTCACGCCTCCAGGCTACACCGAGCGTTAAATCCGAGCACGACCAAGATATAAATATGCCATTCTCTACGCCTGGCGACGAGTCTGACGCCTTCATCGACCTGCACAACGATAAAACATGACCAGGAAATTCGCCGAGCACAACGACCCCAACCTAGGCGAAGATGCCTACGAGCAGTCAGCCCGAGTCGATGCTGTTGACCACTATACCAACAGCCATCTACTCAACCCCAGCCGCAACAAATACCACGATGTACTAGAAAAGGCCTACGACAACTCACTGGCAGCAGGTCTGCCTGACATATCCTGTGCACCAAGCCAGGCCAAGTATCTGTCGCTGCAGGTCCGTGCCACACGCGCCAAGAACGTCCTTGAAGTCGGCACTCTAGGTGGCTACTCGGCCATCTGGATGGCGTCGGCTGGCTCACACGTCCACGTCACTACCGTGGAGGTCGACCCTCACCACAAGAAAGTTGCTGAGCAGAACATCGCCAACGCCGGTCTGTCAGACCAGATCGATGTGCTACTAGGTCCTGGCGTGAACGTCCTGTCGAAGCTCAGGGAGGAAGTGGCCTCGGGCAAAAGGCAGCAGTTCGATTTCGTCTTCATCGACGCTGACAAGGAGAATAATCTTACCTATCTCCAAATCGGGTTGGACATGACTACGCCAGGCACATCGTTCTTCATCGATAACGTCGTGCGACGAGGCAAGCTTGCCAATCCTGTCGCTGCCAAGGAGGATTCGAGAGTGAAGGCGACAAGGGAGCTCGTTGAGACGGTTGGTACAGATGAGCGGCTCGAAGCGGTGGTTGTGCAGACTGTGAGCGAAAAGAATTATGATGGTTTCCTCATGGCCGTGAAGGTGTGATCTCAGTGCTTCTTCGAAAGCCTGAAACGAATTTCCGCGTGTTTGCTCGGGAAGGTCAAGGCATTGATACGCTGGTGTCTGTTGCAGCTGCTGTAGGGGTACTGTGTTGCGAACGCTCGACCGATCTCACTTTGCAGCTGCGACAGCACCTGAGGAATATTTGCATTTTCAAGATCCAAGCTGCTCTGCTTTCGAAGGTTATTGCATGGACATGCCACGCCTGAACTTCACAAGTATATGGCTCATACGTTCATGATTTCCAAGCCTACCACTTGCGAAATTCCTTCCTCGCGACATTACCAACAATCCAGATGCCTTCCGTTCCCTACATAGGGTGAGAGAAGCTTGTGCAATCGGTGGTTCGTCCACAAGCACACATTTAACTCGAAATGCCTCGGCAGCGAATCACATGTGCTGTGTCTGATCATCTGCTGGTTGCGGCCATCGTACTCGCTTCCTTGGATACCAAGCCACCCTGCTATATAACACGCCGATAGCGCCCACTCGTATTGTCAACCAAACTGCTAACGGCACGACTACTGGATCGTCGATCTCATAGTCAGTCAATTCAGAAGATCTTAGGCAGAGGACGGCACAGCTGCTGCATTCGGACGGAGTTTCATCCGAAACCACCCACTGCCTGCATCCTTACTGGCCAGAAAACAGAACGCAGAATGCTCATACCTCGACCGCGTATTCGCACTCTGCCTCAGCCAGCACGAATCTTGCCCTCCTTACCGGCAACGATATCTTATTGCCCCCGTCGTCATGCCTCGAAATCGCCCTCCTTCACCTCGTCCCCAACACCACAGCCCCCGCCGTCATCGACACCACTTCCCAGCACCCAGCGCCAGACCACCACGGCCAGAGCTACCCACACTATGAGCAACACAACCCCTCGGCCTCCCGGCATCCTCAACCCCTCCCGCCGCACTATCTCTTCTCCCCTCCTCGGCTCCACCATGACCTACACCCACTACTCCTCCGAGACCTCCGGCGCCTACACACAATTCACGTCGACCATCACCCCCGGCTACGCCAATCCCCCGCACCACCACACCCTCTTCCGCGAAACCTTCACCTGCACCTCCGGCACCCTCAGCATCACCCTCGACAACGGCCACCCCCGAACCCTGCGACCGGGCGAAACAGCCGTCGTGGATATCGGCCACATCCACTCCCTGGCCAACACCTCGGCCACGGAACCGGCGGAGTTCGTCACGAAACTAGAGCCGGGCAGCGAGGGGTTCGAGAAGGGCATGTATATCGTGCATGGACTGGCGGAGGATGGGCACAGTGGGCCGGACGGCGTGCCGAGGGATTTGGTGACGGTGGCGGTGGTGGCGGGGATGATGGATACGTGGTTGAGTGGGTGGGGGTTTTGGCTCGCGGGGCCGGCGCTGTGGGTGGCGAGGAGGGTGGGGCAGGGGCAGGGGGTGGAGAGGAAGTTGGTGGAAAGGTATTGGGAGAGTTAGGTTTGGGGGGGAGGGGGGGATGGGGAGGGAAATGGAAGAGGAGAAGAAAAATCAAGGCCGGGGAAGTGGGGAGAGATGAGGGTGAGGTGATAGAAATGCGTCCTTCGCGCCTGGCATGACATCTGATCCTGCCCGGCGTCCGTTGCCACTTGTTGCCTGGAAATTGGCTGCCATGTCGACGTATCCTGAGCTTCTCAGCATGCCTCCGTAGAGGCTCGGCTCCTTCTGTCGACGCTTGCTACCTCGCCGAACCACTCACCACCGCCACCTCTGCGCCTGTCAAGCCATTCTCCACATTGGTGAGTGGGACTGAGGGATATCGAGCATTGCATTATTGCACTGATACTTTCAGCGATTGCACCTGGGCCAGCAGAATTAATGCCATACCCGTCACCGATCATCTTCATAGCGGTTGCCAGCCGGAGCGTGCCGGAGCTCTACACATTCAGTATCCATGAATCTAGGTCTTGACCTACTATATAATGCTTCATTCTTGTCATAGAACCCCTCTCGAGCGTCCCATATAACCACCTCAGACGCTTCTGCGGTACGTGCTCAGGCCGTGCTTGCACACGAGAGATACGCCTCCCCACCAGCCTTAGAGAAAGCCTAAACGGAGTTTCGCATCTCTCAAAAGCTCGGTCGTGCATTGAGCCAGGGGCGTGTGTATAGTATCTTTGCTGGATCGGGAACATCTGGCAGGGTCGGCTAATGCACTCGGACGCTACCCGGGCATGCGGCTCAAGCATGTTCAGGGTGCAGTAGCCGCGTGCCGAAATATTTTGATACTAAGCTTATCGGCGGGCTCTGTGACTCGCGGTACGTAGAGTACGCAGACAGCAGGGGAGGGAAGTTCAGTCAGAGCATGGAGTTGTAGCTTCAATGCTTGGGCATTGAACACCGCGGGTCTGTCTAGGAGAGTGGGAACTTCGCTCTGCCTCTACTGCTCAGGAGAGCAGTTTCAAGGTGGACAAAACTTGCGTGGCGATCAGGGTCGTCACCTTCGTAGGGACAGCAAATATACAGCAATTGGGAAGGCTTTGATAGCTCCCAATCAAGGCCACATACAAAGCTCGACGCCTAACGCCAAGCCTAGGCGGGCAGGCAGGCGGGCAGGCAGTGAAACGTTCTACCTGCCGAACTCACCTAAATCAGACATCTCATCCCAAGACAAAGTCCTGCTGCTCCGAGAATTGTCCTACATCCAGATCTCTCACAGACCTCGTAACCTTCCCTTCTCACCGCCTATGCGAAGCCGACCATTCCGACACCAACCCCACGTAATCCTCCGGGCCGTACGGCTCCGTAATCTCCTTCCACCAGCTCGGCTTCCTGTTGACCTTCAATCCCAAATCTCGCAGCATGAGGTCGGTGTAGGGGATGGCATCGAAGACAAAGTCCGGCAGACTCGCGCCGTAGCCGGTGGGTTGGCACCATTTGCCCCACGAGGTATGCAGCATGACTTCCTTGGTCACCTCCTCGTCAGTCCTGACCAGCCGGTCGAGTTTACCGTCGAAGAAGGCTGAGATCCAGAGAGCTTGTGCGGTGGCGCAGATAGAGGTGCTGACGCTGCTGACCATGCCGGCGAAGGCGATGTTGCGGTCGCTGATGCGCGTGGGTGGCACCATGAAGCGGTAGAGGCGGAAGGGGTCGTTGGGAGGCTTGAAGTTCAGGGTGGGCTGTGTTGCGAGGATGGGGAAGCGGGAGAGGAGCTCGGAGTCGGCCTCTGTGGCGAGTTGTTGCTGTGCCGAGGGACTGTGCGGGAGGCCGATGCCGGCGCTGCCGAAGTTGACGAACTTGATGGAGGGCTCTTTCTTCCAGCCGGTGGCGGTGACGATGACTTCTGCTGGGAAAACCTCGCCGTTGTCGAGGTGAACGCTCTGCTCGGTCAGGTGGTCGACGTCTGCGACGTGAACGCGGATCTGGCCTTTCTTAACCATTTCGAACACGTTGGTGTCGTAGTTGTGAATTGACAAGCCGCTTCCGATCCAGAATGCGTCGTTCCAAGGCTTAAGTTTTGCTGTCTCGGGATGGGTGTCGTAGCCATTGAGTGTGATGACATCTTGCTGCAGGCCGCCCCAGAATTGCTTCACCATCCAGCGACCGATCGCAGTGCCCTGGAGGAGCCTCCTTGACCATGAAAAGCCGTCTTCGTGGCCCCACGGACATGGCGAGAACCACGTCATCTATCGGAGGTGCAGCAGCTTCTCGAGCCTCTTGGTTCCACCCATTACCCACGGAGGCGCTACCCAGACTGGTCCGTTGCCGGTTGGTCGAATGACCAGGTCAACAGTGGCTCCGGCATTGACATACGCCCAAGCGACATCGTACGCGGACTTGGCAGCACCTACGACTGTCACGGTTTTCGCAGTGTTGGCCGTATCGCCCAGGCGGCAAAAGACTTTGGCGTGGAAGAAAGGGCCTCGAAACTGCTCAAGACCCTTGTACTGGGGAAAGTTAGGCGTTGAGGTCAGGCCGGTGGCAAGAATGATTTTCTTGGTTGTTAGCGAGTACTCGCCCTTTTGCGAGTTGTCCAGCTTCAACTTCCAACCCTGACCAACAGGTTCAAGCTCCACAACCCGTGTGTTGAAGGGGATCAGGTCGAAGAAGTTGTGCTTCTTGGCCCAGTCTGTCAGATACTGATGAAGCACGCCGCCAGGAATGTGCTCTCCAAACTTGACCCCGTAGATGGCTTCATTCATTGGCATGTCCGGGTATTCATACGTGCCATATAAATTATTAGACTTCAAGCCAGGATAGATTCGTCCGGCGCCCCAGGTGCCACCACAGCTGTTTTCCGCTTCTGTGACAAGCAAACACTCCTCGGGATGAAGCTCATGATATACTTTTGCGGCTGCCAGGCCAAACCAGCCTATTCGCTGTTAACGCTTCCTGCCATCGAACGGTTAGACTGACGGCTTACCGGCGCCTACGACCACCAAGTCCCAATCCTCGGCCATGGTGCTGAATCGAGGTATCGATCATCACTAATTGCAAAGTTCAGGTGTAAACAGCTTCACGAGTTCCAGTCGATACCAGGGGCACGAAAGCGGACGTGTGGGAAGTTAAATGTTGCTTGCTGCTCCTTGCCCGCGTTATCAGGTTATGGTCGCACCTCGTCCTCTCCCCAGAGCTATAAAAAGCTGATCCTGCCGGGCAGAGGAACACCGCACGGCTAAAGGGTCTGGTGCTGCCGATAGCTGTCGACGGTGTCGGCGCCATGATTGACGTGGCTATTGCCGCAGCAGAAGCACCGTGGTTCTTCAAGGTACGAAGAAATAGCCGTGCCGGTGCAGAGAGGTCTGGATCTTCCGCCACGGTCATTTTTGACTTTGGGGTCTGCAGCTCGCGAACCAGACGATTGTCCTGTACAAGTACCTCGGGTCAGTGTCAGCAGAGGTTTTGGGATCTCTAAACTTTGTCGGTCCGCAATCTAGCAGCGTTGGTGACGGATCGTGTTCAAGAGGCAGACACGTCTAACACGCTGCCGCATACAACATCATTCGGCGAGCAAGGTATACAGTCCTAGTAGGGGTCACATTCTGGAAACCTGGACACCCACAGCGTCGAATAAAGACCACTGCCACTCATCGTAGTGTTGATTGGAGTAAGGCATGTATATAATTGGAACTTGGGCGGCTCTTGTTGCTTGGCGATCATGTCTCGGCCCGACGACGTGTGACTTGCCGGCGACGCGGTGTCGACGTCTTCACGGTCCAAATGATGTATCATGATTTCCAAGCTGTTGTTGTGCGCCTGTTATACTCGTCTCTCGTCTTCGTACTCGGACATTGATTAGGAATCCGATGAACGTGTCTTTAGGCCCGACATAAGCGAGCTCATCATACCAGCACTGAACTCCAACCGCAAGACTTGGCCTGCCGGAGATCTCCAGCAATTCTCGTACAAGCTTACTCGTGCCCGTTCCGTGTAGTCAATGCTATCAGCTACAGTACATATAGACACGTTGACAGTCTGATACAATCGCCTCACCGTCTTCAAGACTCCCATCCGCACCAAAGCTTACGTGGGGACACCATCGGATTTGGACAGATCTTCCTAGAGCGATATGGCCGAAACAAACGGTACAAGCGCCACTGATGAAGAAACGCCCCTACCGCTGCCGGAGGTCAAGCTTACAGAGCTATCGACCGGCCTGGCCTTGCTAGAACCACTCTCGCGAAAGGGTACCGGGCCTGGACTTATAGTGGTACCGCATCCTTCCGCCTCGAAGGAGCGGAGAACGGACATCGACAACGGAGTGCCGGCACCGCTGATCAAATGGGCCGAGGAAGGCTACGCTGTGGTTGAAGTGAGGGAGGAAGCATTTGATGCGGCCGAGAGTCCGCTGCTGGCCGCGCTGGACGCTCTCAAACAATGTCAGAAGTGTGACCAGGCAGATGCCGTTGGCATCGTTGGTAGGTGTCCGGCCCCTGAACCTACAGCTAGTATTGACGATGATCAGTATATGACACCTTACTCTGGGATCGTGTGGCGCCTCTGCTCAAGGCGGTCCCTGCTGTCGTCGGAGCAGTCATCTACACCGACGCGAAATCAGTCGACAAGCTTACCGAATCCCCTGTCCCGAGCGTACGACACATCGCCGGCAGGCCAGATGGCAAGCTGCCACGCTCCTCCCAACTCACAGCCTACGCTTACGATACTGCGCCTTCGCTGCTGTTCGCCACACCCTTCTCACTGCACTTCAACTACTCGCAGGAAGCCGTCTCGCACACGCGCAATCTCAGCTTCCTCAAGCCGCTCATGAAAGGCCCATACTTCGACCTGGAAGCCATTTGGGACGAGCACACGTACTTTGAGTTCGCCGACCGCAGCCCCGCGCGCACCATGGCGACCATGGTGCAAGAGCCCTACGTCAACCACATCCCAACACTGACAGGCGGCATCGGACGCGACCGCCTCACGAAGTTCTACCAGCACCACTTCATCTTCAAGAACCCGGACAGCATCGAGCTCGAGCTCATCTCACGCACCGTAGGCATCGACCGCGTCATCGACGAGTTCATCGCCAAGATGACGCACGACACCACCATCGACTGGCTGCTGCCCGGCATCCCCGCGACAGGCAAGAAGCTCGAGGTCCCCGCGACCAGCGTGGTCAACATCCGCGGCGACCGCCTGTATCACGAGCACATCGCGTGGGACCAGGCGACGGTGCTGATGCAGCTGGGCCTGCTGCCGGAGTACCTACCGTACGAGATCCCGCTGCCGGACGGGCGCAAGCCAGCCCAGGGCAAGAAATTCGTGTACCGCTTGCCCGTGGCGGGCAGCGAGGCGGTGCAGAAGATGCGGGACAAGAATTCGGTGGAGAGTAACCTGATGTTCGAGTACGGCATCAAAGAGGTTGACGCTTGAAGAAAGAGGAGCAAGATGAATGGGACTGGTGACGGAACGCGAGAATGCTCAGGAACCCGGACAGCAAAGTCGAAAACAAAGCCCTGCCTCATTCCCCTCGTCGTCATCAATGGATATGATGGGGGCACATGGCATTCCGATAACGCGATAGGCGTTCTGCGATCTGCCTTGGCCGGATCCGATGAGGTCAATACTGTATCTACTTGTCGGTGGTCTGACATTCGATGGCGCATTCCTTGCGCGCGCGCGGCCCAACGGCAGGAGCGGCTTCTCTAGATATCACGTACACATCAACAGATACAAACCGGTTTAACTGGAAACACCTTGCGACACGGACAATGTTGTTCCATACCTACACAGGTAGTCAAGACACACATACATACACTAGACTATTGTGGCCTTCGCGGAGCCGCAACTTTTAGTCTTTCTACTTTGTACGTGAAGAAAAAGGCACGCGAAGGCGGGACAAGCGGGAACTCAGCGTCTATCCGAAAATCTATCTCAAACACATTGCCGGCCCGCCCTCCTTCCTCTTCTGTACTGCGTGCCCAGTTTGTCTCGTCGTCCTCACATGTGCAATGTGAGGAACCCCGACTAGGTAGGGTGGTTCGAGGCTGCCGGCGCCCGCCGCTGCGGCACCGAGTGCTGGCGTCCGTTTTCGTAGAGGCCTGCGTATACCCCTCTCATTTCCGCTTGTCGTTCTTTGCAATACAATATACTTTTTAAGGAGGAGATGGTTAATAACGTCAGGTACCTTGCTTATCTTAGCGGCTTTGCGGGGGCCACGAAGGTCCCAGACCGGAGACCGGATCCGCAGCAGGGACCGCAAGTGTATGGCAAAGACAACTCAGCTTCCACGGCAACGAAACGTTCAGTACTCCGCAATGGAGGCGACATGTCCCAAGAGGAGGCAAAAAGAGGGACAGTGACGACTTCAATGCAGCTTACGTACATGTGTGGAGAGGGGCGGGCCCATCCGTTTCTTCAGCAGTTCTGGCCAGATATACAAATGGTACTTCGGTAGTCTGTAGGGGTTCTTGTTCGCCTCTTGGTCTGCATAAGCGGGATTATTGGCATTCTCCACCTTTCTTCACCAGCGCATACCGAGCGTAAGAGGGCCCGAAGGACAGGGGTAAGGTGGTTGGAAAGTCGCAGCTGTAGCGGTGCGGAGTGCGTAGAATGTAGCTTGCCCGTGGGTGCATATGCAATGCAGTGCAGTGCAGTGCAGTACATTGGCAGTGTAGACGATCCGATTCTTGACAAAAAGCGATAGAGAGTCATACTTCTTGAATATGTGCCGAGACTGAATTGAGAAACATCCCGGGTCTGAAAAACTCGATGAGGGACGGGCGAAACCGATCTGTCTGGGGTAAATTAGCGAGAGCCAAGAGACAACAGACCAGGGTGCTCACCGGGGTTGTGCCGTTGTTGGACGGCCAAACCAGCGTCACAATATCATGTTACTGTACTACGGCACGACGAGGTCATGCTCATGCTTACGAGAGAGGGGTTGTTGTTGAGAAGCGGGGAAGGAAAGGGCGATGGAGGGGAAAAGCCAGCCTTACTGCTGTCATGGATGCACTGCACGCCATGCTCACATCTTTCAAACTGCGGCCTTGTTTCCTGTACGACTCTACGCCGTCCCTCATTCATTACTCAGTTGCTGTGCCTCTACTCCGCGAAAGCCGACCAATCCCACCCTCCCCTCCACCTCGGAACAGAGTTTGGAGGCTGGCGGCACAATACGAACTGGAATTTATAGAGTTTCGGATCTCTTGACGTCGCCATCACTCGCAGTTCTGACCAAGACCACGCCGACAGCTTTGACGTCCGAAACTGTATCGTTGTGCTGCACCATTATTGGAACCCACAGATAAGCGATCAAGGCACAAAGATCTTCGCTTCGACTACCAGTGGTAGCCGTCGCCGTCGCCGAACAAACACCATGGCCATCGCCGAGTCGGACCACCCCGCGAGCGGACTTATTCCGAAGACCCAGCGTGCCTGGACCGTCCCTCGACAGGGTGGCGACGTCGTCCTCGACGAGAATTATCCCGTCCCGACGCCAGGCGAAGGCCAGGTCCTGGTCAAGGTCCTGTATACGGGGGTGTGTCAATCTGGTCAGCATACCTACCTTGCAATCCACTTCTCTCACCTCCTCTCCACACCAAACAAAAGGACCTGCTCACGCCCCAATAGACCTCCACACCGCACGCGGCACCGCCACGGGCCCAGACGGCCAGCCCATCACGAACATCAAACTCCCGCACGTCGGCGGCCATGAAGGCGTCGGCCGCATCGTACAATTCGGGCCCAACACCACACCCCCCACGCCCGCCGTCAAGGTCGGCACCCCCGTCGGCATCCGCTTCCTGGCGTCGGTGTGCCACGAGTGCGATTTCTGCACCTCTGGCCGCGAGCAGCACTGCCCACGCGCCGTCAACCACCTGCACCACCGTGACGGCAGCTTTCAGGAGTGGTGTGTCTTGGATTTGGCCTATTTGACTGTGTTGCCGGAGGATGTAGATGTGAAGGTTATGGGGCCTGTGCTTTGCGCAGGCTTGACCGCTTACAAGGTGAGTCAATGTGCTTTGAAGCCGCGTTCCGTATCGTCGAGGTCGTGGTTTTGGTGTCGTCTTTGCTTCGATCTGTCCTGTAGGCTGCTGTTGCATTAGTTGAGGTGAATGTCTCCAATGATGGAGAATGTGAGTGTGAGCACAGCAGCATGCAAATGAAGAGGAGGAGAAAAGCAATGAAAAGCAATGAAAAGCAGCAACGAGCGGCGAGAGTCAGGAGAAGAGTGTGCCCCCATCCCCCGCGGTCGAGGACAGAATAGCTCTTCACGACCACGAGAAGATTGCCATTTGCCCGAAATGAAGCTGCAAAGGGGTTTCTATTCACCCCTCCCCAATTTGCGCATTTCGAACATGGAACTGACTGAAAACCCCCTTCGGGTCTTGACAAAAAGGCAGTCAAGAACGCATCTCTCAAGCAAGGAGACTGGCTTTGTGTCATCGGAGCTGGAGGCGGCCTCGGCCATCTGGCGGGTGAGTTTCACTTCTTCCTTTCTCTATTCTGCTTCTCAGGAATTCTGGATTTACTCCGCTTCGCCTTGTCTCTCTTTTCTTCAGCTAGGAACCTTACCTCAAGGTATATCTCCGCGCGGCTTTCCCGACTATTGTCCCGCCGTGCCCACCCGGAGGATGGGTGGATTGGGCATCCCTTTGCAACCTGATTTTATTTCACTGCGCGTCGACAGATAGAGCATCGCAGAGGGATGGAGAGGGACGAGGCAAAGTCAGGCGAGCATTGAACACATGTCTCGAGCTTGCACCCCACCAAACCACCATGTCCAAGACTGTCCGTAGTCAGCCACGCCGACGATAATGCAGGCCAGACAGCCCATATCACGTCAAACAGCGCAGATGCAAGAAAGCGGAAACGCCCCCCAAAAGCGGCCTGCAGCAGGACGCAGGAACGGACAAGGCAGGCAAAACGGGCATTATGCAATGCATGCATGCCATTATTGGCATGCAAGAACTCAAACACCGTTGCTGACCCCACAACATACACACACGTACCTTTTACCCAAGCACACATATACACAGCAGAAGAGACCCGGCTAACGGACCGATCCCCTTCTTCCCCACTTCTAGTCCAATACGGCCTCGCCCTTGGTGCGCGAGTCATCGCGGTGGACACGGGCTCCGCAAAGCGACGCATCATCGAGTCGCTCGCCTCCGCCTCTGGTTCAGCAGCAGTAGTACACTTTATCGACTTTGCGACTTCACCCGATCTGACAGCCGACGTCAAAGCAATCACTGCGGACAGCGGCGGCGAAGGTCAAGGCGAAGGCGCCCACGCGGTCATCGTCACAAGCGGACACCCACTGGCATTCCACGACCCCACTCCCACGGACCTACTGCGCGTCGGCGGCACGCTGTGCTGCGTGGGCATCCCGCCCGGCAGCGTGCTGCTGGACGTTCCCGTGGCGACGGTGGTGATCAAATCGCTCAAGATCGTGGGCAACCTGGTGGGTAGTCTGGCGGAGACATTGGAGGCGGTAAACGTGGTGAGGAGCGGGAAGGTCACGGTGCATGTTGATGTCAGGCCTTTTGAGGAGTTGGTCAAGGTGTATGCAGAGTTGGAGGCGGGAGAGGTGGCGGGGCGGGTGGTGCTTGAGGTTGCGAGGGAGGGGTGAGGGTGAGGGTGAGGCGTGGGTTGTGTGAGCAGGTGGCTTGTAAGAGGGAGTACATTGAGGGACGTACAGTGACCCATAGGATATCGTGGAATGGCAGTGGAGAGGTAGAGAGAGCAGGCAAGCCCAGGCAAGGCAGGGAAAAGTGTATCCGTACTGTACGTATGTCCCTAGCCTAGCAGAGTACTCCATAGTCTTGGGGAACCCGTCCACCATTCCAGTGTCTTCAGCTGCAGTGTACAAGAATTATTACGTGCCTCTGCCTGGCTAACGTTATCAGAACACGGGCGCGGGCCGGGGGGGCCGGAGGATTCCAACAAAAACCTGTCAGAACTGCCTAGGGGTCTGTCTGTGTGTGTGTGTGTGCGTGGTGTGGCTTGCATGTGTTGCTCCCCGTATTCAAACGACTCGCGCCGATTTTACGTACAGCCCGATAGGACAGGAAGAAGACCGGACCCCAAAGCAAGCGTTTTGACGTGTGTTCTTTCGTTTTTGACGTGGGCGGGCAAGCCAAGCCACAAGACTCGGCTGATTCATGAAGAGCAGAGCGAGGTTGACGGAATATACCACCCACTAGAGGCCACTAAGGGGGGCCAAGCAGGTTGATGATGATATGACATGACATGGCAAGTAAGAACCGAGTTTAGATCATCATTACAGAAAGGTAAGAAAACTAAAGGTACGGAGTAAACATAGATTAGATTAAGTATAATCCTCCAGATCCCAAGGGAAGTTAGTAGCGAGCGGAGAGAACAAGAACAACCGTTTGTGTGTGGGGTTGGGTCCTTGGTTGGCTTCCTTGCGGCTCTCGGCTGCTGCCAACAGACCCAAAAAAACCCTTGCGGATCCCGATCGAGTACTAGCTAGGAACCGTTTTAGCTGAGGGGGAGAAGAAAGAAGAGAGAGAAAGAGGGAAGGAGGGAGGGTCTGGGTTTCGTTGGTTTCGTTTGCCCCTCCTTCCCACCCCACTCAAAACTTCCTAATATCGCAATTGAACATCGCACATCGCGCGCGCGCGGGTTCCTGGGGGTCCCTTGCAGGAGTTTTGCCGTTTTGATTGAAAAGTGTCAAATCTTTTTTTTTGGGAGATACAGTACATACATCTTTTTGGGGGAAGCGGCCGGCGTTCCATTCAAAACTTGCTCGAGGACAGGAGGTGCATTATTGATGCAAGACATCTCAATCTTACAGATTTGAAAGACACGATCTGCACGATATTGATGCAAGTGCAAGTGCAAGCGGTGCGGTGCTGCATTGCAGCAAAAGTCAACAGCTGCGATGCACTGCCACGGACCGATGGTACAGGAGAAGCACAAGCACGCACGGTAGATCGAAGCAGGTAGCCGTTGCGAATACCCAGCTACAGCTTACAGCTACAGCACAGCAAACAAAAAAGCACGGTTCACGTTACGGCTCACGTTCGGGTTCCTCCATCGTCATGTCATGGGTCATGAGATCGGAGAGTGTATCTCGCACCAGTACCTGGTCAATTCCATCGGCTGCTGGGTTCTGGGTTCTTTCCAACCGGCAGCATCCCCGTCAAAAGGTGGACCTCGTTCATCGTGAGCTATCCCAAGTCCGGGCGTGTTCCTAGCAATCCTGTTGGGGGGATCGAATGACAGTTCGAGATTCGCCAAAGCTCAGGGTCCCCTGCTGTACGGATAGTCTTATTTTCTCGTTCTTTTCCCCACACACGATAGGCGAAAAAGAGAGGAAACGGTCGAAGCGCGGGTTGGTGGCGGTTTCTGGTTCCTTCTCCTAGAACTACTGAGGCATGCTTCAGAAACTCTCGCTAGAGGGCAGCATTCCTCCTGGGAGCAGACGGTTCGCCGGGCCAGCCATAGACAGGCCAACAAAGACTGGAGAAATGGTCGATGCTTTGCATATGTGGCGTGTGTGGCGTGCAGCAACGGTGGAACCGTCTTGCATGCGTGGGCTGATCTGGTTCTTCTTTCGGCCATGTCCCATTCTTGAAGAGTCTTTCGGCTCCATCCTTCTGGACGAGGCTATGGGGCCCGTGTCCTGGCAACTGGTCAGTGGCGGGTTCGCGCCCGCCGAACTGCAGCAACCGCAGCAACTGTACTCGCCTCCGGGGTTGATTTGCCCCATGCTTGTAAGGCGTAGCACACAAGGTTGAAGGGCCGTTAGCAAACTTCCCGTCCCCTCCCAGAGGTATGCACAGCAACCGCTTCGTCACTTAACCGAAATTCTTTTTCGGCCTCGTCTCTTTCAGTAGCTTTCCTGGCGGGCCTCTACAGGTCGATACCTTGCAGGGCCGACTTTCAGACAATCGTCCCGTTCTGAGTCCTGCAACATGCATGGCGTGATTAGCCATGGCGTACGTCCCCTATCCGGTCTGGTATGCTGAATCGACCGGGATCCTCGATTGAGCCGTTGACTGTTACAAGGGCTCCGCATTGGGGGTGGTGCGCTGCAAGCTTGAAGTCCAGCACCGACCCTCTCCAGCCCCCGAACGCACGCACGCACACAAACGTCCGGAGAATAGCTTGCATTATCGCTTATCGATGCTGCAGTGCACTGATGATGGCTGCAAGGCTCTCAGCAATTGACACGAGAACGGATCCTGATGCGTCGACCACGTCCCAGCCTTCGTCTCTGAAGCAGTCGGGAGCTCCAACATAGTAGCTTTCGTAACTGAATCGTTCGTCCATAGCGGGAACAAGAATTAGGTTCTGGTAGCGAGTCCTGGTGGAGGCATGCATAGTCTCCACATCCAAAACGCTTGCTGCGACTGTCTGGCCAGTTTGATATAGTTCGGTATAGCCGGGTACGAGAATCCGGTCAATGGTTGGAAGACCTGCCGAATAGATTCCAGTCGAAGTCAGTGTGCATTCCGACCTTCTTGAACAGCTGCTGCTCTGAGATAGCAGCGCGGGCCCAACTCCCGGCTCAGTGAGAACTCCCAGCACACACGCGCACCCTGGCAACAGATCTCTTGTCTTCAAGGCACAGTGAGCCGGCACCGATCCTCCCTTGCTGCTGACAGGGTCTAACATCTGTGCCAAAAGCCGTCCCACAACTCCAAGATCGGCGTCTAAATCTCGTGCCTGAAAGGCAGTCCTTTTCGAGAGGAATCCAGGACCACTCCGCACTGTTCCGGCCACCTGAAACTCTGAGGGTCTTAGCATAATCGCTCGAATAGACCAGACTGTGGGTAGCCCGAGTTCGCCACAGCCTGGCACTAGCCATCCACGTACCAGGCACATTCCACACACCTTGCAGGAGATATTTCAGACAGACGCGCTCACGCGAAGGCTCTTGCGCTTCCTGTCTTATTAGCTCGCGCTCAGGGGGCCCAAAGATCCAACTCTCTTAAGTCACCTGTCATCCATCCCACCTCGAGAGATATACATCGTCATTGTCGTCCAGTATCCCTTCTTCATATAAGGCAACCACGGACCCCCCTCTCAGTCCCTTATCATTGCCCTCGTCCACCAACATCATTCTTCGAAATGGCCACCGTCAGAGCTGCCTATGACGACCACCTACCAACCCTCGACACCGACTGCGGCAAGTTCTCGCCACTTTCATCATCTCCTCGAGATTGTCCATCACTATCCGACAGTAGCTTCTCCTTCGACATGTCGTCCGACCGTCGCCCATCTTTTGCCTCGGGCTTGACAGACTCTTCACCTTGGTGGCGTTCTGGCAAGTCAAGTGGCATCACAACACCTACCACCCCAGTGACTGCCATGCCATCCTCGGCCATGCTGGAGAACAGGAAGCATACTGCACCAGATACTCCCTATGGCTTTGCCCGCAATGAGCTCGACTTCTTCTGGGAGCCTGTCCCGCAGATGCCCATGTCGACGGCAACGCTTTTAAACTCCATCACCGACACAGAGCCGGTGTCTTTTGATTCACAATACACTCCATACACCCAGACCATGACCATGAGTAACCCATCATTGTCGAGGCCTATCTTTGGGTTAGATACATCGTTCATGAGTGACGATGATCTGTCATGGTCCCATCAGCTGTCTTCCCCGCAACAAACAATAACCCCAAGTGCTGCATATCGAGCACCCATGCTGATGAACTCACCTATCTCAAGAAATGAGCCATGCACGCCGACAAGAAGAAACGTTCCGTCATCGTTATTACTGAGCAGCAGTCCCCTGGGTTTGATGTCAACTCCTGTTGTACCTTCTCAGCATGAGTCTGATGACAAATATAATGAATCCGAGTGGGCTTCCATTAGCCCAGAATTCAACCGACGCAGAGCTGCTGAGCGGTTGTCTCGGCGGCATTACAGCAAGCGCAACCTTGGCGCTGCAGACCGCGCAAAACCCATTCCCAGCAAGTCGGGCATTGACTGTGAGGTCATCATCGCGCAGAACGAGTTTGCTTGCAGTTATCCTGACTGCATCGACAAGCAGACCGGCAAGCAGAAGCGCTTCAAGCGCCAAGAACACAAAAAGCGGCATGAGAAGACCGTGCACGAGAAGCACGAGCACGGTCTGTATGCATGCTGGGTCAAGGGTTGCAAGACAGCTCCCTTCACCCGCACGGATAACCTCAAGTCGCACCTCAAAAACACTCACGGCAAGAAGTCACCCAACCAGCGGAACCGGTACGTGGCAACGCAAGACAAGAACAGCGTCCACTATGACCCTGACTGGGTGGGTGACCTCGACGACGAGGGTTATCCCATTCACTCGGCAACATGAACCCACCTTGTCCGCCGTGTAACACTAATGATTAACGGCGTTGATTGACATTTTCGCATCGGAATTGTTTCCAACAAACGGCAAAAGTCCTCGAGATCGCATTTGAATTCGCGTCATTTCCGGGCTTGCATCATCCAGACGACGACATCTTCGTATTTGTTCGAAGTGATGAATGTACGAATAGACCGACTCCGAGGGCATTACCCCATCGGCAGTCATCTGGCTCTCGAAGAGCTCCAAAAGTCGAGGCAGCACCAAAAGGTGCCATAGACACAAAAGTGCAGCACCCCATTCTCCCTACCGTGCGGGAAGGGCACGTCCGGGTGCAAAGAATGAATGGGGTGGAAACTTGCACGAATTTCGGGTTTCTTACTTCTTCTCGGTCATCATCTGGTTTCGATATTGGGCCGACAAGACAGGACGGTCGGCATTTTTTTCACTGTGCATCTTTCGCTTCGAAAGCATGAGACATGATGCTCTCAAGAAAACGGAGGAGGACTGATCAATGTGAGACCCCAGTGGGACTCGTGATACCAGATAAAGGGTGCTTAGTGGTAGAATTTTTACCAATCGAGGTTGAGTTGTTCAATCGAATCGTGAGCCATCCATTTCTGTTCGCAATCCTGTTCGTGGCGCTTCTGACGTGTAATCATCGCGTTTTCCTGCACGCTACCACCAGCGGCACGTTCCAACGCTCGTAATGCCGCATGAAAAGGCTCTCGGCTTTGGAGACCCCTGGTCCCATCGGCATTGCAAGGGACAGTAGTTGCAGACCAAATCTGGGGAAATCTTCACATGTCAGACTCTGAGTACCGAAGTCTCGACACTCGCTTGAATTGGTCGAATTGGTCGGATTCATCGAATTTGGCAAACGGTCGATGAGACAGGATCGTCTTAGTGTCGAATGAATCTGGAATGCTGAAGACTCCTTAGGGCGCGCGGTCCAGAAACGGCGCAGGAGTATGCTATCAAGGGAGGTGGGTTTCGTGCGCGGGCGTGGTCCTGCAGGAACACAAAGTGTATTGTGCAGAACCCCTGCATTTATTTGCCCCGTAGTCTGGCCGCGCGGGCTTCTGCGTCTTGACGCTGAGACACCGAACGCAAGAAGTCGTCGCGGCTTAGATAACTGTCTTTGGCTCTGGCATGCTCGGTGAGTTCCGCTTGTAGACCCTCTGCGTCGACATGCACAGCCCAATCCATCTTACTCTTCTCTACCACGTTCAACTTCGGACCCGTCGCGGCCTTTTGAGCCGAGGTCCAATTGCCATGGAATGCTGCCAGGTTGCTGAAATTCGGGTCAAAGCGGGACACTTTCCTGAGCGGTCGATGAATGGTTTTGCCTTCGGCATCAACGGCCAGGGCCTTTGTCGGTTGTTGAGCCAGCCAAAGCTTTGCCTCCGCAGAGTCTTTGAGTACCGACTTCTCCTCGGTATGAACCTCGCCAGCAAACTTGTAGGTTCTTTTGATTGTGATCATCTCTGGCTTATAGGACTGGATGTGTTCTTTGTCCGCGGTGGTTGGGTCGTTCTGTGCAGACTCTGTGTCGTCTGTTTGCGGCACAGATACAGGAACAGGGGTCGGGGCATCAGGGCGATTCATCTCCTCCCACAGCCTGTCAACGTCGATTGTACTGCCCTGAATGGAAGCAAGTTTGTTCTGTTTCCGCTCTTCCTTGTCTCGTTCGCGCATGGCACGAGTGCGGGCTCTCCAGCCCTGTGAGTCGTCTCCCTCTTCATCGGGAACGTCTTCGCCTTTCTTGATCTGCTTTTTGCGTGTTTTCTTCTGCTCTTTGATTGTGGCTTCGTCCCCGGAGTCCAACTCAAGTGGCTCCGGGACGAGAGGGGTTTGATCAACTCGCCGTCTCTTTTTTGCACGAGAATTGGCTTGGGAATCGGCTTCTTCTTCGACTTCGGATGATGACGCTGAGTCTGCGCTCTGAACACTTGCCGCGTCAAAGTCACTATCGGCCTCTTCATCATAGTCGTCCTCCATCTGGACGTCGTGATCTTGTGGATCCGTCATGGCGGATGAGACTAGCTATCAACGCGTGTTGAGTTGATCGGCTGATGAGTTGACGCGTATGATCACGCGTATAGTGAAGAGAACATGGCAGACGTGTCGGCCGCAGTGTTCGCGTTTCAAAACTTACGAGGCTGAGCTGCGAGGCTATAATAGTGGATACTGCCAAGTAAAATGGCTCTTCCCCGTCTGTCCTTCCAGCGATGACAACGACGACGACGACATCAGCAGGACGCTATTCTGGTTGGACATACAGTGTGTGGTACACTTTTCGTATGACTCGAGCTTGTAATTGTCACTGTAACCCAGAGCAAATAGTGATGAATGTGCCGATTAGGTGTCTGCCGTTTAAAGCCGTGCAGCCTTGCGCTCACGGCCGTAACATTCGCGACTGACACCAGGTTAGGCGATGCCGCGCGAACACCTTTTGGGCTGCCCCTCGCTTAGATTCGCGATGCTAGGAATTGGCTGAACAGAGACCTCGGCGTTCTCTCTGTTCGTCTACACAAAGTGTACGTGTTTGCGAGCCGGATGGACTGGGGCCGCGTTGATACTACATATTGTGGCAGCTGCAAATGACACAAAGGTAAGTCGAACTTTCAACGTTCATGAACAGTAGAACAGCGACAACTCTATACCAGATCTCTAACATCGCTCGCCCGGCTGCAACAAGGTATTCACTGCGAGGGCTATTCGCACATCAACAGCAATGTCGCAGTCTACTTCACAAGTGAGTGCTTCTCACTACAAGGACTGGCCGAACACGACCGGCCTCGACGCTCACTATGAGGAGCGAAGCCCCGTTGAGCTGAGTGTTGAAGGCAAGATTCCGTCATATATCTCTGGCACATTGTTTCGGACCGGCCTTGGGCCTCGTATCATCGACAGAGGAGCCGCTCCTGCATTTAAGGTCAACCACTGGTTCGACAACTTCTCACAGGTACATCGCTTTCACATCGACCCTTCTGGCTCGGTTATGTATAATTCACGTCTAACCTCTGATGGTCTGATCGAGCAAGCAAGGAAGACCGGAAAATTAGAAGGCTTCACATTTGCTAGAAAGTACGAGCCTTGCAGGAGCTTCTTCAAGAAAGCCCAAGCCATGTTCCAGCCAGTGCAGAGACCAAATGCGCCGAACGAACGCAATGTTGGTGTAACGATTACAGCAAATTACCCAGGCTTGGACAATAAGGGCCACGCCAGCATAGTACCTTACGATAAAGCAACCGTGTCGCAGATTACGATGAAAACCGACGCCTCCGTATTTCAGATCCTAGATCCCGAGAGTCTAGAGCCGGTCGGTGTGGCAGAGCAAGCCAAGCTGCACCCTGAACTCACAGGACCCTTGAGCGCAGCACACGCTGAACACGACCCTACAACAGGAGACATATTTAACTACAACCTTGACCTGGGCCGGACTGCCACTTACCGTGTCTTTCGCACATCTGCCTCCACAGGAAAGACATCAATACTTGCCACAATCTCTCATGATCCAGCTTACATCCACTCTCAGTTCCTCACTGAGAATTATCTTGTACTCTGCATGTGGAACAGCAGCTTCACTAAGGGCGGTGCTTCGATGCTCTGGCACCGGAATCTGATGGATGCCATGATTTGGGACAACAAGCGCCCTGCCACATGGTTCGTCATCGACAAGCGACCCCCCGAACAAGGCGGTCGAGGCCTCGTTGCTCGATACGAAACAGAGCCGTTCTTCTGTTTCCATTCCGTCAACTCGTATGAGGAGACGGTCGACGGCAAAACAGACATTGTGTGCGACCTGCTGGGCTACGAGGACATATCTGTGCTCAGCCGATTCTACTTCAAGAATATGCTCTCGGACAGCCCCGCCGCCGCGAAGTGGTCCGATCCATCAAACACCAAGGCACGGCCCACCTACCGCCGTTACCGTCTCCCAGCTATTCCCGATCGCCCCAACAAGGCCGTCAGTAAGGCCCTCATTGAGTATCAAAGTCCACCCCAAAGCGCACCCGAGCTCCCAACCATCAATCCCAATTACCAGACCAAGAAGCACCGCTACATCTACGGCATCAGCGACACCGGTCTCTCCACATTTGCCGACTCCCTGGTCAAATACGACACCGAGACACACGAGGTCAAACGCTGGAGCGTGCACGGCCACACCGCAGGCGAAGCCATCTTCGTTCCCGACCCGGCCGGCATGGACGGGGAGGAAGATGAGGGCGTGCTCCTGACGGTCGTCCTCGATGGCTTCGAGGGCAAGAGCTATCTGCTCATCCTCGACGCGCGGTCCTTGGACACAGTGGCAAAGGCTCACGTGGACGGTGTGGTGGGCATGGGGTTTCATGGACTCTGGGCGGGCAGCAAAGCCGAGCTCGCGACGACGACGACGACGACGCCGGTGGCCAAGCTGTGAGAGGTCTGATTTCTTGGGGGGGATTGCGGGCGCGGCTTGAGCAGTAGTTCATTCAGTGTTTGATCCCTGGAACCATTTCAATGTTTGCGTCCTAAGCCTTTAATGCATAGAGTCGGTCGCAAGCCCTCCCTGTTGGTCCAACTCCTCCTAACACACACACACACACACACATTGTTCCAACGGCACCACAACTCCTATTGCCATCAACATCACGTCCTGACCCTCCCCTCAAAATACGCCCCCCTCACCCCCAACCAGCCGGGCACCTGCTCGAAGTACTGAATATCCCGATCCTGCGTCCACATGGGCGTCGTCAGGCTCAGGTACGGCTCGTAGTACGGCTTCCGCATCTGCACGGACTCGAACTCGGCGCGGGTCAGGGTCCAGACCTCGACGAAGCGGAAGAGGCCGTGCCCGTCGTGGAAGACGTCAAAGTACAGGCATTGGGGCTCTGAGAGGCAGCCTTCTTGGCAGGGGCGGAGGAGCTCGAGGAAGCGGGGGGCGTTGGTGGGGGAGACGCGGATGGTGACGTGGACGGAGAGGGGGGGTTGTGTTGAGGGGGTGGTGGCCATGGCTGGGGTGTTTGTTGTGTGGTGTGGTGTTGTGTTGTGTTGTGTTTCTGGTGCGGCGGGATAGATAGAGGAGAGGTTGGTGGTATTTGCTTTTTCCTCGTGCGCGGATGGGTGCGAAGATAGAACTTACATTGGTTTCTCGTCGAAGAACGTCTAGTTTAATGTCTTATACTCACATGGCAGTTCCTGTATTGGAAGTGCCACCAGCCAGAGGTTCAACTCTGGTGGATTGTGAGCCACGGCACTCGTCACGGTAAGGCCCCACTGCACGTCCTTTATGTCAGCTGGGCCAAGCGAAAGCGCTCCGACTTCCAATTCGTGCTGCGGGCAGCGTGCTTATCTCCTTATGGATCAGTAGTATAGCTCCTATAGAAGGGTTTCGGAGCTATATCGGGCCAATTATGGTGCTGCGAGCCACAGGTTTATTAGTAATCCATAAAAGAAACAACGGTCCGCCACGCCTCGATAGTGGACCTTCTCAGCAAGCATGCTTGTCAGGTTACTGTAGGTAGCTGTCTCTGCGACGCTAGGAAAGAGCCCTTCGAGACTCGAGCGCGTTGTGTTTGAGGCATTTGACGGGACACGGACAAGGTCAGGGCTTTTTCCGATGAAAAAAGGCTACCCAAGTATGGGGGACTGGGCAACAGACACTCCGACGACGTAGCTGCGTTTCTAGGGAGGACACAGATCCCAGACACCGCCTGAGTTGCCCGCACGGATAGCGGTTGGAAGAGCACTGTATACTACCGCTTTGTGGGAACATCAGATACCGAATCTCAGACATGAAACGTCCAGTAGAGCTTGTGTCCGCAACACTCGTGCAATACATGTGCTAACGTCCTCTGCCTCCTTCCTCAACTGCTCCCACATGAACTCCCACTGCAGTCATTGCCCACAAACACCCCCAGCACGGCTGCGAACGCGCTCGTCGCCACGAACATATCAATGCGTCGTGCATTGGTCACGAGAATGAGTGCCAGGCTGAACAGGCACGTCAGACCTACGACGAGTCCCAGACGCGCCCGCTCACCCGGGACAAAGGACAGTCCCAGGGTGCCCAGCGCCGGCATCAGGCTCGCCAGCATACTGCTTACCGTTTCGGCGAAGCGCGCGATGCGTGTGTCCGAATACGAATGGAGTGGCATTTGCATGCGCTCTTGACCGGTATACGGATTACTGATGTAGACGTGCTGCTGTCGGCGGTGGCCGACGGTGCGGTGATAAAGAGGAATCGCTATTTTATCGATTAGGCGCGTGAGCAGGTCAGCGGCCGGCGGCTGCAGCGAGGAGAGGTCGGCAGCCCATTCGTCGTCCCAGACGGCGGCTTCGACACCTCGCAAGAAGCCGTGGCCACCGCGCTTATCGTGTAGCCATTCTGTCAGCTTGCGATGCTGGCGCGGAGTGGCTCTCGGGAGGGCGGTAAGGCGGTGGTGCTGCAGGAGCAGGTCACCTGAGAAAACATCAGCAAGCGTCCTTCGGTGCGCAATGGGCAGGTTCGTGTACCGTAGTCCCTGAGCTTTGCGTCGAGCTCATGCCAGAGATGGGCTTGCGTGTTGCTTCGCGACTTCATCTGCTGGGCATAGTAAGTCTCATACATTTGCTTCTCGGGGTCGTCTGATTCGCGATCTGCTTCAACAACCACACTCAACTCATCGCTCAGGTGAGAGATCTCCGCGGACAGGTACAGCAGGCGCAGCGTCCGAATACTTTGAAAACGACGAAAGATTGAGTACTCTTTCTGGGTTGCCATCAGGGCAGCTAGCCTCGTATAGCCGTCCATGGTGCTCAGACGAATGCCAGAAAAGCTGGATCGCCATTGCAATGTTCATGCCCAGGATTCGCATCTGTGGTCTTATTATCATGCAGATGCAACATCATGTGAGAGAACAGATCAGGCTCGAGGCTCCCTGGGAGAGAAGAGAGCCTTGAAGGACGGCCGGGCGTCAAGGCGTCTTCTGTAAGCGCGCTGCTTGCAGTCTGCATGGAAGTGTGGCTTCTGACAGCGCCTAGACATTAGTTGCCTCGTACGTGCGTCTCGAGCTGCAAGCCCATACAAGGGTTAGCGATAGAGTAATTTCTGTCGCACACCATCACAGATAATCAGCAAATCAGGCGTGACAATAAGGGTAGACCTGCATTGCATCTTGCAGGAATTCAGCCTGAGGTTGCAGCAACGTGCGGCATGGGAAGTCGCCGCACCAGCCGCAAGACGTACCGGAGCAATTCGGCTCAAGCTGCCTCGCTACGACTAGGACGCCGGATACGAGTTGCGAGGATGAGGTTTGACGAGTGTTGATCAGGGCTTTCAGGGGCTGTGTTAGTATAACTGCCTCGAGGCAGTTCCGTTCGACTCAGCCTGCTGAGCCTGGGCTACGCTCACCGTTGTTACCAGTGCTATAGCTCCCGAGAAATGTGCTCTTGCATAGCCACATGGGCGACTAGCCTCCGCTTCGATCCTGATGGCCTGTTAGATTTGCTCACGGGGCGGGAGCGCTGCTGTCGAGACCACGCTCGGGTTATGCCCCTTCGCCTTTGCCTCGGGCTTCGTGGTTGATGTCCGCTCACAGCAGTTTCTGAACTCTTTGGGGTTCGTCCTAACATGGCTTTAACGTTCAGATTAGTGTTGCTCGAGCCCTGCGTCCGCCCTCGTCGACATCCTCCCGCAGAATAACTACCTGCACCTCTTCCCCAAACCTTTCCACACCGCCGCAGGTAAACACTTTCACAAGAGTAATTGGGAACCCAAAGCTGGATGTCATAGCTTTCGGCTAGTAACAGAGACGACCAACATATAGGGACATTCGCGATGCTGTACTAGCGGTGTGGACTCTCCCGGCGAGTTATAGCGCCGTTTGGCGGGTCCCGAATCCAACTCTGATTGTACCTCCCACCATCTAGTCTTCTCTCGCTCCTCGCATTCGCTGTCACGATAGTCAACATATTATCCCCACTCAGTCGATCGCAGAGGTCGTACTTATTGGTTTCCAGTCACCTTTCACGAGCCAGGTGTGCGCCTGTTCACATCCGTCGTCGACGTCGGCGCAGCCCGTTGGGTGCGCCCGCCGGGTGCGGGCACTCCTCTTGGGCACCTAGCACAGCGAGAATTCATACTTACTACTGGCCACAATCGGCAAGAACCAGCACAATGTCCAACGGAAAGCGCAGATTTTCAGACGGAGATGTGGACATCCCCGTTGACCTTCCCCCCAGAAACCGACAAAGACTGTCAGGTCCAGCAACAGCAGCATGGCGTCGAAGACCAGATGACTTCCGAATTGGTCAGCCCTGGCACCAACAGCGGTCCGCTAGCTTGGATGTGCACCGTGATCTCGAAGAAGCGGTGCCAGACCTTGATGTCCCTGTGGACCTTGAAGCAGTTGCTTCAGAGTTAGACGACAATAGTGACCACAGCGACCCAACCCTCGTCTCGCCTAATCAGGATCTTCCAGGTATAGGTGAATGGTCAAAGATAAAATCGTCGACGTTACAATCTCTTGCACCAGCGAGTGAGCATCCTTCCAACTCAGTCCATTCTGGATCATCAAGAGCCAGCTCCTTGCGTACCGACACGATTCTCAGTGATGCCGACAACAACCCTTATTGTGTCGCCATATTCCACTGGACGTCTCTCGAATGGTGCGGAGGGCACCTCGACACTGGAAGCGGTTTCAATATCATGGGCGAATCCACTGCTTAGCGTTTTCGTTCGCGGGAGAAATGGAAAACGGCCGAGGAACCTTATGCTGAGGTCAAGTCTCTGTCGAGTTCTCCGGTGAAAATACTGGGTCGATTCAAGCTCAGAGCTTGGATCGAAGTCGGCCAAGCTTGCTTCGCCGTCGAGAGTACCTGGGTTGTGGTTTCGGACCAGGTTATGGGTGGGTTGTCTGATGCTCTGGTTGGACGGCCTCTGATAAAAAAAATCGGTTGGCCGCAGCTAATCTCACATCTGGACAGCGCTTGTTGCACACCGGGGCAGCCAGGCGCGTCAGACAGGCAACTTCGAGCATTGCTCTTGGGAAAATCCACGCAGGCTGAAAGAAAGGCCATATGGGAAAGTGAAAGCATTGCTGTCCAGGCAGACCGTAAGGCTGAAGAGAGTCTGGCTAAGCCACCTCGGACCGAAGAGGCAAGGCACCAGCGAGGCAACACACCACTCGACCAGAGCCCGGCATGAAGCGATTCCATCTCTCGTTCGGGCATCAATCCAGGGTGGCTGAGACTGGTCATGCTGTTGGCTGCATACATGCATCTAGCCAACACATCACAAAGAAGGTCGCACATCAGTCGGGCGCACCAAATGGTGGTCTTCATGGGGCATAAGAAGCAGATCAGGCTTCTCCATTCCATCTCTTTCCCACACCTGACCAACATAGCCCTCGAAACAACAATGGCAACTCAGAGCGCTTCCGGCCACGAATCACCAATTATGCAATTTCGCGACTTATGGATTTACATCCAGTCCGCCAGTGGCCTCCCCGAGCGGAAGCTTGCCAAAGGTACGGCAGACGACCACAGCGAGATGACGGAGGCATGCCTCGTATCGCTGGGTCACAATGTGCCTGATGATCGCAGAAAAGAACTTCGCTGTGGCCACAAGGCCCTGACATGGTCGATAGAGTTCCATATTGTTGAAAGAGCCGGCAGAGAGGTGGTCCTTGGATCCCACGACTGCGAGCAAGTTCGCGCCGCCGACGATCCGGGCGCGTTCATAGTGGAAGCATCCAAGAAGAGCAAAGGTGCGTAGCGCTGTGGTGAGGGGGGCCACGTGCTAACGCGTCGTTAACTAGAAGAGCAACAGCAACACAAACAGCAGAAGGCAAAGGACAAAGAGCGCGAAAAGAAGGAGCGCGCAGAGGAACAAGCAGCCAAGCGGGCTGCACTGAGCTCACAGCAAGAGGAGAAAGACAAAGAGCGTGAAAGGGAACAAGCAGCCAAGCGGGCTGCACGGCTCTCACAGCAGAAGAAGTAGGCAAGATGTTGTGTGTTGAGGAGGTCGCAAGGGATGAAAGTGGCTTCCGAATTTCGAGGGAGGAGCGGGGTGTTCTCGGTGCAGGGCCGGCGTCTATTTTCTCGGCGTATCGTCGAGGAGATGATCTGGGCTAGGGAGTCTGACCAGTGATAATTCATGATGAACATGATGATGGGAGGCAGCGTATCAGTTTAATGTGACCGCACGACAGGGACCTCATTCGGATTGTTTGTTTACGGTTGGGCTCGACGCGTCTGAAAGACTACGGCGGATCTGAAAAACTACGGCGGACTACAGAGACCAACTTGACGGGCATGACTTTTTGCGGGTTGGTCTTTGTACCAGGTACCCGACCTCTTTGATACCTCAGTCTATCTCCTTCTACATGATGCACACTTCGCATCATGCTGTTCCAACATCTGTGATAGGAAACTGCACCTGTTGACTGGATGGGCACTCCTTTGACGTGTTTCGTTGACTTGCACACGCCAAGTAAGGAATTCTGCTGCCTGTTGCCTTTCAAATCTGGTAAGCGATGAAAAGCCCTCGCATTTCTATTTCTGCTTCAACGTCGAATCTCTTCGATTTGCCCGTCAAAGCGACAATGCGATCTCTGTCTACCCAAGTGTCCATCGTGGTTGGTCGCAGAATACGTCTGGTGGAGCACCGCTTGGTTCTGGGGGCGGTGCTGTCCCCATCCCCAAGCGAAGCATTGCTTGAAACCCGAAACGAGTAAACGACAGCCCATTCTCCCACCAATCATGCTGCCACATCGGGTGCATCGATCTCAGCCTCCTCCAGCCGAGGGACACAAGGCTGATTTCCACCCTGGTTGCCCCCACCGAATTGAGTGTCATGAGGAGAATGCGAATACGATGCAAGGCCACTACACCATTTCGGGGTGTGGAGTGCGAAGTGGTACAGGAACTCAGAGCACTTTCATTCCTGCTATGTGCTATGCAGCAATTGCAACTTCGCTTTCACGACTGCGGTCCAATCTTGTCACGGTCGATGCGATGGCTCGTTGGATCTGCGACGCGTGGCTTGGATACACGCCCAGCAGCAGACCCTCCCGAGTACGTTCGATACGGCTTGGCGGTCAGTTTGCATCCACGAAATGCGACGCATGCGATAATTCGGCCACAAGGTAGGGCGTGAATCAATTGATATGGCAGATATATAACCGTCGGCGGCGCTTGTGCCAGTCCTGCTCGCTATTCGCATCTCTAGTTTGAAGACCTGACAGCATTTCCCACCCTACAATTCTCAGATCAGATATCCTAGACCATGGGTCAGCCCACCGAAGACAACATCTACGGCTATGACGCCTCCCAAGCCGCCGCCATCGTCTTCTCCGTCCTCAACAGCATCCTGCTCTTCTACCACAGCTACCTCTGCTTCTACCGTCCCTGCCGCTCCCGCTACAAGCACCGCTACACCATCCCCCTCTTCGTGGCCTGCGTCCTCGCCACGGCGGGCTACTCGATCCGCGTCGTTTCCGTCGACCAGCCCGACGATGTAAGCCTCTACGCCACCTCGTCCTCCTACGTCGTCATCTCCCCCATCTTCGTCTGCGCCACCCTCTACTGGCAGCTCAAATACCTGATCCTTCTCCTCCTGCCCAAAGGCCCCCACCAGCGCCTCTTCGGCATCAACCCCCTGTGGGTGGGCCGCATCTTCATCACCTCCGACATCCTCTCCTTCCTGACGCAGGGTTCCGGCAGCGGCATCGCCAGCTCCGGCAATTGGGAGGGCAACCAGAAGGACATTGGCGAGGGCGTCCTCATCGGCGGCTTGACGCTGCAGCTCCTCACCTTCACCGTCTACCTGATCTTCATGTTCAAGCTCGTGCACCGTGTGCACGCCCTGCCAGAGACCAGCTTCCCCGCCGACGTCAGGAAGGTGCTGACGGGCGTGTGGATCGCTGCGACTTTCGTCCAGGTTCGTCGACACCTCTCCTCCCCATCTCCCTGCCTCTTGCCCACCTTCCACACTACACACTTCCTCGCCCGAACCCAACCGAAATACTAAACTGCCCCGCAACACAGATCCGCACCGTCTTCCGCCTCGTCGAGTTCGCCTGGGGTATCGAAGGCTACCTCTTCAGCAACGAGTGGTGCCTGTACGTCTTTGAGAGCGTGCCCATGTTCGTCGCCCTGCTGGCGCTCGCCTGGTTCCACCCCGTCAAGCATCTGCAGGCGAAGCGGTATTTTGAGGAGGAGGAGGGGATTGGTGGGGGTGCGCAGGAGAAGGGTCGCCGTGGTGGTTCTCCGGGTGAGGAGGTTGTGTAATGGGGATGACGTGAGACTGAAGCTGCCCTGAAGCTGCGCTGAAGGTTACAATGGATTTCGCTTCATGGGATTGTGGGTTACAAAGAGATGGTTGGGGAAAGCGGATGCTATGTATGGGACATGGGGTATAGAAGAGGGCCTGATAATCGTTTCATCGTTCAGAATGATGGTGTGGCTTTCAATTTTCGGCAGAACAGGAGATAGACAAACACCACCGCAAGCGAAGGAAAACAATACATCTTGAGTTTGTCATTAGGAGCAGTGATCTCATCATAGACGGTCCAACGGGGACCAAATCAACGAAAGGGTGGTATCTCGAAAAACACATCAAATCCCAAACGATAGCACCTTTTTTGGCCCTTCTCTGCAACGTTCCAGTATACCCATCCGCAGCGGGCCACAAACAATGCCGATAACAGCAGCAACAACAACCACAACCAGAATCGAAACAGTCCCTCTCGACCCAAAAAGCCCTCGGTGGTGCAACGCGTGCCGGGCGACGCCCCATGCAGCTGGATCCCATATTCTCCTCCCCCATTGGGAGCCCATCACCACATCCCGTGTCCCAAATGCGTGCATCTTCCTCCTTCTCGCCCTCCTCACAACTCACATCTCACAATGTCACAAGAAGTCCATATCCAAATCAATCGTCTCCATGACCGCAGGCGCCGTCGCGCCACTCACCACATTCTCGACGCCCATGGTCGTGACAAGCACGGGATCCACGACACTACCCACCACCAGATCGCCACCCACCTCATCCTCCCAGAACCGTGCGGCGGCCCAGTCCAACTCCCCCACATCCACATCCCTATCCCCATCCTCACTCACACTCACACTCACCTCGCCCAAACTGTCCCCACCCCCATCCACACCCGTCGTCGTCAGTGGGGGACTAATCGGCAAATCCAACCTCAGAACACTCACGCCGGCACCCGTCCCCAGCCCCGCGCCAGCACCACCACTACCACCACCTCCGCCGCCGCCGCCGCCACCAGACCACTCCCCCGCAATCTCCCTCGCCACAATCGCCATAATGCGCCTAGGCCAGCCGAGATGCGTGCGCAACGGGCTCCCCGCGTCCTCGAGGCGGGTGAAGATGCCGGTGGCCCACTCGACGGTGCCGCTGAGGACGCGGCTCTTGGCTGAGTCGGCGCGGTCGGGCCACTCGTAGACGGCGAGGGGCACCATGAGCATCTGCAGCCCGACAAAGTAGGCGAGGAGGAGCTGGGCGGGGAGGTTGTGCGGGTCGAGGAAGCGTTTGAAGGAGTCGTGGCAGAGTTCGTACCTGTGTGAGAAAGGGGGAGAGGTTAGGTCTTTTTTTTTTCTTTGTGTGGGTGATTGGAGTTTAGAGGGCTGGTCCATGGTTGGGAGAGGGGAAGAATGCCATGTGCTGCGCGCATGGCTAGGAAAAGGGAATTGAGAAAGGACGTCAGAGTTGGATGTGACTCACCAGACAGCGTAGAGTCCGGCGAACTGCAGGTAGCCGCCTTGTGGCGAGTCCAGCAGCGCCTCCAGCACCTCGATGAGGGCCTGGTGGAAATTCATGTCAACCTCGTCGTCGAGGAAGGGGCGGATGTCCTCCAATGCGGCGATGCCACTCTGTAGCAGCAGATGATTGACGCGCGGCAGGCTGGCCAACCGCGGCGCCATGACTTTGAAGTGCCAGTTGGGCTGGAGGTTGAAGGCGGTGGGCACGTCCTCTTGCTTGATTTTGGCGGTCGTGAGGGCACAGCCACGGACCATGGTGATGAAGTCGGCGAGGCCGTCGCCCATGTACGAGGCCTGGAAGGTGAGTGCGTAGCAAGCAGCCAGCATGGCGTCGGATTCGCCGTAGTGTCGCGCAGGCATGCTGAGGGCAGTGTTCAAGCCGGCGATGGCCTGGCCGCGGTGGATCAGCGATTCCTTGCGGTAGTCCATATCGGTGAGGCGGCTGAGATGAGAGGCGCCGAGAGAGAGAATGGCGTGCATCAGGTACTCGTGGGATTCGGCGAACTGGGGGATTTCGTTGACCCAGACGTGGTCATTGCCGATGGGAAGGTGTGGGTAGGCGGTGGTGAGGAAGTGATGGAAGAAGCGCATGTCCAGCATGGTGAAGGAGGCAGTGGCTGGACTACCTGTGACGCCGCCGACATTGCGCTTGGTGAGAGCAATGGCCGGGGTCTCTTTGCGTTTGGTCTGCTCGGTGGGTGGGTAGACACAGTCAAGGCTTTTGAGCAGACAATTACCGCATTTGGGCTTCTGCTCACCGCACTTGATTTTGCGGCTTTTGCAGGTGAAGCATCCGGCGCGCGACTTCTTGTGGCTTCGGCGCGTTAGATTTGGCGCGAGCGTACGGGGTTGCTTGTTGCCGGACGAGGAGAGGGTCCTGGCGTTGAAGATGGCATCTTTGGGCGGTGAGATGGTGCCAGACGTCAGATCTGAGTGGTTCGGGGTGACAGTGTCCCAGCTGAAGAAGTCCGAGTCGAGGCCGTCAGATGTGTCGGATACATACATCGACACTGTGAGATTAGGTATTGGTGTTGGTATGCTGGGGGGATCTTGGGGGCTCGTTTTGAGCTTGGTGTCGTGTCATCTAGATGAATCACACCGCGGCGGTAAGGCGTTATGTTGGTGTAGTCGCAAGGCTGAATGAGGATACAATGGGGGAGAAGCAGAAGCCTGAGGGCGTGAGATGTGTAAAGGAGTGTATGTTTGATGTGTTGTTCGGCTGGGCCTGCCCAGGGTACTGTATCCCTCCCTGCCCTGCTTGGACAAAGAATAGCACAAGGCAGAACTGTGTTCCGTGTGGCTTGCAGGGGACCGACCAACGACGAATGGGCGAAGAGGGGAGAAATGACGATGTGGTATAGGGCTTGGTTGGCTTTGATGGGTGCCTAACTGCCTAGCTCGCGGCCTGGCTGAGCTCTCATGGCAGAGTACAGGACGAGCTGTGGGGTTGGTTTGTTGGTGGATGTAGAGTTTTACGCCCTTCGGATTGTTCGATCGAGTGCCGAGCGGGTGGGACAGGAGCAACAAGCAATCAATACCTCGTTCGTCTCGAGGAATCAGTCCTAACTGGGACACCGCTTAGACTTGTCCAAAATAGAGCGCGAATCACAAGTGCCTGGGGTTCGTGGGGGCGGCGATCTGTTTCGCTCTCGCCTAAGGGGCCCTGAAATGCCTCAGGCCTGAGTCACCGGTGAGCTGGGCCCCGGCTTGTCCCTCTATGTATATCATCTGCAACCCATCAGCGCCGTCTTTACCCTGCCCGAGATCTTGTGACTAGCAAAGTCCTTTCTGCCGATGCCAGCAAAAGCACAAGCCGTCGGGAAATTGCTGGCGTTGCGGTCAATGTCACCAATCCCAATGACCTCAAGGAGGCGATGCCTCGGTAAGCTGCACACGGGGGCTCCAGGCGCAGCTTCAGCCCTCCACGTGCCTGGGCCATCTATCCCCCCTCCCCTGCTCATTGCTGACACAGCAGCCCTATGATCGCCATGACTCCGCGGATGGACTTCGCGCCGCCAATGTGACGCCAACTGCTCATGCGGTAACCTTCTTTCTTGGGAATACGAACATCGAGATTCATCAACGGCCGTAGCATGGCCATCACGACGACTCTTCGCCTGATATGGCAACTCACCCCAGTGGCTGTCAGGACCGCGGTACTCAATCTCCTGCGGTTATCGCAGAATGCTAAGAAGCAAGATCTGAAGACTGAGGTCATCGTTGCCGTCCTCAAGAAGCTCACCAGTGTTCCCCAGCCGATAGGGTCAGTTCAGAAATGGGGACTCCGCGATCCGGGCATCAAGGGACCGATATGGATCTCTACCGTGACTATGCCGGCGCCCGCTGAGAGCGATACACTTGATGTTCTGCTTCGCGCCATCGAGGCCATGGGTGATGGTACAGAGCAGTTCACCAAACCAACCGTCGCCTCTATAGAAGCCGAATGGACCGGTGCTCGACACGGCGTTGGGAAGAATGAGCCTCGGCCAGACCTGCCCGAAGCTGAACAGTACAACAAATTGCTCAACGAAAGCCCCGGCAAGACTACCATCCTCTATTTCCATGGCGGCGCGTATCTTATGATGGATCCGGCAACTCACCGCGTGACTACTGGCAAGCTGTCCAAGAGAACTGGCGGTCGCGTGCTCTCAGTCCGCTACCGACTCGCTCCTCAGTTTCCCTTCCCAGCAGCCCTCCTCGATGCCTTCCTCGCCTACCTCTATCTTATTTCACCCCCGCCGGGTTCCTTTCACGATCCCGTCAAGCCGTCCCACATCGTCTTTGCGGGAGATTCGGCAGGTGGAGGGCTGTCAACTGCGCTCCTTCTTCTCTTGCTGCACCTCCGTCGGTCTGGCGTGACCCATGTCCAGATTCACGGCAAGTCCGTCGAGCTGGGAATTCCCGCAGGCATCGCCACAAACAGCCCATGGCTCGACGTGACGCACGCTCTGCCAAGTATGCAACGCAATAAGCAATACGATTACCTCCAGCTTCCGAATCCCGATGGCACTCCTACCACTGAGCCGCCCCGAGATGACATCTGGCCTGCTTCACCGCCCAGGGCCGAGATATACTGCAATGCTAGCATGCTGACACACCCTCTCGTGTCTCCAGCTGCGGCCTCGGCAGAGCTCTGGAAAGGCACTCCGCCAGTGTTTATGGTCTGCGGTGAGGAGCTCTTGACCGACGGCGCAACGGCAGCGGCGCGCCAGATCCACGGTGTTGGCGGAGTAGTGCATTTTGTCGGCTACGAGGGCATGCCGCATTGCTTTTCCATGATCTTTCAGACTGAAGACTGTTTCTCGCGCTGGGCCCAGTTTTGCATGGATGCGGCCACGGACCCCAAGCTGCTTGGGAGACCGAACACCGGGACCTGGGTTAGGGCATTAACAAACCCTCCTGAGGGATACGAGAGCGAGCTTGCAAGCATCAACGCCTTGTCAGGCGAGGAGGTGCGGCGGCTAATGACGGTTGCAAAGGCCAAGGCCGTGATACGGGAGGAGGAGCTGGTCAAAAAGTGGGAACAAAAGGAGACCAGGGCGAAGTTGTGAGTTCTTTGTATAAACCATTGCCGCACTTCACAATGACCTGCTCTTATTATACATTCTCGTTTCGGAGACGTGAGCGGCGTAGATCACACAGTGAGCCTCTCCAGCGTTTGCTCCGCTCCCATCAAAGCTAACCAGAAAACGACCATGGCGTCTCTCCCTACCCACATCTGCATCGGTCAACACCCTTCTAAAGCGGTCATCTGCGATCCGCCGTCAGTGGCTTGCCATCTACTCCTCTTAGGAGAGTGAGGGGTGTACATATTGTCAACATGCTTTTTCCCCGCAATTGCTGTCCCGTTGGCCCCGAGCAAGGACACCGAAAGCCATGTCCCTGCCTCTCTCCATCATCGGAGATCGCAGTATAAAGAGGTCGGCTGGTATCAACATTGCATGCAGCCCCAACAATCAGATCCAATACACCAACACCGTCCAACATGCCCACCGCCAAGACCGTCCCCTTGACCGTGGTCGACACCAACAAAACGCCGTGGCAGCCGTTCCCCGTACCCTACATCGGCGCCAATCTAGATCACAACCCTCTACACGAGGATGCCGAAACAGGCATGACGATCCTCAAGCTAACCTACCGTGCCGGCTTCACCAACCCCTGGCACAGCCACTTCTGCGGTCATGGCTTCTACGTGCTCGACGGCATCCTCGACACGCATGGCGGTCAATACGGCCCCGGCAGCTGGGTGTGGTTCCCCGAGGGAGGCACCATGTACCACGGCGCGACCAAGGAGAAGGACGTCACGGTGCTTTTCATCACCAACAAGAAGTTCTCGATTCACTTTGTGGGGGATGGGAGTGACCCGTGCGCGCTGGAGATGGATCCCGCGGATCTTAAGCGCATGGTGCCGCAGCCGTTGCAGAAATGAGGACTGGGATAACGTGTAAAATGTATGTATATACGAGCAAGTGAAACGGGATCGACCTACGATCCTTGCTCATGCATCGTAGGCCGGGCGTACCTTACATCAAGGCCCAGCAGCCAATTATGCAGATGCTGTGTGTCGTCCTCAACATTACCACATATCAGTTCCACATGATCGGAGCTTTGACGTCTTACTGTCATGTGCCGTTCGTCTCCGACGTGTTATAGAAGGGTCGATGCCAAGAGGCAGTAGATTCGGCGGAGAGGAACGGCAAGCGCCCAAATACCTCACCTCACTCACCCCCATTCACAAAACACCTCAAGAGCCGTGTAGGATTTTTTTTAACTCTCCGGCATCAAACTAGGGCCAATCGCCTCGATATATGATACACTTTAACAAACGATCCAAGGTCAGCTGACGGGTATGCATCTCCAAAGATGAATCACACCACCACTACGCCTCCTAAATCCTCACGCCACCAGCGGTACGAAGCAGTAAGAAACCCGCAAGAGATGGAACGGAACTCCAGTCAAGACCGCATGAGCCATTTTGAGCTTCTTGCAGGTCTCGACGCTCCGCATAAAAAGACGGCCACCAGCAGTCCCTTCCCTTCCCCGGATCAGCTTTTTACATCTACATCCAGCAGAAGACCAATATCATCACCCCCCAACATCGACGAGACCACATAAACGACGCACAGCCACTGAGCCAACCCTATCACCCCAACAAAGAAGACACTCCCACACCAGCCCTAAAAAAAATGGCCACCACAACCCTCTACCACCTCCTCCTAACAACACACAACCTCCCCAGCTCACAAAACCCCCTCAACAAAGTCGAAAAGATCCGCGCCCCCGGAATCTACACTTCCCTGACCCAAGCCCAAGCCGCCGCGCACCGCGCCCTCTTCGACCTGGGACTCGAGCGCGACTTCTTCACCGTCTACGAAGTGCGCGAGGAGGAATTCGCGCAGCACCCCTCGCTGGGCAAAGGGCCGGACGCGATTGCCGACAAGGCGGGATTGGCGGTGCACGCGGTGGCGCGGGACGGGAGTGTATGGCAGGTGCGCGTTGCTGCGACTCCGGTCGAGCATGCGAAAGCGAAAGGGTGGGAGGCGAGTTGGGAGGACGGGCGGGTCGGTGGCGGGGACGCGTATCTGGTGGTGAGGACGAAAGTCAGAGGCGAGGAGGAGCGGGGTGGCGTGAGGGAGCATGTGGTGCTGGGGGCGACGAGGACGCTGGGGGAGGCGAGGAGGGTCGCGGCCGAGGCGGTGCAGGCGTTGAAGCAGGAGGGCAAGTTTGAGGTGGCTGAGATGGATGATGGGGAGGAGTTGGGCGAGAGTACCGTCGGGCATGCGGTGGGGAATGATGGGGAGAATGTCTTTGTCAGTGTGGTCAAGGTGGTGGAGCTGGAGGCGGTGCGCGTTGGGGAGGCGAGTATGCGGATTCGCTGAGGGGTGGGCGTGTCGTGGTTGTAAGTGTATGTTCAAGGAGAGTAATCGCGGGCAGGGCCGCCGAAGGCGATCAGCGTCTGGGAGGCGGTTCAGAAAAGTCCAGTCTGGTGGCTTGGGCGGTCAGCTCTAAGAAGGCAGAGTAGTTTCTCCCAATGGCAGCAGAGTCTTGTTTCATTTCAGTCCATCATCTTCCATCCTCTCCAGTGTCGTTGCGTCTACCGGCTTGACTAGTGCCCAAACATCGTTGGCGCCTTCGTCACAGGCCTCTGCCAACCAGAGCCACTTCTCCATCTCCTGCTTCATCTCACCAAATTCAACATAACCAAGGCGGAGCTGACACCACACCAGCAACTTGAAAAACACGTCCTGCGGTACACAGCCAGCCTCGAATTCGTGAAGCTTATGGGCATCATCTTGAATATCAGGGCCTACGGCCATCATGCAGCCCATCATTGAGAGCCACATTAGCAGACCGATCTCCAAGTGAGCCCAGGCGTCCAGCCCCTGCGTCACAACTGCCTCGAGCTTCATCTGAAGCATTTCGACAAGCTTTTCCTTGGGCTCCCATGGCGGCGATGGGTACAACGCACCGTAAGCAAACACAAGTGCCCCAACCCTTACTAGCTCTTCCACCATAGCATTTCGCGCATATGGCGGTGCGTGAGACCGGCCGTAGTCGTACATAGGTAGCGAGAGCAGCTGGTGCACCAACAAATTCCGAAACATAGACATATCGCGTGCATTGGGAGCCGGATCACCTGTCACGAAGGCATGGACGTCATTGGAGTATATCCGCATATCAATGAGCAAGTCGATCAGGTCTTCGGGCAGGCTCAACTGGTCAAAAGCCAGGATTGCTGGTCGTTCGTCATGTTTTTGGGCTTCTCGCCATTTCCTCCGTGCCAGATCGACCGTTGAACGCATGAACTTTTCAGCAGAATGTGTCAACCCAAATGCAGGCGGCTCGAGCGCCTGTGCTGAAGCGTGGAGATCGTAACTGTTTACTCGTCAATCTGCTGCAGAAGCTCAAGATATCGGCCATGGGCTAATAACAGGCCTGCTTACTCACCACTGTAAGGCCTCGGCGAAACCAACCAGATGCACCTCCCGCAAGCCGCCTCGTTGCCCCACCATCCTTCTGGCGGCTGATAGGTGAGGCTCGGCGAAATAGGTCTCCCCGTGCATATCCAGTGCCTGCAGTTTCTGGAGCGGCGGGCGAAACAAACCGAAGCCGAGTCCGCCGACACGCCCATACCGGTAGCAACGAGGCCTTGCTGTCATCGAGAGGTAACAAGCCGCTTGCAGCATCTCATCGGTGGCTTGTTCAAGTGTACTCGCGAGTCGTCGGATCTCACGCATCGCCGTTGCGGCGTGACGGTGGATGAAGACATCTGCTACACTCGTCACACAGTGAGGGTTATTGGCCTTCATCTATGTAGAAGCAATCAGTCCAAGTAGTCTGACGCCAGGGAGGGGCCAACCAGCCATAGAAGCATGCCCAGCGAGGAGAGCATGCAGAAGGACTTGAGACTTGCATGTGAGTTCAAGCCACGTATCGACGATACTTGTTTCAGCGTAGATGCGGAAAGTAGGCCATAGGACTGTGGTTGCTGTACCCATTACGTGAGCCATATCGTCTCTCGAGGGGCAGGAGAGTCCACTGTACTCCTGTGAATCACTTTCTTCACCTGCGGGTCAGTAAGCTCTGGGACACACAGCGTACCCGGGTCGAAGCGGAAGGTATGTAGGGAGGCTTCTAGTTCGTGAGATGGCGATCGAAACTGTTGAGACTTGAAGTTTTGCACGCGATATCGAAGGACATCGAAGCCCTTGCCGACACGTTTGCCCCTTCCTCCTGCTGCAGTAAGCGGTCTGCGCGATTGCCGAGGGGCACGAGTAGGCTGACTGGTTCGGGCGTGTGTTGTGCCCGCAGAATGTTGCTCCAAGGTGTCCTCTACGGCCCCCTCGAGGTCGCGATCTTCTTCAACGTCATTTCCCGAATGGACTGACATCAACTCGTTGCCGTACTGCGACTGGTGATGTTTGCGGGCTGCCCTTGTCCTGACTGCCATAAAGGTCGACTTATGGCCGTGTTGAGGACGAATGAAGCATTTATGCGTGGCAGAATACCGTGATGGCAAAGCTGAGGGGGATCTGCCGTCTGTCCAGTATTCGCCCATCTGTCATGAAAACCGAAAATGGTTCCGGCTGGATTCCAGCCTTCGCTTCAGCTTACCGTTCTAAGCAGTTGAAGTTCTTTCATGGTTCGCGGTCATCTTAGTCATGGTCAGATTACGGAGCTTGCCGCAGGAACACGAGGCTGTCTCGCTGCATGAGCGTGGTTTCACCCAGAATGCGCCGACAAAGCCAGGTAGAGGACATCGGGGCTGTGTTCTGAACCTATTTGTCACTTTCGCCAGCTAGTGTCGGATGGGAGTTGAATCGCGGGTGCGGTCGACAAGTGTCATAGAAGCCGAAATGACTAAGCGTCAGGTATCAAAATGATCTATGGAAGAACATGTCGGTTTCTTTTGTACATTAAAAACCTATGACCACTGGATCCATGCGAGCCATTAGACCGTGTACGAAACGAATTGGCTAGCTACATACACTTGGCTCGAAATTTGATCCGGGACGTTGGCCACCTCTTGTGTTCTTGTAGATCCCAACACCGGCTTCATCCTTCCTCTCGTCTAAATATGAAAGTCCATCTCTTCGCCCCAATGCTCTCTTCAAACCTCGCCTCGTCCCCGGATGAGAAGAAAATAAACGTCAAGAGATGATGTGCAGGGTATCATGAAATGGGACCTGTTCGCAGGCGCGGGCCGTCAAGTTACATTCTCAAACAAGGAATGCGCTCAGCTTTAGTTCCAGCCAAGGGAATTCTCTGCCATGACTGGAGGGCTGATGTAAGTACGGCCGCTTCGGCCAGACTCGTCGCTGCGGTCGCTGTTTCGCGAGCCACGGCCGTTGTTACTGCCCATCCTGCCAGCCATACGGCTGCCGTAGCTGTTACGAGCACCAGCCATCAGGTTGCTGCCCTCACCAGGACGAGGGGTCTCATCGGTTTGGACACTGCTAGCCCTTTGGTGAGCAGCCTTGCGTTTCTTGTACCTTCGAGCAACAAGGAACATGGCGGCACCATAGACAGCCGCACCGGCAACAGCGCCAACGGCGATACCAACCGAAGAAGGCCGCACACCGGCTTGGCCCCCGTTGTCGGATCCGGGAGCAGAGTCCTCGCCATCATTGGCATTGGCATTCGCGTTGCCATCACCGGCGTTGACTGGGGTACCTCCAGGGCTAAGGCCTTGCCCAGCCAGGAGCGGGACGGTCGGATCAACCATGTCCATGAGGGTCTTGACCGACTTATCAGGATTATCGTAGAGCGCGGAGTTCGTGTTCAACATTTCCACCGACAGCTTGTCGACATCGGTCGCTGGAATAAAGGCCATGGCTAGGGTAGTGATGTAATGCTTGCTGGCGAGCGTATTGTAGGGCTGCAGATATTGCATCACCATTTTGCTTGTAGTGACGTTGAGACCGTCAGCAACACCAATGGGTAAATATGTAAATATCTGATTTATTGCGAGCTGCGAGCCAACAACGAACTCGTAGTGCAAGGGCTCCTTGAACGCGATCTGGATCAGCTGCGATCCCTCGGGAGCTACAGGCACGCCGCCCTCAGGAGTAATGACTCTCGGAACATTGGAAGGCATAGTGGTGGCTTGGGAAGTCGGAGCCGCCTCGGTGTCTGTTGCCGTGTTGGAGGGTGGCGGCGCGGTTTGAATGGTGGTTCCGGGCACAATGGCGGTAGCATTGTCGGTGCCGGTAGGTACGATGCTCTGCGGGGGCTCAGACGGGGGAGCAGATGGCTCTGTGGTAGCAGGAATCACGGGTGGAGTGAAGGTTGGCGTTAGTGTAGGGACCGCAGTTTGGGTATCGTTCGCAACCGGTGGCAGTGTCGGTTGGTCCGTTGGCGGGATGGTCGGCGGTGTTTCAGTTTTCTCTGCTGGAGGAACTGTGGTGGAGGGATTACCAGTGTTGTCTGGCGGCGGGGCAGTAGTGCTAGGTGAGCCTGGAGTGGTAGGTGGATTGTTGTCATCAGGTACGCCTGTAGTTGTTCCCGCTGTTGGTAGGAGTGGAGTCGTAATTGACAGGTCCGGCGTCGTGATAGGCAAGTCTGGAGTGGTGATTGGCAAGTTAATTCCACTGCCGGGGTTGGTAGCCCCATCATTAGGGTCGGAGACTGGTGGTGCCTGCGTGGTCGGGAAGAAGGTAGGGGTCGGGAGGACAGTGCCAATGTTAGTGAGTGTATTTCCGATGTCGGTAAGCGTGTTCCCGATGTCAGAGATCACAGAAGAAACGCCAGGCAAGAGCCCACCACTTGTGCCAGGGGCAGTGTCAGTCTGGCCACCGGTAGGACCAACAGTAGGCACAGTAGCATCTGTGTTGTCTGTCACCGTAGGCTGAACGGCGGTTGTACCGATGTTGCCCGAGTCGGAAGTAACGCCGCCAACGACTGAAGTAACGCCATCAACAGCAGAATCAACACCCGACACGATAGGAGTGACGATTGGGGCGAGCAGTCCGCCGCTGCTGGAAGCGGTGGGCGTGCCTCCCGTGTTTGTATCGACACCCACAGACTGCGAGGCACTGGCAGTGTTTGTGTCGAGTCCAATGACAGGGCCTGTCGGGGTGCCAGACGCAGTGTCTGTGTCTGCAGTGGCAACTTGATCTCCGGTCGTTTGGGTATCCGGAGTAGTTGTATCAACAAGTCCCAGACCGCCATCATTCCGCGTCGATTGTGGTGTTGTGGATGCACTGTCCGACGTGGACGGGTTGAGTGCGCCAATCAAGCCATCGAGAAGACCGCCTGCGCTCGATGACTGGCTACTGGAAGCCGTATCCGAGGTCGCCGTTTCGTTGACGAAGACTTGTCGTTTCACCACCCTCGGAAAATAATATCTCGGCCCATTTTCGTGTGGTCGGGGAGCGGGGATCGCTTCGGCGACTGAGGCAGCAACATACGCTGCCGAGAGCGCTAGGAGAGAGAACTTCATGCTGTCCCAGTGCGTTAGATTCAATTCCTTAGTGAATAGTACTGTTGACACTCACCTGCTGATACTTTAAATTTCAAACGAGTGTATTCAAGCAAGTTCCAGTAAACAGACGTTGAGTCTGCGGATGTGCAAAAGAGTGGCTGGGGTTCAAGGTCCCCGAAATGAGAATGGGCCAGAAGCAACAGCGAACGAGTGTGTAGAAGCAAGTGATAGCTCAATCCGAAGACTTGAAAAAATCACGATATTGACCCAATCGCTGCTTTGTCGCGAAGGCGCAGTCCCTCTCTTTGACCCAAATATAATCTGGGGTGCCGGCGAACAATGAGTTTCGATGTGTCGCAACAGCTTCCTACTGGGCCAGCCCAAGGTACAATAGGCACAAAGGCGAGGGGTGATGCAAGGTCTGCGGGTCGTGTAGCGTGCGGCAAGGGGCTCCGAACAGGATCCGAGGCCTCGTTGACGGCGTGAACGGGGTGTTGTATAGAAGTGAAAAGTGTTTAGCGAGTGTGTTCGGATCGTCAAAGCTCGAAGACAAGCGGAAGGAGTGTGGTTGCAGTCGCGGAGGGCAGCTGGATCGAAGGATGCTTGTGCTCGGGAATCGTAAGCGGCGAGGCGAAGTCAGTCGGTGAGAGCTTTATCGGTCGCACAAGGAGAGACGGCGACCACGGCGACGTTGACGGAGCATGAGGCCTCGACGATGAGGAAGTCGTGATGCGGTGTTGCTGAAGGAGGAAAGAGAAGATCAGTAAGAAGGCGACGTCGCCAGGCGCTGGCATGAGCGGATGGTTTCTCGGCTGGGAGAGGCTCTCGATTCGATGGAAGGAAATGAGGGCGCAGTCTCTTGGTGCGGCCCAAGGAACCAGGAACAGGAACAGCGTGTTTTCGTGCGCCCCTGGATTGGCCCGACCCTGGCGGGTGGAGAAAATGTTGATTAGAGGCCATGCCACGGGCGGTTTAGTAAACGCCCGCAAGACTGAGCATTGGTCGGAGGCGCCCCAGGCTTGCCCGCGTGTGGATCCTAAAGTGCCAATTTGCCCGGTTTAGCGGCCATGCTTGTAACATTCCAAACACCGTGGCATGCATGGGTCTGCCCCTGAGTACGCAACCATTTCCGCAAAATCCTGCGATACTCGCCCAGAACGCCCTGGCTGACAAGGGTATTTGGGGCTTCTTGGAAACAGCCTCGTCACAGTCCGGCTGCTGAGGATGTTCCACTCGGGATCGTCTGCAATTTCTCCTCCTCCAGCACCCAAGCATTGCCTATCCACGAGGCCATGCACGCAGATCGACACTCCGACATTCCCCAGCATAGCAACAAGAGCAGCAGCAGAACGCGTAGAGGATATCTGTTGAAGGCCGTGGCCCTGTGCAGAATTCGCTTCCGCATGTGTAACAAGTCGCAGGAGTCCCTGCAATGCTTGACAACAAACTTTTCTTGTGCTTCTCCCTGAGACAGATGCCAACTGGGATTCAACCCAGAGCTCTTTGCTTCGAAACACTGGTCCATGTCTAGACCCAGTGACGGGGAAAGGGCGCTGTCGCTCCGTGAAAAGTCGGCAGTCGTGGCGTCGCCGACCATCATTTCGCTATGCGGCAGCTATCGAAGACTACGTCTTCCATTGTGTTCTCTTGCAACGATCTGGATTCTTAGGCGCGGGTGGCCTTGCCTGTAATCTCGTGTCGGATCATGAGTGCCGCAGCCAAGCAACTATTATTGAACTCGCCGTACAAGTACAGTATACACGCCAAAGGCTGCCACACTTTGACGCGTGAGAACATCGTTTAGAACGCCCATGAAGGAGTGCTTGCAACGCCTGTGTGGTTCCGGTGAATCGCTCGAAGCGGCAACGTCGAAGTTCCGAGGCCGACTGGTGAAGCACTGTACTCCAGCTGCTTCAACAGCGCTCGTCTAGTAACGTCAGGCCATGTAAGGTGACGTCGCTGTCGGTATAGTCAAGGCTGGCCGTCGCCCAAGTCGTCGGCCTCACCATCGCCTTACACTGTGCATCGATGGCGACCTCGCTCCTGCTTTCTCCTTTGGGTGAGTGAATGCGAAGCCGCAGCCTTGCTCAGCCTCGTCGTGGAGCCGACAAATGGCGTTATCGGTCGGATAATCTTGTTGCCGGCGGAGTCATTGAATTGCCGGGACTCTTTGACTCCAAATGCCATCAAAGGTCACGCCGAAAACCGCCCGCCTTCTGGTACATCTCGTTGCGTTTGCATACCTGACCGAGCTCTTCTTCCATCGGTCTGTAGCTGTGCAAACACTACTGCTCATATGTCCTTGAACGTTCTAATATCCACATTACAAGTCGTCGAGCTGGTCCCACCCCCGCCTCCATCCTACCTCCGCAATGTCTAATTCCAGCTCGTCCACACCGCCCCTCCCGAACCCAAAGGTCGGCGCAATGGCCAAGGCCTTCTCAGAAGTCGACCTGGACGGCCATGATTTGCCTCCGTCGCCGGCGCCTTCGAGCCCTAGAAATGGACGGCAGTACTCGATCGCCACCCAGCTCGTGTACTCCGAGGGCAATGACCAGTACAATGCGAGCAGTATGCCCATCTACCAGGTAAGACTCGTCAGCTCCGAGCTTTGAGCATTTCTGACATAGGGTAGTCTGCGACGTTCAAGCAGACATCCGCAACCGGCGGCGCCTCCGACTACGACTACACCCGCAGCGGCAACCCTACTCGTACACACCTCGAGAAGCATCTGGCTAAGATCATGAGAGCAAAGCGAGCCTTGGTTGTGTCCTCAGGAATGGGAGCGTTGGACGTCATTACCAGGACATTGAAGCCCGGTGACGAAGTTGTCACGGGGGATGATCTATACGGCGGCTCACACAGATTGCTAAAATATCTGTCGACTCACGGTGGCATTGTGGTACACCATGTTGACACGACAACTCCCGAGAAACTGAAAGAAGTACTCTCTGCAAAGACAGCCATGGTTCTGTTGGAAACGCCAACAAATCCTCTCATCAAAATCGTCGACATTCCTACTATCGCGGACTTGGCACACGCCGCCAATCCGAACTGTGTGGTGAGCGTCGATAACACTATGCTTTCGCCACTCTTGCAGAACCCCCTCGAGCTGGGAGCCGATATCGTCTACGAGTCTGGCACCAAGTATTTGTCCGGTCACCATGACCTCATGGCAGGTGTGCTTGCCGTCAAGTCCGAAGAGTTGGCCGAGAGGTACTATTTTGTCATCAATTCCACCGGTTGTGGTCTCGCGCCATTCGATTGCTGGCTCTTGATGAGGGGCATTAAAACGCTGAAAGTCCGTATGGACGCTCAGCAGGCCAACGCCATGAGGATCGCCACGTTCCTCGAGTCTGTTGGATTCAAGGTCCGTTACCCGGGGCTGAAAAGCCATCCGCAATACGACCTTCACAACTCCATGGCCCGCGGAGCTGGCGCGGTCTTGTCATTCGAAACAGGCGACATCCACCTGTCAGAGCGCATAGTCGAGTCCGCAAAACTATGGGCCATCAGCGTCAGCTTCGGCTGTGTGAACTCGCTCATCAGCATGCCCTGCCGCATGAGCCACGCCTCAATTGATGCAAAAACTCGACAGGAGCGCGGTGTCCCCGAGGATCTCATTCGGCTTTGCGTCGGCATCGAGGATGGTGAGGATCTGCTAGACGACCTACGCAGCGCCATGGTCCAAGCTGGTGCCATGGACCTGTCACTGGAAGGTCTCTACGCCAAAAACCCCACTATCCTACAGAAAGACCCCAAGGAAGGCGAAAAAATCGCCGCAGAAGCAGCTGCGGAAAACGAGCCTTGAAGCATTCGGGCCATGAAAGCTCTTTGTGCCAGAAAATCTTGAAAGCGAAAGAAGGCGTGTTTTTGATACCTTGTCTAGGTACTACTAGGAATTGGAATGAGATAACGAAAAAGAAGGTTCTACCAAGTCGTCCATCCCCTTCTGAGCTCTTGAAACTGCGCCAGGCTGAATTGAACCGAAGTCAACTAACCACGCTTGCCCGAGAGTACCGTCGCATGCATTTATGTTCGTGCCCCGTCATTGTGCCTGTGCGTGCGCGGGAACCAGAGGGGGGGGGGGGCCAGGAACATTGATTCTGCCAAGCGATGATGTAGAGGACGAGGCGGCGGCAGAGCATTTGATGCTTTTCGCCGGATTCGAGGCCACTGGGTCGTTCGTTTTGGTTCATGTAGAAGACGACAGGAAAGACACGTCGCTAGTATTTAAGGTTGCAGTAGGCTTTTGAAAAGTCTTGGGCAAGGATGAGGCACAGGTCCAGCTACAAATCGTGAAACGCCGTGTGACGGACTACACGGCTCTACATCAAAACCAATGCCCTCGTGATTGCCTCCTCTTCGACCAGCAGAAATTCGGCAGTATCTCCCCGCATGACGCTGAAATCAGAACCACTCAGAAATGTCTTTGAGCCTCCAAAAGCCCATTCTCGATAGGATTGATATGGTAGGAGTAGTATGCCTGACTGATGATTAACCGATATATCACCAAGGCACGTTCCGCGCGCCCATCCTCAATCAATTGAATGTTCGTTCTCAATTCGCTCCAGATGCTCAGATGTGGTCGGCAGCGAGTTAATTGGTTTGGCCATAAGGCGAAACGGACGTCTGACACCAACATTGCCGCTTCTCTGAAATCCGAGGTTCTGAATCTTAGTCGTCCAAGCCTCCGACTCCGGGACAAGGTCCCTGACCAAAGCCGAAATCCACTGTGCTTGCGAGCCATCGAATCCCAAGCGCTTATTGTGAGCGGCTTCCGATGCTTGTCTTCCGGAGCGCTTGGCCTCTATCTGTCGTACTTCAGGTGGTTGAGTCCTCTTCGAGAAGACATCTGGCCAGATGACAATGTTGAATCCAAGCGTCTCAATCTCGCGACATACGTACCCCGGCGAGACCAACGTGATCTTGGTTTTTGAGATGTGGTATCGGTACGGCTCAATCATTCTAGCAAACCCATTGTCTGTGCAGGTTGCGAGGAAGACTTGATGACAGTACGGGTTAGAGAGGAAGAGTTGGAAGTTCTCTGCCACAATCTTAGTGTTGGGCATGTACTCATCCTGGTGGTGTTACCTTTGATCTTGAAGTCAGCTCTTTCTTTGCCTTGACCGCAATCGAAGAAATCGAACAGCGGCAGGGCTTCGGTGAAATGTCTTTTGAAAAGCCACATGGATTTTTGGAGGTGTCTGCCAAAGTTTCGGAATCGTTGAACGTCTCCATGCTCGTTGACGAAGACACGTGCAATGATCTTCGCGCCAGGACTAATATCGGGGCGCCTCGAAACGAAATGGTCAACAGCATTGCGCAATCGCGTTGCAGCAAGAGCACCCGCGTTGTGGCCATCGTTGAATAGCGTAGCAGCCCACTAGCGGCCATTAGCAACGTCTAGCATGCTAATCGTCAGCACTTACCCCGTACGCATCACCATCGACAAGCACCACCACAAAGGACTGTGGCACAAGTGGCATCTCTGTTCGGTCAATCTCGACCTTTTCGACACATTTGAGATGCTCCAGCTCAAACAGCGCTTCTTGATGCCGGGTTTCAATGGCGACATACCTCCTGCTTAGTTCATTGTTCGACTGGCTCAGCTGCATGTTATTTTGTCGAAGGCTCGCAGCTGCAGCATTTTCCCTCGTGAGCGAATCTTGGAGCCGGCTATTGGTTGCTCTCTCATTTCGAATCGTGGTGTGAAGTCGAGCATTTTCGGCCCCTGCTCCTTGAAGACTGGCGTTCACGTTCCCGAGTTTGCGGTTCACGTTCTCCAAACCTCGAATGTGAGAAATATGGTTGCGGTCTTTCGTGACGAGTTCAGCAACTCTGGCTCGGGTATTAGTCAATTCCACAGTCAACCGGCTTTCGTTGTTGATGAGGCTGGTAACTCTGGTACGAACAGCAGTCAATTCCACCGTCATCTGCTGGAGCTGAGTACGTAGTTGTCGAATCTCGTCTTCCTGTGCCTGAAACTGCGTTGCAATATCATCAAAAGATGGGTCAGCTGGCCTCGAGGGCGAGCGAGACGGCAAGCTGGCACCAGCATAGGGGGCGTTCCATGGCCACTGCCTTGAGCAGACCCATTGAAGAGTGTTCATGTTGTCCTTTTCTGGGCTCTGCTGAGCCAGGCTGATTTACTCATCAAACGAGGTTGAGTATCGGAAAGCCGGTAGTCCCGGAATTTCTGGATGGAGAGCCACAAGAGCTTCAGGAGACGATATCGGGTTACAAGGGAATAGCAAGCCCATGTGTCGAAGTCCGGGGGCTGAGTTGCGTGCCTACCTGATCTAGAAGGTATGAGACTGGAGTGGAGTCCACGGGTTTGATGACGCCAAAATCAATGACTTGTCGATATCAGCCTCTCACCTACCAGTGCTCTTCCCAGGGCTTGGAGATGTCATGCATAACAATCATCTCCAACGATATTGACGTAAGAACAAATGTCAAAGACCTGTCGAGGCTAAGTGGTGGTGGCTCAAAAGTGGTGTGTATCAGAAGTAAGGAAAGCAACGACATTTGTTCGCACGAGGCAACAACCGCCGGGAGGGGCAACCACGCTAGCCGAAGTCATCTTGGCGGAAGGAAGCATTTGGACAAACGGATGGCTCGTGAATGAGGGATACGCACTGCTCTTCATTTGCAGTATGGATACTCATACACCTAATTGCAACCGAGGCTCTCAAGCTTGCCTGTGTGTCTTGTGGACATTTCACGAGCCCGTTCCTGCTCAAAAGCCGCTGACATGGTCGCTCACGACTGCCGCCCCCAATGGCCTGACATTTGGTGCGCCATGGACGTTGTTCCAGCGTATTAGAATCCTCTCCCACTGGCGGCAAGCCGCTCCAGGCCAGGAACGGCATTGAAAGGCCCTTGTCCCAGACCGCCACCCAACCCGCCGTTCATTCCGGCACCTGGTGCGCCAACGCCAGCTCCAATGCCACCAAGGCCTTGCCCCCGCGGCCCACCCGCGGTCGCCACAGCTCTGCCCGTTGCTTGAGCAATGCCTGGTGCACCCGCTAGACTTGCTCCTGCTGCCGCCACACCTTGTGTTCCACCGCTACCAACATTCGGCATGTCATCCAAATCCGCATACCTTAAGGTGTACGCCCTCCGCACCTTCTTCCACAAATTCTTGTCCCACCAGATATAGTAGCCCTGCTCGGAGCTGCGGTCGTCATTGTACGCATACCCACCACTGTTCTCGTCACGCATCATCCACATCTGCTCATGCATGTGATACCGCCATTTCCTCTCCATTAGCTCTTGTGCCACCAGCACCTGCATGTAATCTCGCGGCATGGAATAGAACATGTAAAACAGAGTTTCGTCGCTGAAAGAGTTGATACGAGTCTGCAGCGGCGCGACCTTCTTGATCGTATAACAGTCAGGGATGTGATATTCTGAGTCCAGCGGACGAAGAGGGTGCGTGTTCGGAGATGCGAAAGGACCAGTGTAGGAGGACAGCAATGGGGCGTCGGAGTTCATGTTCAGGCCCAGCTGGCCCAAGTCTTGGCCACGGAGTAGACTGCGGAATGTCGAATTAGGACCTTCTGAGAGGGCGATGTAGCCTTTAATGCCAAATTTCTCCTTATCACTCATGCCAGCGTAGAGCGAGTCGGGGTTGTTGTCAGCTTGCTGCTCAAAAGCATCGCGTCCGGCAAAGGGATCCCGCGGTGGGCCAGAGGCTGGCGAGGATTCGCCGAGTGGTCGGTCGGCACCTATTGTACCGTTTGTTCCAGCTCCTATTGGTGATCGCGAGCCTTGTGGTATACCAGCTGGCGAGGTCACCCTGCTAGGATCATTCGAATCGTTTAGTTGGGGCTGCCGCTGAATGAGACCTGGAGGACCATTGGGTACCGGATTACTTCGTGATTCGGCTGGGAAGAAGTCAGAGGCTTGGGTTTGTGGTTGCCTTGAACCTAGTGGCCGAGATTGAATCCTCCGATTCGCCTCTGTTGAAGGTGGTCCACCCTGCCACGCGCTTGATCCAGAGTTCTGTGCTGAGGATTGTCCGCCGAGGTTGTTAAGACTAGGGAAACTAGACTACGTTAGCCGGAGGAGATCTTTGACTAGCTGTTCCTGCCGCTGACCTTGAGGTGGACAGATCCAGAGGAGTCGTTCGAGACCCCATCGCTTGCTGTGCCTGCTGTGCCCACGAATTCTCTGGCAACGAATTGGAGTCTCTTGGTGCTGTATTCTGGTGTGTTTGCAGCCCTGGTTGACCCCATATTGTAGGCTTGCTGGGCTGTACACGGCTCGTAGCTCGTGGTTGGTTGTTTGGGGGGTTCATGTTCGTAACACTCTGCAGTGGTCTTTGGCCTGGAGAATGATTTGGTCAGCTTCGTATTTCAGCATTGCCGTTTTCGAGTCACGAATCCTTGCGCATGCACAATTCCGGCCTGAGTATGATCTGCTGTCGCAGGTCGGCGCCCCCAGATAAGTCGGAACTCCTACTCTTCTCCTGCTGTATTTTAGGCGTCAGGGTGTCTCGAAATCGCGATGAAGAGAGCTATAGTCGTGAGAACTTCGGTCTCTCGTGCGGTGTAAGGTATGAAGTCTGAGGCGTCGTATCGTATCGTCGGAGTTGCCATTGGCGCATAGTCGGAGCGCAATGTTGAAATAGAGTCGCCGAGAATATACCTTCGCCGTAGAAGAGAGGCATTGCTCGACGGCCAGTCTTCGTTCGTAGTTGCCAAAAATCATTCCTCTTCGTGACAGGAGCAGTGTTCGCGGCGTGCTGAAGTCATATAGGCATGTATGGAGGGGGCAGACATTAAAAGAGGCGGAGCTTACCTTGCCGGTTCATATTCACACAAGTTTGTTGCGACAACAGTGCGACTGGGTCTTTGTTCGAAGACCGTGAGTGTTTCCTGCTCCGACTTGGATGTCGAGGTGCAGCCGCAGTCGCGATTGAGGGTCCAGCCACTAGTACTCGCTCGGGAACTGGTTCCGGTGTCTTGGCGCCCGTGTCACCAATTCGCGCTCCTCCCCCACCGTATGCAGTGCCGCTGGCGCTCTGCAGTCTACGATCAAGCATGCCTGATAATCTCGGATAATGATGTTCGGTACATTTGGGGATTCTTTGGGGAGTGTTCTGTCCAGAACCTTCCCCATCTGGAGAAGACCCCTTCCCTGGAGATTCAAGCACTGAAGCTGTTCGGTGCTGTATCATTCACTAGCTACGCGACTACAGGCTGTCTATCAGGTCATACATACCTCCCGCTGCCACTGATGCTGATGCTGATGCTGAAGTGGGACACTCGTTCTTTGCAATCGAAACGCACCAATAACCTCCGGACGCCTGGCTAAGTGCAACAGTCGAGAGCTCATCTAGAGCATCAAACTGATAGCAAGATCCGGGTTCCCGCCAGCCTGCTGAAGCAGGTTGACCGCCATTTCCCTATCAACGCCAAATTGCATTACTGCTGCGATCGATTCCTCTGTTATTGCTTGTGTTTGACCAAAACCAAAGCTGCCACCTTGGGCAGAAGTAGTCTGCTGAGATGGCTGTTGCGGTTGCTGTGGCGCTGGTGCTGGCGTGTTTGATGATTGGGCAGGCTGGGAGGATGAGTCGGAAGCCGCAGCTGGCTGCGAACTCTCTTGAGGCTTTGGGGGTGGCGCAACAGTCCCTGTCTCGGCACCAATAGTGGTACCCCCAGGACCTTCAACCTTTGGCTCATTGTCGAGTGCTTCGTCCATCATGTTGGGGATCTGGTGCTCAGGCAAAAATTCTATCTTAGCATCCTGAACGCGTAGGCAATTCTCCCGGAGGTCGATGCACATTTGGTGTCTTTTGAGCATGTCCAAACCTAGCAGTAAATCCACGTCCTTACCCTCCATGACAGTGAAGCTACTGGCAGCCTGATACACTCCCAGCTGCATGGTGGCGTGATGAACTCTACCCAGTATTTTGGCTGTGCCCACGCCTCTCGCAATGCCTCCGTAACGCTCGTCGATCAAGTGGGTGATGTTGCATCTGCGGGCCGCGTCGGGGCTCATGATGGTTGTCTGGGCACCGGAGTCTACGAACGCCTTGATTGGGACGTTGTTGACCACGACATCAATGTAGAGCATGGACACTCGGGCGAACGACTCTGGGTTCTCCTCCATAGCCAGCTCGATATTTTTGGCAATCTGTTGCTGCTTGATACGCTTCTCAATCTCAGCCTGCGAGTCCGGATTCCAGAAATCGTTATCAAGCCGTGCCATCTCCCGCTCAGCTTGCCGCCTATCCTCCTCCAGCCGTCTCTGACGCGCGGCAAACAAGTTCTGGAAGCGTGTAGAATCTTGTGCGGCTGCCGCCAATTCTGGATCTTGTTGACGAACACTATTCATGACGGCGGCATTGGAGAGAATGTGTTGCCTGAATTGCTCGGGTGAAGGTTGACCACTTCGATTCTGGGGCTGCTGGGTGGTTCGAGTGGGCTGGATGGAGAGAGCAATGAGATCTCCCTCAGTTACACCAACTTCTGAAAGGGTTTTGGTATCGTTTGTAATCGGCTGTCCATCTCGTGATAATAGCTGAGAGGCTTTCGGGGCATTGGTTTCGGTCTCAATCAAAGCCTTGAGCTCGCCGAACGTAAAGTCGGGGGAGACATCCAAGGTGACGAAATCGGATGTTATATTGGCGTTGTTAGGGCCATCAATGACAGTGACCGAGATCTGCCTGCATAGCCGTTAGTAGAGCCTGGCAAGCACGTCTGAAGAACGTACATGATGATGTGGCACGCTGGCAAGTCGACACTCGTGTGGATGATGGAATGAGCAGGGAAGTTAAATCCAACTGCTACCAGGTCTAACTCAAGAAGTTGGGACGAATATTCAAGAAGGTGATGGAAGAGGCTCTATTGATTTGTGATCAAACGGCAAGGCAGCGACCCTTGAGGCAAAGGCGCAGTGCAGGCAAACAAATGGTTATTGTTTGTGTCGAAAAAAAGGACAGTCGATCCCTCACTCTGAACTCGGGGTTCGCATGACGCCAGCGCGGTGACGCCTGGCCTGAAGTGATCGACCGCTAAGCATCGGCAGGCGTTAGCGGCCCGGGCGTGTCGCCTGTCTCCAGTCCTTCGGGGGGCTTCGCTTCGGTCAGTCCCCGACCCAAGCTCGACTGGGGCTTCTGGTTTGAGATTTCTCTTCTCACATTGGTGATCACTACTAACGAAAATCGAGTTGCTGCAGCGGCATATGCGATGTACTAAATGATGTGGCTGGTGGCTAAGAGCGTGTCAGCTCAAAGTGGGAGCACTGTCCCACAGAAAGAAGCGCCCTGTGCATGCACCGTTAATCTGAATCCTCACCGCGGGCAGAATCTACCGTTGGCGAGAAATTTACTGTTCAAAGAAGACGGCACATTCACCATCTTACGTATCCATGTAATAGGCAAGGCAGAAATGAATGCCAGGTAGAAGAGCAGCACCTGCATTTACCAACCGCTGCCGAGCCGCCACCACTTGAATCCAAGCCAACAGGAGCAGGGGCCGTATCTAGGAGGCCAGCAGCTGGACTTTTCAGGATTTCCCTCCAATGCTTCTATCGTCCCTGTACCGATTATGTGGTGAGATACCACGAGCAGTAGAGTCCAGTGTTAGAATAGTGACAGCAATTCTCTGACTTCAAGTTGCGCTTGTAGTGCATGGAGATCTCTACTGGCGTTGTCTAGCCAATGACCGCAGCTGACAGAATTTGCCTTGTCGCTTTCTTGGTGAATGTTTTTGTGCATCAAATCTTCCGCCATTCGTTACCAACAGTAGAATCGGACTGTATTGAACAAACATCATTTTAGCAGGGAACCTCTTGCATTTGTCACTGGTCATTCGCCTCCGTTCACTGAATAAATTTGACTGTGTCCTCACCATGTCCGCAAAGAGCCAATCACAGCCGAATAATCAAGAAAACCAAAGGCCGAGCACTGAGACCCCTCCTTCTTCCGATCAACCACCCGCCTCGCAGTCATCGGCCAAGGACGACGACGGCGACGACGAGTTTGTTGACATCAGCGACGAGGATACTGAGATGCGTGAAGCCGATTCGGATGATCATCAGCGCTCCAAGGACGAATTAGACCTCCACCGCTTCGGTCATAATTTAGACGACGTTGACGACGACTCGGACGAAGAGCACGATCATATGGCCAGTCATCCTCTGCTGAGTATGTTGACCGGACGACTTGGCCAGCGCCGCCGAGGCTCAACCCATAAGTGGGATCGTCTTCACCCTGTCACTCAGGTCTTGTCCGTCTCCAATGCGGAAGAATGCACCGCGCTAGAAAGCGAGGTGTTTCCCGAAAATGAGCGCTGCTCGCGCGAAAAGGTAAGCAACTCTTTTTTACGCTCGAGTCGACTTCAGTCCTGCCCTCCGCACCCACGCATTTGATGATGCTCTCGTCCACTCCTTCGCTACCGGTGGTCGCGTGCTCACCCACAAACCTGACTAACTGCTTTAGTTCGAGTACCGGCTAGCAAGATGCCCTGAGCTCAGCTTGGGTCTATTTTCGCGGCCAACTGAAGCCGAATGTGCAGGGCAGGAGAACCCGCCGAAGCGTCGATTGATCGCCCATGTTGTGGCTACTCGGACCCCGGCACCTAGCGTCACCGATGCTAGCATGGCTTTGCCCAGCAACTGGAGACAGCGCAAGTCTTCGTTGCCCTCGCCGGAAGAAGCTGAACCCCAAGGTCATCAAGAGAGAGGTGGCACCATCTGCGTTCACTCACTAGCCGTGGCCAAGGAGCATCAAGGCATCGGATTGGGCACCATCCTGATGAAGGCCTACATCCAACGTATCAAGGACTCGAAGGTAGCTGAGAGAGTAGCTCTGCTTGCCCACGAGCATCTAGTGCAGTTCTACGTCGAGCTCGGATTCCAGAACATGGGTCCTAGCAGCGCAACCTTCGGTGGTGGGAATTGGAACAACTTGGTATGTCTCAACCGACAACATACGTGTAACACACGCTAACACGTATAGATCATGGAATTCACCAACGAAGAAGAGGACTAGAACTCCCAAGATACCCCGATGCAGGAGGACGCGGAAGCGGGCGAAGACGTGTGGGAGCGCGATCAGGAGAACTCGGATGATTTGGAAGATGATGATATGTTATGGATGACATGATGGGATCGCATCCGCTAAGCGGATAGCGCAAGCGTTATGACCAGTTGATGGGTCGTTGCAAGCTGGCGAGCTGTCCGGCAGACAAGAAATCGTTGATTCTAGGACGCCTGTGAAGGCGGGGCGGAACTATTGATAAGTGATAGAACGCGACCACAATGCAACACAGTCCTCGCACTGTTCGACCGCGATACGGTGTTCTGATTGAGACCCAACAATTGTTCCAGTCAGCATAATTGCCTTTACCAGCCCGACCTGACTGAGCGTCTGCATCGGCGGCTGCATGTTGATGTTAATGCTCGTCGCCCTATTGGCCGGAGAGTGGCAGTGGAGTAGACCGCCTTGGCGACTCTCGTGACGTTTCTGCGGGTCGTCGCTTCCTTTTACCGGTCCCCGGATTCAACCGCTCCTCCACCATTATCGTCGATTCTTCCACCCTCCCGGCATGGCATACTCGCCCAGCAAAGAAACGACTGCCGAGATAATAACTCCTCTCATCTCACTCCTCTGCACCGAACCTCTTCATACAATCAGACCTCTCAGCCCTGGGCCCTGACGTTCAGCCGCAGACCTCTCCTCCAAATTCCGACTCTAACCCGACCATGTCACTAGCCGCAACTCTCTCATAACATCACACCACGCCGCAATCTTTGACCCTCGGTCGACGTCTTTTCCCCTCCTAGACCAGGTGCGAGTATTTCGCGTAACGAGCTTGGAGGTGGACATTCTGCGAAAACCAGAATCTGAGCCAACGTTGTCTCCGCTTCTTGCACGTCCTGCTACCATGGCGCCCACCCAGCGGCCCTTCTTCTCAAACTTCTTCTCCGCCTTTCGCGCCCGTACAACCACCAATCCCACCTTCCAGGCCAAGTCTGCACCCACAGTCGGCTCGCCTACCTCCCTATCACCGACTGCGCACGCTGCACCTGGTTCCACAACCGCTTCGCAGCCGCGGACAATAACCACCAAGACATCAGACTCCCCGACACCGCAGCAAAATGTTACTTCTCCCACACGATCAACCGCTGTCCCTTTCTCTCCTAGCACCACTCGCTATGCACCACCACTATCCCGCTCGCCAGGTACGGCCTCCCCGGGGACAAATCCCAACTTGTCCATGTCCCCACCAGGTGCTTCCACACCCATAACGAGAGGTCGGCAAAGACGAGGGAGCGATTCGTCCAATTCTTCAGCTGGCTTTATGGACGCCCTGGGCCCAGAAAAATGGTATGTTGGCGGGCGAAATGCGAGTGGGGAGGAGACGTTCTACAGACTTGGAATGGTGGGTGCGGGCCAAGGCAAGAGGGTTAGGAGCTTAGATCGCCTGAGCCTGTGATGAAGAGATGCATGAGAGACAGGAGGTCCAGCTTCGACGGATCAGACTTTCGACGACGTCTACGAACAGCAGTGATGATCTCGCAATGACGAAGTCCAACAGGAGCTTCGGCGGCGTAACAAGCTTGATATGTACACAAGGTGGCAGCGGTGTCGATACCACTCACGAAGGCGAGCCAGAGTCACGGAATGGAACCGCGCATTTGCACATCGGAAATTCTGCCCATTGAGCTTCAACCGAAATGATTCTCTACATACTCTGCCGTGCATCCACTCTCATTCGCACGTACTGGTATTATTGACACCCATCCCCCAGCTTTTGCCTTCTGCACTGAATAGTGATGCGCGCTCGCCAACTAGTACACGTACGTACGTGGTGACTATCGCGGATCATCGTTCGTCATATCATTATCCAAAAACAAAACCACGCGAGCCTGCAGGGTCCGCGTTCGACAAGGCAAGAATTGGGCAGCGCCCGCTCCGCAGCCGGTGTCAGTCACTCTCTCGCAGTGCGGGCTCCCCTCCACGCCACGCGCCTCAGTTAGCAGCGTCCAAGCCATCGGATAGTCCGCTCGTCCTACTCCCACTTTTTTTTAAGGTCGGTTGCCCAAACGAGACTTGTCCAAACCAAATCAAAGCCCAAGAAGGTCCAAGCCCAAGTTCAAGCCAGACCCACCCTTGTACATCTCAGACCTGCTGCGGCTTCCGAAACAAGCCGACCACCCGTTCAAACACCTCTCTGACGCTCGGCACCGCCACGCTCGTCTGCCAGCCCAGCACATCCTCCACCCGTCTCGTGCCCGCACCTGTGCCTGTGCCTTCCAACTCCGCCGCTGGCGCTGGCGCCGCGTCGCGCTGCCCGCGGTCCTCCGCGCGTGCAGCAGCACCCGTCGTAGTCGTAGCTGCCGACGCCTTGCCAAAGATAGCGTCCAAGCCCCTTTGCAGCTCACCGCCATGCGCCAAGCCCGCTCCTGCGGCGGTGGTGGTGAATGGTCGGAATGCACGCGTGGCAGCGGATCCGGGGCCGCGAATCTGCCGCACCTCGGCATTGCTGTCGACGACAACGTAGCCTGGCGCGCCTGCACGGGGGAGCAGCGCTCTCGTCTGGCCGTGGAGGAGCGCCTCAAAGATAACGGGACTGCCGGCTGCTTTCTTCTCCGTCTGCGTGTCGTCTTCCGCGTTGGTAGGCAGGTCCTGGGCGCCTCCTCGCAGCGAGAGCACGAGGACGCGACTGCCTGGCAGGAAGGCATGTGCAGGGTTCAGCGCGATGGCGATGGTGCCGTCGAGGGGGTTGGCGGCTAGGTGGTGGGTGATGCGCCGGGTCGTGCCTGCGGTGGCGAGGGTGAAGTCTCCGCCTAAGGGTGTGGGGGTCATGGTGAGGCTGTTGATGGTGTCGTGGACGGATAGAAATGATGGTGACAAAGTCACGAGCTGCGGCCCTGTGAAAGCGGAGTAGAGGAAGCTCGCGAAGGGTGGGTGTAGAGATGGTGTGTGAGAGATCGACGCGGGGTCAATGCGTGAGCTGGAGCTAGTGCCCGTGAGCGGGATGAGACTCGTCCATTGCGTACTGTGGCTTGAGGTCGACAGCGAGGCGGCGAGCACTGAGCCATCCTCCGAATATGCCAGCGCGCCGGCGCTCACGGTTGAGGAAGGGTTAAGCGGGACCTGCCGAGAGACGGACCAGTTGTAGAGTGTCTGGCCGTTAACACCTCGAACCAGGACTCCGTCTCTGCGTCTGGGTCTCGGGATCCATACCTGCACCGTGCCGTCGGATGCAAGTGTCGAAAACTCTGCCCGAAGCGGTGATGAGGCAAGCGCAAGGACTCGCGACTTGTGGTGTGGGGAGTCTACCCGAGAGGTGAGCGCCCACTCCGAGTCGTTCTCGCTCGGCGAGGACGAGGACCAGAATTTCAGAGTTATCTCGGTCCGCTCCTGTCGCGCTGAATCGCCTATAAGGTATGTGACCTCTAGTGAGGAAGACGGTGGGGACCATTCCTCCACACTGGCAAACCATGCGCCGTCGTAGGACAGCGCGACGTGTCCGACATTCGGTTCCTTGATAAATGAGCCGTCGGGCCCGACATTGATGGTGGTGGTCAGGTTACGAGTCAGCGCCTGTCTGGCAATCTGGATATCAGACTGTATATCGTAGGTCTGAAGGGAAGTCGCCTCGCCAGCATGAGAAGCTGTCACGCTCCGAGGAACGGCGGTTAAGAGATGCCCTGGCTTGGTGGAATGCATGACTGCTGCAAGGCTGCCAGATCTTTGTGCGGCGAGCAAGCTGACGTTTGCCATTGGCTGAAGGTCTGCTGTGGAAAGTACCATGACAGAGTTGTCGTTGAGATATAAGACATACGAGGATCCCTTTCTGGAGACCGAAAGCCGCTTGATCTCGGTGGACAGATGGGGCAGGAATTGTTGTTTGTTGGTGTCGAGCTGCCAGATTACGAGCACGGTCTCATTGCCTCCAGAAATCACATAGTCGCCATCTCGCGACCACTTGACCGTGTTGACCGCGGTGCGGTGCCAGTTGAGGTACCGAGCTGCAATCTCATCGTCCTGCTTCTTTTTCTCGCGGGCAATCATCTTGTACAGTACATCCTCGTACAGCACGATTGAGCCGTTCTTCAGACCTACAACAACATCAAGCCTCTTTCGCGAGGACTTGCCCTCAGTCTCGTAGACTCGGGCATCCAGAGATTCAATGTTACTCGGCATGGCAAATTCCCGCCATGTAACTGCCGACTGCTCGTAATCAGGTGATTGCAAGCCAGTCGAAACACCAATGATGAGACGGCTGTATGCAGAGACCACAACAAAGCCCGCTTGTTCGTAAAGCTGGACCTCAGCGTTGAGGCGTTTTCGGGTGAGCAGTGTTTGCAGAAGTACTGCTTCTGTCCCTTCCACCAAAGCATACACGGCGAGTTGACGATCTTCAGAATCATCACCATGTAGAGCCAGTACAAGCTCCGACCCACCAGGTCCTTTAGCAGACATTGACACGAGCGCCCGAAGACCCCGTGGAGACCTCCACTCTCGGTGCTTTCGACCTGTAGTCCAATCCCACACGCTGAGGTTGCCATCACTTCGCGCTGCAAGTATCTTTGATGGATCCGACTTGGAGATAACACAGCCGACAATGGTGCCGTGGGTTCGTAGTGATCTGACGAGTAGCGATGTTGATGTCGAGTATATCCTGACCTCGCTTACAGTAGGCAGTATCAGGTATTGGTCGTCGTCTGTCATGATTGGGTCCTGGTCACTGAAGGAGCCAGCCGCGGCGTCAGACAAAGACCAATTGTCACTGAAGATCTGGGAAATCTTTGATTTGGACTTCATCTTCCGCTTAGTTCTTCGCGGAGCTTGTATGCGGTCTGCCAGAGGCATTGTTTCGTCGAGCATGACTCCACCATCTTCGGATATCTTGCTTTCGTCCTCAGATTGTTGCTTGATGTCCTCAGATGCGACATCATCAGGGTCTTGAATTCGCGCCTCCAGAGGTACGACTGCTCGCTGCTCTTCTGACTTCTTTGACAGTGCCTTTAATCTCTTTCGCTCCCTCTTTTTCTCGCTTCTGCTGAGTCGAGACGCAGCCTCTTCCTCAGTCTGTTGCGTGTGGGTTGCCGACTTGTCTTCATCCGCCGCTTCAGCCCGGTGTCGTTTGTTTTCGCGCTTTCGCTTATTGACGCTGACTTTTGTGCTCTGCTGCCCAGTCCCTGAATCGACATCATACTTAGTATTCACCGGAGATCGACCAGCCTCGACTGCAGAAGAGACCTCTCGGGCATCCACGCTCGGTGATTTTGCAGCCAGGGAGTCGCGGTGTGCGCTCTTCCTTTTCCGCTTACTGTTCGTTTTGTCCGCACCACAAGGCTGGCTCGCCTCTTGCGGCACATCTTGTGAGCTGGACTGCTTCTCCTCTCTCAAGAGCTGCGCTGCCGCATCATCGATGCCCGAGGACTCTCGTCGGTGCTTCTTTGACTTATGTTTCTTCTGGCGTTTCGTCGCATGTTCACTGCCTGCAATTTCTCCAGCGCTGGTATTGATGCTGGCAGCCTGCTCGAAGGCCTCGTCGGCGTTGCGCTTGCTTTTCTTGGACATCGCAATGGCCTGCGCAGAGGATTAAGGTGCAGGATTGAAACCTTGTAGCAGCGAAGAGAAAAAGTTGCTGCTTTGGTGAAGCGGTAGATCTTTCGAACATTTTTTTTACTCCGCAGCGAAAGTTCAACCCCAAGTCCGCCGGTCATTTGCGTCATTTGAACTGATGTTGCTGCTCATTGGGCAGGTGTCCTTCACCGTAGTGAAGAAAGGGCAACGCAGCCATGAAGCAGGAAAATGTTTAGCAAAAGAGAAGAGCCACATAGATGGTGCCACACTTTGCTCTTATAGTCGTGTTTTAGTTACGATACCTTCAGGTCTATGTCGTGATCATGATAATATCCATGAGCTCTGGGGCTCGCTACTTTTGGTGCAACCGTCCTTCCATCAATTGCTAGTGATGGGCTGTATCCACTCACTTCAAGCCAGCCTTGCTCTTGAAAGCAGCGATCAAGCCAGACGTCGAGGCATCGTGACCGGCACCAGCACCATCCGTCTCGAGATCCGACTGGATCTTCTTGGCTAGAGCCTTGCCTAGCTCCACACCCCACTGGTCGAAGCTGTTGATGTTCCAGACAGCACCCTCGGTGAACACCATGTGCTCATAGTAGGCGATCAGTGCACCTAGTGTTCCAGGTGTAATCTTCTGCGCGAGGATGGCGGTGGTCGGGCGGTTGCCCATGAAGACCTTGTGCGGCACCAGACTGTCGGGAGCGCCCTCAGCCTTCACTTCCTCATCCGTCTTTCCAATGGCAAGCGCCTCCATCTGGGCAAAGAAGTTGGAAGCCAGCATGCGCTGGTGCTTGCCACCCTCAACGGGGTTCTGAGACTCGGCCGCGAGGATGAAGTCGGAGGGAATGAGCTTGGTGCCTTGGTGGAGGAGCTGGAAGAACGAGTGCTGAGCATTGGTGGCGGGCTCACCAAAGAAGACTGCACCAGTGGTATATTTGACGTAGTCGCCGCTCTTGGTGACCGCCTTTCCGTTGGACTCCATGGTGAGTTGCTGCAGATAGGCGGGGAAGCGGTGCATGTACTGGTCGAAGGGAGCAATGAGATGCGTCTGGGCACCAAAGAAGTCCGAGTACCAGACTGAGAGCAAGCCGGCAATGACAGGGATGTTCTCCTCAAGAGGAGTCTTGAGGAAGTGCTGGTCCATGGCGTGGGCTCCGGCAAGAAACTGATGGAAGTTGTCAAAGCCAATGAAAACGGCGACCGACAGACCGATGGCCGACCAGACGGAATAACGGCCACCGACCCACGACTCGAAGCCGAACATGTTCTTGGGGTCGATACCGAACTTGCTGACCTCATCGGCGTTGGTGGACAGAGCAACGAAGTGCTTGGCAATGTCTTCTTGCTTAGCCTTCTGCAAGAACCAGTTCTTTGCAGTGTTGGCATTGGTCACCGTCTCGGCAGTGGTGAAGGTCTTGGAGGCGATGAGGAAGAGGGTGGTCTCTGGGTCGGAGTTCTTGAGAGCCTCAGCAACATGAGTACCGTCAATGTTGGAGACGAAGTGAAGGGTCATATCGCGATCACCGTAGGCCTTGAGGGCTTCGGTGACCATAACGGGGCCGCTGGAGATTGTCAGAAAAGCCAACACGGAGGGCTAATGAACTTACAGATCGGAGCCACCGATACCAATGTTGATGATGGTGGTGAGCTTCTTGCCAGTATAGCCTTTCCACTCACCGCTACGAATCTGCTCGGAGAACTCCTTCATGTGGTCAAGAACGGAGTTGGTCTCCTCCACGACACTCTTGCCATCCACCGCCATAGGCTGGTTGGAGGTATTGCGGAGAGCCACATGGTAGACAGCTCTGTCTTCGGTGAAGTTGATCTTCTCGCCGGCGAACATGGCATCCCGCTTCTTCTCGAGGCCAGCTTCCTTGGCGAGCTTGACGAGCAGAGGCAGCGTCTCATCGGAGAGGAAGTTCTTTGAGAAATCGAAGAGGATCTCAGATCCATCTGCGGAGTTGGTGAAGGTCTTGCTGAACTTCTGGAAGCGCTCAGGGTCTTTCTCGAAGAGCTCGCGCAGCACCAGGTGGCGGCCGACCTGGTTGTGATGGTTGATGAGCTCCTGCCACGCAGGCAGGTCGGTGGCTTGAGCGAAGTCGGCCATGGTGTCTAGTAATTAGGATATAGTCGGTGAGGTGTGAGGTTCTATCGAGGAATCAGTGCGATGCTCAAGCTTAATATGGAACCAAGTCTCGAGTCACAGGATCAGGCAGTGAATGATGAAACGTACCAAGGCTCGTGAAACTGACAACAATTAACAGGAAGAGTGAGAGAAAGGTCTTGGGAGAGCTGACGCAAAACAACTCGAGTGGAAATGTTTTGGATTTTTGGAGGGGCAGCAATGATGTCGACCTTCCGGCGCTGCCATGCCGCGCTTTTCCCAGGGTCTCGTCCCAGCAATCCTGCACCACGAATCATTCTCCCACTCAGCAACACCTGGATGATTAAGCCGGACTGTCGCCAATCATCATCCTACCAGGGTTACTTTTTATGGAGTTTCGCCCCGGGTCGAGACTTTGCTGAGGAAGAGCTCTGCCACCCAAGTCCCACACTTGCCCCTCTTTGCAGCCTCATCAATTTCCAGCAAGGCTCGCTACCCCTCCATTCCTAGATGTCTATCCACTTTATGGGAGTCGTCGTGTTCAAGCGGCAAGTCGACAAAGCCTTACCGCTTACTGGTCTTCAATTGTATCTCTTGCTTAGGCATCGACAGCACGGTACCTAACGGGTAAGGACCGTACAGTATGTCGAGTCAACGCAGAGGACAGCAAAAATAAATGTGGTACTGTGCATTTATATTGACACCCTATCTGCCCTGCCAACTGCCCTCTATATGCGCACAGGTAATAGCCGTCGACAACTCATCGACTACATAGCCATAGCCACTATGTTCCAGGTCTAGCGGAGCCAAATTCTGCTTCAAGTTCTGGCCAGCGCTGTTCCCTCTTCGCCTCCACTTCCGCCTCCGACGACCTTGCCTTCGTCCTTGTCAACTATTAGAGAGCTGAACCGCCTGCTCTCCACGCACCTCGTCAGCTTCTATCAGCTGCTCATCTTGCCCCTTCAACACAGCATTCAACGCCTATGTCATTTCCTCGTCGCTGAGCATATCCCCGTCCGCGACGAAATCGTCATCCTTGGTACCACTGGCCCCACCTCCACCTCCACCAACATCACGTCTGCTCTCGATATCACCCAGCCACCCAGTCCCCTCTACAGTAGTCGTCTCAGGTCTCCTCAGCCGCTCGTTCCCCTCCAACCACCGCATGTTCTCTTCAAACCACTCCTCTGGGCTTTCAGATCCGAACCAGGCCAGCTCGTTCAGGTAAGCCGCATCAGTGAAGATGCTGTGCGGGACAAAGGCGACGGAAAAACCCAGGGGTTGCTCGAGCGGGCCGGATAAAGTGCTGTTCGTCGAAGTGAGAGAGACTATGCTGCTGAGGCGTGAGCGAGTGTTTGGCAACAGCTGGGGTTGCTGCGATGGCCGAGCACTTGTGAACTGAATGTGAGGGGAGTTTTGCTGTACTTGTTCATGTGGTTGATATGGTCGCTGTTGCCGTTTGTATTGGCGTTGCTGCTGCGGCCGACGATAGGAGTGAGAGCCCGTATGCGCCGGCTGCCGTTGGTAGTTCCGATTGCCGTTGCTTCGCCGGCGGTCCGAGTCTGCTATCCGTTGAGGTCCGTCTTGGTTGTGGTTTGGCATGCGTTGCTGGCCGTAAATGTTGGGCCGATAGTCCGTCTGATTTGCACCACGATCACTCGGATCCCTGGATGCACTGCTGTTCTGCCGGCCCAGTCTATGACCTTGACCCAGGCCTTGCTCGCGATACCATCTATGATAATGATTAGGCATACTGCAGAAATGTTCGCGTGCTTTGTTCAGCTGCTCTGTCATCGCCATGACTTGACTGTATGAAAATGTTCAACGAGCATAGGGTATCGGGGACAAAGACAAAGATAGAACAGATAGCGTTCGTACTCTTTTGTTCGAAGCGTGTGTGACGATGTGTAATGATTCTGTTGTCTCCTGGGTCCTTTGTCTATTCTGAGACCAATACCGGGAGATTAAACAGTGTCAGGAAGATATTGAGGGCAATGTAAGTCTGCGACTATACTGTTGTCTTAATCTGGGGTTCGTTTGTAGTCGGAGATGGTTATGCCTACAGAGCCAGGTGGTGGCATTTAGGGCACGTCGGTTCTGAAGTCTTCCGCGTCAGCCCTTTCGTAGGTCTCTGCTCTCGGGCCAAATGCCAGATATCTTCCATTGGTATCCAGCCCGGCCTCCCCCACCTTGCGCTTCAACCCAGAATCTTGTCTTTGTACATTCACCGGCGCACCGTTGCCGTAGGCATCGGTCATGGGAGGTGTAACTTCGTGATCGTTCTGAGTCGCGGTTTCTGCCAGTATGCCAACTGAAACAGGTTCTTGCATTTGTCCGAAAAGGCCCTGGTAGTACCTGGCCTCCTCAATGCTCTCTAGGATGTCCTCTCGAGCTGTGTGCTTCAGTGCCTTCCTTGGCGCTCCCAGTAGAACGTCGTTTTGGCACCACCGTCTCACGCCTTCCTTGATGGCACTGACGTCGAGAATGCGGTAGTGCAACCAGTCCAGGTTCTGATTCCACGGCGGTTGCATCAAAAACATCTTGTCAGCATGTACGGAGTTGCCTGCCAGGAGTGCTTTGCCTTTGTTAGGCACATAACCTTTGATGTAGGCGAGAAGCTGCGAAGCAGCTATCTCTGCAGTCGTTGTCGAAGCTATGCACTGATCTACTAGCCCGGATGCTGTGTGCGTATTGATACACCACTCGTTCATACTCGCCAGAACACTTGCGGAAGGATGGATGACAGCTTCGAATCCGCCCTCGTCAAGTGGGTCCAAAGAAGCATTGGTGATGAAGCACGCTATTGATAGTATGGTATCTTTTGTGGGATCAAGGCCCGTCATCTGTGGTGGTACAGCAAGTTAGTATTTGGCGGTAGCGTCCACAAACAAGCCCAGGTCCAGATTTGGAGAGACTTCACCCACCTCGCAGTCGATCCACACCAAGGGATCCTCGGACCTTGTAAGTGACATCGTGCCTGGGTGATTCCAGCTTGTGGAGCGTATAAGTTGAGTTTCTGGGTGGCTGTAGACTCATGGCATCGAGCCGCACACCATAGGTACATGGCAATCACAACGGCTTATAACCGCGATCTCATATGGGCGGCGTCCTGGTGAGACAGGTCGTGACGGTTGACCGTCGGGTCTTTTGTGACCAAGAGACGTTATGACGCGCCGCGCAAACTATGTCCGGCCAATCAGATAGGCGCGATGATGTTGTCAGGTGTACACCAGATCATCCTCGGGGGACTTCTAAATTGGCTGTGGATCTCGGCGAGAAATACCCATCGGAACCTGGAGCGACCTACAGGGGCTGCAGAGGACGGGCTGGACGGAAAAGAGAGGCGGCTCAGGAATGCCAAGGAGAAAAGGGCAAAAGGCGTCAGCAGGCAACCGAACGCCCTTTTGGGTCACGACGGCGATTCTTATTTGAAACTAGCAGCTGGGCTGGAACATAGCATGAATACTGGAGGCTATATCGTGGTTTTGGAGCTCTCTGAACCATCGTTTCAAAAGCCACTCGTTCTTTCGAGCTCGAGCACTTCTGAAAATATTCGTTGATAGCTAGTCGACCAATCTCAAGCATATCTTCTCCGATCAGTCCGTGTTACAAAAGAAGTCAAGTGCTGGTAATGGCGACCTCATCCAGCCCCTGCTATTCCAGAGCTCGCATCTAATGTCGACGGTCGATAATCCCATAATCTTGTGGTGTTCACCATGTCCATGCCCGACCCTCATCAAGATTTTGTCCTTCGAATCGTATGGTATCGTCCAACACCGGAAGTACTCCTGTCATGCCAACTCTTGAGGCTGACGGTCATGCACAGTTGTCGTCATAGAAGAGAAATAAAACGTCGTTACAGCTCCTCGTCGTTATCGTCAGCGGGTTTCTTGCCCAATGCTCCACCAAACTGTAGGCCCGTCTTGGAGGCAGGACTATCGGCTGCGGCACCAGATCCAAGTACATCGCCGATGGCTTGAGCCGCCAGACCTCGCTGTAGCCGCCTCTTGAAGTCGTCGTCAAAGTCGGCCATAGACGAGCGCTGCTTTTTTAACGGGCTGCCAACCATAAAGTCGTCTTCCTTCTTGACTTCACCGAGCTGGCCCTGAGCAGGCGAAGTACCAAACTCATCCCCAAGCAGCTTGGGCGTTGATGAAGCTGAGGGAGACCCAGAGCCAGACTTGGAGCTTTTTCGTGCGTCCGCTACGCCATTGCTGTTGAGGGGCTCCGCAGAATGTTGTCGCTTCAACTGATAATACCTTAGCCCATGTCGAATTTTTAAAGGCGATGGATCACGTACCTTGATTTTGCGGATGCCTTCAGCCACAGCTCCAGTCCGCTCGGCGTCTTCGGGCGATAGCATATTCGAATTTTTGATGTCATCTTCGTTGATATCGTCCATCTTGCCAATAATGTCGCCTCCCTCGTTGTCGCTGTCACTGTCCATATCATCGCCATCCCGCTTGCCCTTCCGGCCTGAACGGTCTCGAAATTGAGAAAAGCCAGCGGTACCCTCCTTCTTGAGCGGACCGAGCTTGGGGATCTCACCAATCAGGCTTCTGCGCTTAGCAGCAGGGACTGCCTTGTCACCCTTGGGACCACCCAGTATGCCCATCTTCTGAAGTTGGCGTTCGCCGCGGTAGAAGAACGTAAAGACAGCATAGGGCTTGTCGGTGGGATCGATCCCAGTGACTGTCTGTGTTGAAATAGTTTTAGGATCAAGAGTCTTGGGTTTTGCAAAGCTGGTAGTATGATCGACATCCGCCTTGTTGTGCCCGTTGGTCTTGTTGCCATCCGAGTCCTCATCGTCGTCGTGAGCGTCAAACTGCGGCGAGTACTCTCCGCGCTTGACTTCGCCGCTGGCAAGAACACGAAACAGAGCGATCTTGATTTGACCTGCAGCTTCCGGGATTGGATCATCGTCATCTTCGTCGGATGTGTTGGAGTCGTCCATAGAATCATCGTCGGACACGTTCTCAAGCTGTCCATCTGCACCGTATCGAAGAGTGCTCTTTCTCGGCTCCGACTTGGTCAGGCCGTTCGACTCGTCGTCTGATCCCACGGCTTCCTTTCTCTTCCTTCGTCGCTTTTCTAGCTTCTGTCTTCGCTTCTCGATGGTAGCGGCGGCATCCTTGCCCTCCAAGTCCAGACCGTTGAGCCACCGCTCTAGACCGACTTCTCGGAACAAGAATTCGCGCTCGGCAAGACCACCACCTTCGCTGTCGGGAACGCTAACCCATCTACTGTTGACCCAGGTCTCCTCACCTTTTCTCAGCAGTGTCGCTACCTCTTCCTTCGCGCGACCATCAAAATAGATGTAGGCTGCGATCGTCTCGTTTGGAGAGGTAGTGAGTGGCACATAGGGCCCGATTCCGCCAATGTATTTGCCCCGCTCATCGCCATGACCCGGGAGACCTCCTACAACGCGCGGCTTGGGATTCGGAGTCTGTCCAGAGGGTTTCGGAGTCGAGTACGGCACATCTTGGCCAGGAGTGAGGAGAGTGATGGAGATAGCGAATGAGGATGGTTCGGGCTTGTTGGATGAGCCGTCGGTGGGAATCTTGGGAGGAGGGACGGGAATATATGTACTGATTCTGGACAGGCGCGATTGCTTCTGAACAGAGTATTCCGAGAGAGGACCGTTAGGAGTGTGGATGCTGACCGCAAGACCCTTGAAGCAAGGCATTTTGCGCTTGCGTCGGGATCGAGCTGGTCAGTCTGATGAAATGGTTCTGATCCGCCGATGCGGTGGAAACTCAGCAGTGCGACCTCGAGCCTCTGTGGGTTCGGCGCTTGTGAGTGTTCGACGCTGCTTTGCGGGAGTGTGCAGGAGAAGGAAATGGGGGTTTCGTCGAAGACTTGACGTCCTGTCAAAAAGGTCGAGGAGCGAAGTGGGGATTGAACTCTGCTCGGTCGGTGAGCGGAACGGCCACGGCACACGCGCGGGCGTGGAGACAACTCGGTGGGAGCTGGAGAAGTCAAGGCTGCGCCTAAGAATCACCTCGCGGGTGCTGATTGGCTTGGAATCAAGCCAGGTCTGCCAACGGACCACACTGCCGCTGTGCAAGGCTTCAGAACAAGTGATTATCTGACAGCAGAGGAATTCAAATCAAGGTAAGGACGAGTGGTAGAGAGAGAGCGATGGTGAAGATGCATTCACATTCACGGTTATCCGCAAGCCCAAAGAGAAGCAGAGCGCCCACGCCTTGCCAAGCCCGGGGCGAGGCTGGTAGGCAACTGGCAAACCGCCCAAACCGCCCAAAGTCTTGGAATGAGGGATCACACGGTTTGACCGCTGCTACATTGCACTTACGGTGCAGCTTGGGACTATATAAGTACTGATAAGCTTGTCAAACCCCTTTGTTATGCCTGTGCCATCAAAACTTGTTGGCTAGATTGGCAAGGCTCATCTTTCGGGGCGGTGCCATCCCGCTTGCCCGGCTCTCACGTCGAATTTGTTCGACAAACTCAGCATCAGTGTCGACATGACCTTCGAAAGTGTACAACGGCGGGCAAACTGCACCCTTTTTGCGCAGAACATAGCGCTTGAACCACCAAGGAAGGACAGTGGAAACTTGATATCGCATGTGAGTACGAGTTGGCACCGCAAAAATGTAGTCCAACTCTTCCAATGTTCGCTGCTTGGTCTCTGGCACCCAGAGGAAGATCATCACGAATGCCGTAACGTTCAAAGCAGCATAGAAGCCAAAGGCACCTACACAAGTCAGTTTCATCTCTTGGTCATGTAGCGATGAACTCACCTTGAGGCGTCATAGCCGCCAGCATTCGAGGGAAGGTGATCGAGAGTACTGCAGCCCAGAAAAGGCAAGTTGCCACCGCCCACGCCATGCCAACCTCTGTCTCCATGTTAGCTCAACTCGATAAAAACCGACGACAGGTTTACCTCTGTGCGACAATGGGAACACCTCAGCCGAATAGGTAAACGGCACGGGTCCTTCGCCGGGAGAATAGAACGCAGCGAACAGGAAAATGAACAACGCGATCAATCCCAAGTGAGCTGTATTCGACTCGGGAATGAAGAAACACATGCCCGCGGCCAACAACGTCCAGGCCATCTGTGGGAACGTGAACAGCAACAGCGAACGCCGGCCAAAGGTATCGATCGTCCAGATAGCCGGCCAGGCGAACAAGAAGTTGACGAGCCCAAAGCCCCAACTCGCGAGCAATGCTCCTGTCGTGGACGCACCCGCTTGGGCAAAGACGGTCGATGAATAGAAGGCGATGATGTTGATACCACACATTTGTTGAGCGATCATCACTGTGAACGACGCTAGAGTTGCTCGTCGAACTCGTGGAATCGTGAAGAGTTGAATGAATCGAGTGACATAGTTCGACTTGTGGACCAAGAGGTTCTCCATCTGGATCTGGGCAAAGATGTAGTAAAGATCGCGGGCAGCTTGCAGCTCCGTGTTCCGCAAACGTCTCAAAGACTGGAAGGCTTTCTGGTATTTGCCCTTCTTGATGTACCAACGAGGACTCTCGGGGCAGAAGTACACGCCGACCCACAGAGGCACAGCCGGGATGAATGCGGATCCCAGCTGAAGTCTCCAGGATATATCACCAGTATCTTTGACCGCCAGATTGGCACAGAAACCTAGGAAGATACCAAAAGCCCTAAAGAGGGTCAGCTTGGATAGGGCAAGGGATGGAAGCACTCACGTCCACATTTGCCAGCACATCACCAGACCACCACGAACAGCTGCCGGGGCGTTCTCTGCGCAGAAGATGGGCACGGTTGACGCTTTACTGCCCATGCCGATTCCGAGCAAGATCCGAGTGATGAATAGTTCCCACCAGTTCTGGGTCACAGCAGATCCTATCACGCTCAGACAGCAGAATGCAGCCGAAAAGAAAATGGTCCCACGACGGCCAAAGTAATTGTTGAGAGGATCCGACATCCAGCATCCCAAGAACGCCGAGGCAATGTATGGTGCAGCGTTGATCAAGCCCACAAGCCACAGATTCTTCTCGTAGTGGGGGTTCGGTGTGACGCCGTCTTCCAGTGTCTTGGAGTCAGAGATACCGAATGCGACCGGGAAAGAAAGGTTGGCGCCATTGGATCCCGTCTGGTCCCAGCCTCTGCGCCTTGTTAGCCGATGAACTTGGGATGGAAAAGCTAGCTTACTGCACGGCAGCGCCAACGGAGCAGAGAATAATGGTGAAATATAAAGCCTTGGGCTGGCGCCATTTGTGCAGCACTTCATTGCGAATGGCCTCCTTCTCACCATCGGTGAGACCCTCGACAGATTCGAAAGCGGGAGGGTCTTTTGCAACCAACGCGCCCTTGATCAAGCTGGGGGTCAGATCGACCATGTCATGGTCCTTGGCGAATTTCTCGACGTCGCGAACCACCTGCTCGGCCGAAAGACTTGCGAGGGGATTCTTGATCCTGATCGGTTGTCAGTGACTGCGCTGAGTCCAATCCAATTCAACGCTACGTACTTTGCAGACAAGTTGTGCTGAAGGTTGACGGCCTCACCATCAAAGCCATCTTCGGCGTGGGCGTGCTTCTCATAGATTTTCTCCTCACCAGAGTGAGGTGGTGAGCTGAGACCGGTCAGTCGTGTGCTCCACATCTCCGGTCAAGAACATACTCGTCGCGCTCGTGGAGAGCCGGGTTGGTGTTAACGCCTTCAGAAGCCATCGTGGATGTGGTCTCAATCTTGCTTGACCGATGTGCAGGAATCGACACACGCGGGACACTCCAAGTCTTTTATCCTGCGAAAGTCATGCTGGCATGTGGGAAATTTGGAGCGACTACTGAGATGCAGATTTCCAATCCGGCTACGCGATCGCTGTCCAGAGGTCGTGGCAGACAACGCGAACCGACAGCTCGCACCCATGATATCGGCAGGTCCGTCATCTATGCTCGTTGTGGAATCTGCGAGGCACGATTACTGGCCGCTCTGGCAAACTATCAACCAAAAGAGCGATATCTGAGACCCAGTTGGTGGGGTCAAAGCACGACAGCTCTCGCAACGACGCAGCCTCCCTGGCTCCAAGGGCGGCTTGCATTGGCGCTCCGCACTCGACTAGACCGGGGTCACTAAGCCGGAAACCCAACAGCAGATCTGCGCGACACCATTATGCTCCCTTCTGGAAACTGCAGGTCACAGATATCTTGATCCTCCATAGCTAGCATCAGCAGCATCACCGGTCTGTATGCGCTCCTCTGTTGAGCGCAGGAGACCTAGAGCGTCGTCAGCAGGAAGCTCACCAGACAAGCACAGACAAGAACACCAAGCCGTAGAGCTAGCAGTGCTTTTCAAGGGCAAGCCTTGGAGTATCCCTGTCGGCATCCAGCCCCCTGGCCACACCAGTCTTCATTCAGTATAGATCCGCAAAACTTTGTCGTCGTCAATCCTCCGCAGCTACACTTTGCTGGACGGACTTCTCTAGGCTACCCCTCACGTGTATCGCCTCGCCTCGCGCATGTGTGGGGACGACAAGGAGAAGCTCAACTTTCTCAATCCACGATGTTACTGTGGCGGATTATTGTTGATGCAGCGCCGATTCTCCGTCCTGGCCCACGAGTGGTGACCCGGTAGCAGTGGCCTGTTTCAGTACCCTTCTGGAACCCACAGTTGGGCAAGAACGAAATGTACGAGCTGAAGTGGCGGGGATAAGTCGAGCGACTCCCCGAGCGTGGCGTTCGAGACCGATCTTCCTTCGTCTTCGGTGGCAACATTCTGCGCTGGTCAGCATGGCCATTCTCATCTGCAATGGAGCAATCGCAGATCCAATTCCTCGCTGTATTAAAAATGTGCAAAACGATCACCATCTATTGCCATCCTCTCTCCCCGCAAAGTTGGGGTTGTCGATATGACGATCCTCCGCAAAACAATGGTTGCCAGCTCCTAAGTGGTCGGTTGTACGTCTCTACTTGGGTATCGTCACCCGACAAACCTACTGTCCCACGGCAGCACGGATCTCGGAGTTGAGCAGCCGATTAACCCCTGCTTGGAACACGGGGCTAAATACCACAGTCGTCACTCTGCAGGCGGGAACCTCAGTCATCTTGACATCCTCACTGCATTCATCCAATCACGCTACGCGGAATGCTCGCTTGCTTTGCCTTTCTGCAACGCACACTTAGGTGGCCTGACATTTCTAACGTTCGAGAGAGGTAATGACCAGTCCTTGTGCCGACTTACCTCCTCCCAGGACTAGCCCGCCTACTCGTTTAAATCGTACGCAGGCTGTCCGGGTACAGCCAGCTGACCCCATCACTTTGCGCATGATAGAGCCAAAGCTAATGATGCAAACTCTACCCCGCGGGGGTGTGGCAGAACCCATCAGTGCTTCGGTAACGCATGTCTTGACTACAACTCAAGTCGACAATCCCCAACTAGTGACCACGCGCATCTGGAGCATCGGCGGTTCCGAAAGAGCGAGAACCATGAATCGCGATCTGTGACGAGAGGGCAAAGCGACAATTCATCAATTCCTAATCGCTTCTGTATCCTCGTCTTCGAGGCCGGCGCAAGGAGCATTGTCGTGGACGGACGAAGGTATGGATCCCGAGCTTTGACCGGGATACCACTCCGTCTGGTTCAAGGAGGTCTTGAAGTCATTCTCACCCATTCGGCTGGAAAGGTGCTTCTCGCTTCTGCAGGACACTCTACATAGCTTACTCCATCTCTAAAATTTCCAGAAGCATCTTACCTCGATGTTCGGGTCGTGACAAGATCCCAGCATTCACGCACGTCAAAGTACCGAGTCGGCAAAGCTAACAGCGTCCCATATCGTGCATGGCTGCTGACGGCGCTGGCTCTCACCACCCGAAAAATGGTCCTTGCCACATTCGAGACCCGACTCACGTGCGTCTATTCTGACCATGAGACGACTAGCCAGATCTGCTTGGCCGACTAGTCCTGGGTCTCGATCATTTATTGTCCCAGCAGTCCAAGTGGTAGGGTAAGGCAAACTCCCAGCACCACGCTGGGGGCTATCATAGAAGCTTGGCGCAAGGCTGCCTTCCCCTGTGCCTGTTTGCTCCAAACCACCACCCTTGCCTTGTCGCGACGTGTACTTATCAGCCACTGCAACGAATGATGAGGCCACTAAGCCACCTAAAGAAGCGAGAGTCCACGTAAACACAGGCCGCAACGTAGCAATTCGTTTCATTCGCTTGGCTACTTGCAAGGGCCAACGACTCCTTCTATTCAACGCTAGTCGGACCTTTCCTAACCTGACCAACACAAAATCCAACGAGGTTGCGGTTCAGGCCAGTGCTCTAACCGAACATTGCACCGAGTGCCGTAGTAAACCCCGTTGCACGCTCTTGGACAAGTGCAACCCAACCCGTGGATAGCGCCTGCTGCTCGACTCGAGCCCGCAAGGCGCCATTGCTGTTCTTTTGTCCGTCCGTCATCTCTCTTCGTAGCGTCCTGAATCGGCTGTCGAAAGACCCGCAAAGCAGGGAGGGCACTCAACGTCGCGGTGAAGCATTACTACCGCGGAAGACTCTGCTCTCTCCCGCTGCTTCCTCTTGCCTTTCTCTCCCCCTCTCAGACAATCTCGCCATTACCTCCGTGACCACAACCCCCCCGGTGCAGCAGAGGGCTTCTCTCTCCACATGCTTTTCCACAAGGATAGACCAACTTCAGTGACCGCCAAACATGCCCTTCACGCCCGCCAATCTCTCCCTCAAAACATCCCTAACAACCTCGTCATTGCCCGCCCCCTCCTGACGGCCGCCAGCCACGACCTCGCGCCGACCACGAAAGACCTTCCAGCGCCGTCCGGACGTCTTGGCGCCGGGAGACGAGACGCGCGTCGCTTCATTGCGCTTCTGTTCCGCGTCGTCAGCCATGGTGGTGGTGGTGGCGGCGGCGGCGGCGGCAGAGCGGGAAGTAGTAGTCATCGTACTAGTAGTCGTGTTGTTGACACCAGTGGTGGCGGAGCGTGTCTGGCTGTGAGGCTGCTGCTGAGTCTCTGACGAAGCAAGTGCAAGAGCGGTCGATAAGGTGTCGGAGCTGCTTGCATGGCCACCTGATACAGGCTTAGGATTGAGCTTGTCGTCGCTCCTCAAGCTTGCGCTGCCGGAGCCAACCTGTGTGCTCTCCTGACTGCCGCTCGTAATAGCGGTGAGATAAGTTTCCTTTACGTCGTCATCCTCATCGTCAGGTCCCTGCAGCGGCATTCTCGGCAGTGGCAGCGGCGAGCGCGAGCGGCGGGCTCGTCTCGCCAGCCAGAGCGCCTCGTAGCCATCGCCCGTCAACAAGCCGCCGGTGGTGCCGTAGCCGGCTGTCGAGTAGGGCCGCGAGACTGACAGCGAGCGTGGCAGCGGAATAGCGAGCCCGATCTGCGACTCGCGCCTGGAGCCGCGGGGGTCGAAGAAGGGAGGTGGGAGGCGATGCGGTTTCTGAGACTGAGATTGAGCTTCAGACTGGGGCGGGATGTTGTTGTCGGTCGTGGCGAGGGAGGGGTCGATGGAGAACCATTCGCCTTCCGACAGCGTTATGCTGCTGCCCATGTTCTTGCGGTTCAAGGCCACTGGACTGCCGTTCTCGGTGGTGCGCGTACGGAGTCCCCTGCTGCTGACACGGACGTTGCGACTGGTGAGGCGGAAGCTGCCTCGAGATCTCCATGCCATGTCTCCTACCATGCCGAGCTCGTTGAAGTCTTGCCCTTTTGTGCCGTCCGCGGCCGAGGACGGGTAAGATGTCTTGTCAGGATCGAGACCCAGCAGCTCCCTCCTCACCAGCTCGATGTATTCTGGGTCGAGCCATTCAGCGCGCTTCTCGAGCTCGCGGGCTTTGCGCTGGTTGATGGAGCGGCGATGTAGCCAGTAACCAAGGAAGGAGAAGATCATGAGCAGGAGAAGGAGGGGAACGACAATGGCGGCGATGATGCCAGGAGATATCTTGTGAGCGTCCTTGTCTGCATCGTCCGAGGGGAGCGGTAGAGCAGGAGCGGGTGTGATGGAGGCTGGGGTGGGTTCGTGGGTAGGCTTCGCCGATTCAGTAGTCATCTCAAAGGAGATGCTTGTCGGAGGGGTGGTGAAGGTGAAGGTCGAGCTTATACTGGCCGATAGATGTCCGGAGATAGTAAGACTTTCATCTTGACCTTGAATCGCCGACTTGGCTTCAGACACTATGCTGGTAGGAACCGCACTAGACGGGATTGGGAAGCCGGGTTCCATATCAGTCGCAGACAGTTGGCCTTCGCTCTTGATCAGACTCGAGGTCGAGATCATGGTCGAGGATGCAGAAGTAGGAATTTGTTGAGCGGCTGAGCCACCAATATCACTGGCGGAGACATCTTCACCGTTTGCTACCTGTGCGGGGCCTTTGCCATGCTCGTTGAAGCTGTCGTCACCCGAGCTCGCGGGGTCAGCCATGGAGGGCATCATTGTGGCGAATAGATTATGTAGGGACAGGTCTAGCTAGGTCGAGGTCGTTCGTTGTGAGGTTAGGCAGGTCCTGCGAAGAGGTCAGCCTGGGCGAGTCTATCTTGACGCATCAAGGCAGGACGAGTCCTACTGTTGTTATTTCAACGATACTAGACTAAGCCAGGGCTGTGTCTCAAGTGCGGTCCAAATTGGTAGCCAAAACACTTGTGATCGTGTGAAAGAACACCCAAAACGAGGCGTAGAAGTCGACAAGTTGATCGACAATGATCTGGACTTGATCGAGGATGCAAAGACGCGGTGAAAATGGTGTTGCACTCTTAGAGCCGCGAGTGACTTTTGCAGTGACTTTTTGGTGAAGTGAATATGAGGTGGCGCGGTTAGATCTTCTTTGGATCTAGACGCGGTTGTTCCAATGCCACAATGAGTGACGGTGTGAGCGCAGCTTTTTGGAGAGGATGTTCTTGGGTGTGAAGAAGCCTGAGAGCGGTCTAGTCCATGAGCTCAGTCCAGAGGCAGATGCCAAAGTGGCGCAGCCTCTGTTGATGCCAGTGAGATGGTCGAGGAGTGGTTGTCGGATAGCTGTTCCACAATCGATGGAGGCTGGTAAAAGTCACCCGTGATGGGCACAGTTGTTCTGCTTATTGCGAGGGCAGGGGGGTGCGAAGCACAGGCGACGCCAGTCAAACGCGAGTTGACAAGTGTCGAGATAGTCTGCAGAGGAGTGGCGAGGTTGGCCGAGGTGTTGCACTACTTTGAGCCTCACGCTCAACAACCTGACGCGAAATCGAGCGGCAACTCGCGCTGACTGTTAAGACGAAGCAGGATTAGCAAGAGTGATCGAGAAGAATAGGGATGAGAGCAGTTGGTTGACGACAAGCCGAAATTACGAGGCGAGGTACAAGTGAAGCGGACGGCGAGGCTACCATGTCAACCCAGTACCAGGTCGCGGTGCCGCGTGCGGACAAGTTTCAAGCTCAGACAGTGAAGACGCGACAGTATGTTCGATGATGAATTTAGACATTATACCCTTATGTGTGCGAGGTTTTCAAGGCCATCGCAGGGGACTTGATTGTAGAATTTGGTCTCACCTGCGAGACCCCTTAATAACTCAGACAATGCTGCTTCGAAAATCTGTCCCTCGTATTACGCGGTTGCCGACAAAGTCGTTAAAACACGTACTAGACATGTCAGCGTAGGACAGAGGTAGTGTCATGGCCAGACTTACGGGAATGAAGAGGTAAGGTACCTCGCGCTCATACTGCTCCCAAGCTTTGCCGTACTTCCTGCGACAACGCTGTATATCTCTTAGAGCACGATGGATGATCATACCCGAGAAGAAAATGGGATAGAACCAAGGGAAAGGGGAGCTGAAGCCAGTGACCGCACCCCAAGTGAGTGCAAAGAAAAGGTCACAGGAGTAGTGGACCTTGCGGGCCAGACCATCTGAAAGGGTCAGTAAGGACTTGAATCAAGATGTCTTGATACTTACACCAGCCGTCCGCGAGAATCGTATGACCATCCTCGGTCCGAATAACCTTCGGGTTCTCGATATCTTGCCATGGCAGGGCGGGAAAGGCTGCACGTAGAGCCGCACCGCCATTCTCCTTTGCTCGGAAACGATTCTTTTGACCATTGCAGGTGTCCCAGACCCAGTAGACGAACAGGTATGCCACAAACCAGGCGGCTAGGACGAACCTGTTCATAGGATAGGTTGCTGGATCATGGTTGGCAAGCCAGATGGTGGAATGGCAGTATGTCAGGGGTACACCAGCCAAATTCCAGAAAATGAGCATGAAACCCCATTTCTCGTAGTACATGTCCCATGTCGGCACGATCAACTCCTCAGCCTTGCTGCAGGCGTTGGCATAGAGGAAATGAGCCAGTAGCATTAGGCAGACTTCACCGGAAACATAGCCGTAGCGTTCGTGCTGACGAGCAGCAGTTCCGAGAGTGGTAAGGAAGAGGATGAACCAAGGCAGACGAACTTCGAAAAACATCTTGAAATCCAGGATGCCGAACATGCGCGGGTTGAGCTCAGCACCCATGAAGAAGTCGTAGAAGAAATGACCGGTCATACGGTGCTGCTTCCCACGATAGATGGCGGAAAAGTAGGCGACAATGGAGACCAAAAAGCCGGAGATGATGGCCACAGACATGATGGGACCGAAGTCATCGATGATGGTGTAGAGCTTGAAAGCACCAGACAGGTGCAGGGCGCAAGCAAGAAAGATTGTGGTCCACCACGACTGCAGAGCGGAGCAGTAGTAATCCAGGCGCATCCCTCCTGCGTGTGCCAACGACTTGCCCTTTGTCCAGATACCGCCAGGCATAAGGACGTAGCAGCCACCTTGGAAAATAAGGAAAGTCCAATACATTATCCATGCCTTCAGGTGGGGGAAGGCGCCGGTGTAGGCCAGATGTCCCAAATGCTGTATGAATTCCACGAAGCTTTGTCCCTCCATCGGTACTGGTGGCTTGCCACCGTAATATGTTGCTCCTATCCACATGTAGTACATCAACAATGGGAAGCCGATCATCATAGCGCACACGCCAGGAGAGCCACCGAATTCAAAATGGCCCGAATAGTCGACTTTCGGGTCTGAACCTTCACGCCAGCCATCGATGACCTTGCCCGTCTCTCCTGTTGCACCATGGGCGTGGCCGTTGGCATGGATGTGGCCGTTCGTATGTTCGACCGTCTTCTTACGAGACCCCTCTTCGGGGGCGAATCGAGCGGATCGGCGACTCGTCTTGCGGTTGGGCTGTAACATGGGTGTCACCTCATCTTCGACGCCGGTGGAGGAATCTGCTGCGTCAGACTCGTCGCTTCTCAGTGAAGCCACGCCTGACTTGCGAGAGCTTTTCCGGCGTGGTGCAGGTGTCTCGACAAATCCTGGATGCTCGGTCTTCCTGTCGTGGTGTCAACAGTCTGTCAACGCGTAAAAGGAACCTCAAGCATACTTTGGCGTTTTGCCAGACTGGGTCCGCGTAAGAGTCATTGTGTCGAACGAGGGCAGTAAGAATGGAAATGAACGAGGGACAAGGGCTAATAATGAATGTAAAGCATAGCAGCTATGCCACTGTGGCGCGTCCGATGAGTAGGCGTAAGTTGCAAGGATGCGCCGTCGAGTCGCCGTTTTGCTTGTTGTTGGTGCATTAATTTTACCAGATCGACCCACCGGAGAATCAGAGCTCCGGCTTGATCTCGGAGAGAGACTCGAGCAACCCCCCTGTCTTCCCACTTCCGCTCTTCCTCCAACTTTGTCATCTCTCTGATGTGTACCCCCTCACGGGGTCGTTGTACTGTCCGAGATAACTCATGATACCTCGGACGATACTTTTAAAGGTAAGTTGATCGTTCTGTTGTGTTTCCTCTTCTTCCACTTGTGCTACGCATCTGCAACTATGTCTGGCCCTCCAGTTCCGTTCTCATCACTCCCCTTGTCCAAGACTTCTGAGGCTACGCGTTTGAATGCGTGGGGAGCATATGGTGCCGAGGATGAAGCTGGATTCTTGAACCGACAGACACCTGAGACCGTTGCGGCGGCTGCTGCGGAGATCAAAACTGGTGTTCGCGTTCCGCTCGATGCGCCGCTCGATTTTCAGGCCAAGAATCCCCTATTCCATCGTCAAGCTTTCGTGAAAGATGTCTACCAGAAGAAGCCGCGCATTGTACATGATGACACCTGGACCTTCAACACGCAGTCATCTACCCAGTGGGATGGCCTACGACATTTTGGCTACCAGAAGGCTCAGCGCTTCTACAACGACACAACCCTAGAGGACATTGCGGGCACTTCTGAGAAAGGCAAGTCCAATCCAAACATCCTCGGCATTCACAACACAACCGAAAGAGGCGGTGTCACCGGTCGCGGCATTCTGGTCGACTTTGCTCGTTGGGCTGCTACCCCCGAAGGCCAGAAGGCAGTGGGCGGGCAATTTCAGAACTTTGAAACGTCAGCCATCAAACTCGAATGGCTCAGAGCAACGCTCGCTGCGCAGAAGACAGAAGTCAAATGGGGTGACATTTTGATCGTACGCTCCGGCTTCTTCCCAGCCTTCCATGCCATCGATCAGACGACCCTGAAAGGCCTTCAAGAGAAGTCCCCGCCTGGCCTAGGTGGTGTTGAGCAGAGCGACCAGGTGCTGGAATGGATTTGGAACAACTTCTCAGCAGTTGCTAGCGATCATCCCAGTTTCGAACGCTGGCCAACTCCCTACGAATGGAGCATGCATGAAGTACTTCTGGCTGGTTGGGGCTGCCATATTGGAGAAATTTTTGATCTGGAGCCGCTTAGCAAGGAGTGCGAGCGACAGGGACGCTGGAGTTTCTTCGTAAGCAGCGTGCCAACGTATGTACCAGGAGGTGTGGCCTCGCCAGTGAATGGTGTAGCTATCTTCTAGTCGAGAATTGATGAGCCAGAACTGCCTGGTTGGTCTCTTTGGGCCACCGGGCCTCATTCAGGGGTCGGGCTTGGGTGCTGCTAATCTTTGCTAAACACGTTCCCTCCTATTGGTTGCCGGCAGCGCGTTCTCCCCCTAACCGGAGTCCGTTTCGCGTGTCCGCAACCTTTCTACAGTACAGGGCCTCCCAATTGCGGTAGGAATATTATCTCTGTCTCCTGCAGCTGTTGTTCTTTTCCTCCCCTGCAGTCCACGCTCATTCGATTTCGACTTTCTGGCTATTCGCTTCGTAATCTACTCCCAGCGCTTCTATCTTCGTCATGGGCTACTCCACGCAGCTTCAGGCCAAATTCGGCACCAAGGTGCCCGAACCGCTACCTGAGTTCTACTCCGAGTAGGTTCATACCAGTTGTCGCAGAGACACATACTGACAACACTCAGTCATCCCGTACATCCAGCGATTGTCCACTTTCCCATCGTGTTCAACTTTCTCGCCTGGTCTCTTGACCTGATTTACTTCTTCACCACCACATATGTGAAGCCTGGCTTCCTAACAAGCCGCTTCGGCGCGCCTACCACCCTCCTGGACATCACTCGTTTGTCCTATTTTGCCCTCTGTGCCGCTCTGATCTCCACGGTCCCCGCCATTATGTCCGGCAACATCCAGCTGGTTGGCATGATCAAGAAGAACGGTGGTCCCTGGGAGAAGGATGAGGCGGGCAAGCAGAAGAGCACCATGGTCCCGCGCATCAAGGTCGCCATTACCCACGCCCTAGTCAACGACGTCATCTTCTTCATCAACCTTTATAGCTGGTATGTGCGTCGCGGCACTGAAGCCGACGGCTGGAACCCGGGCAAGACCCCTCAATTCCTTAACTTCGTCGTTGCCTGCGCCCTCACCCCTGCCTTGATCGCCACAAGCAAGGCTGGCTCAACTCTGGTCTTCAATCACGGCGTGGGTCTGCACCTGGGCCGCAAGAAGTTCGAGTAAGATGCTTGACTTCTACCTCACCTTGGACTCGCTTCAAAAGACAGCCTATAGGAAGCTAGAGTCAGTACGGCACATCACAGAACGTCATATGGAGGATATGCAAGGAAAGATTTTGTCTGAAGCCACAAGCAGCCATTGCGTCGCTACCCGACCAAGTCGGTTAGTTGCAGTAAGTGGTGAAGCGGCTTGGGTTCCGGAGATCAAGCATGAAATCCTAGACCCCTTCGAGATATGGTTTTGGAAAGCGACGTTGTGGAAATAGAACCTGTAATTGAATGAGTAGATGTTACCTACGAAGGGCTGGAATAGGTGAGAGTTAACATGCGGAGACATGTTTTGCGCGACTGGTCCGTATGCTGTACCTGACCAATCTTTTTCTGAATTCCATGCTGCGACCTACGCAAGCTCCTAACCTGCTGTGACAACCCTCCATCCTCACAGCTGATTCCTCATCGTCTTGCGGCGCCTTCTTGCGCCAGCAATGACTTCCGCTCGCTTGTCCCCAGCAGCGAACCTCCTTCGCAACTCTAAGCTTTTCGCGCTTCCCCCAGCTGTACCCTTACCACCCACGAGACCATCATCGGAACCGGTTCATGCTTCGGATACGGCGACTACCATTCATCCCACTAAAGCCGCCATCTACACTGATACGAAGTCTCTGCTTTCAGGCGACTGGGGCTTGAAGAGACCTCTGCCGACTAAGGCATTCGCCAAAACCACCACCCCCGTTATCCGGCTTCGAAGTGATGTCGATACTCAAGAACATATTGCCGACTTTGACTCGGCGGCCGACCATGTCATGACTCTGTATAAATGGGAGACTCATCCTTTGTTGATGAGCAATGGCGGTTCCTCGAAATCAAGCGCGGCAAAAAAGAGCGTCTTTCGTCCTGAGTACGATAACACGACACCGACCACCGTTCGAGCAGCACCGGCGGCCAGAGCGCCAGAGGGCGCTCTGGCCTTTCAGGGTTGGGACGACAGCGCGCGACAGCGGTTTCTCAACCCTGTCGCAGGTCCATACGACACGGTGGAAGCAACAACGCCTGAAGCAAAGGCAGATTCACGGCAGACGTCGATTGAAGAGATGCTGGAGCAGTACAGAAAGGACTTTGCCACAGAAGCCGAGGCGTCCGGTCGCATAACATCTCAACCGTCAGGTCTACCACGTTCGGTGGAAAAGCGAGAGAGATGGCGCTATCAAGGCCCATGGCTTGCGGCCATGACGAACGGGGATTTCGAGATCTTCTTGAATCAATTGGATGCCGGGAAGACAGCAGCTTTCCGTGAGCATCTTAAGCGAGGCATTGTCGCACGCCGAAAGAAGCAACATTCCGAAGCGGTTGAGGAAGCCCGCGCAAATGCAGTGGAGCCTCCCGCGATGCCCTCTGAGGAAGTATCTGAAGATGAAGTCACCGCTCTTCTACGAGAGCTACGGACGAAGACAGATCTATTCAGCTCCGAGATCTCCTCTTTTCTCGATCTACCCTCTCCGCCCCGCCTCACAACAGGAGACGCAAGTTGGAAACGGCCAGTGGATGAGGACACCAGCATCAGCCTCTACCAAAAGGAAGGGCCACCTCGTTTACACCCGTCGGCAGGATTTTCCTACCTTCGCTCGGATCGCTTCGCTAGGATGTCTCCTCATAACGGACCCCAGGACGCGAAATCCCGCGTTCCAGCTCGTCAACTCAAGGAAGTGACCGGCGAGGACAAGAGAAACATGGAGTCCGGCCAGACGCACTTCTGGGGCGTCGGTGGATTCTCGGTGAGTACGCGGTATAGCTCTACAAACGTCCAAGCTTGGCGAACCACGAACGGAGGGCCTAAAACCGTTGCCATCGTCGATGAAGCTCTTGTCTCGAGCAACGGCTCGATCGATATGCAAACCCGCATCCTGAACTACTCCAGATTGGACCAAAACAATGTACCAGCATTACAAAGAGACACCGAGGATCGTGATCCTCAACGAAATCACTCTGATGAGTTGCGCAGGAACAATGGCAGAGTCTACAAGCCCCCACCATCAGGCTATATGAGAACTCCTGATCTTTCGGTGGGCGGAGCTGCAGGTGCAGGTATTACATCGGATCTTGGCTATGCCCCAAGCGACAACAATGCACCGCTAGGACGGAGGCCATTGTCAAGAACCTGAAGACGTAGACTCTGATAGATGTATAATATTTACAATTCTCTGCACAGGCATCTTTCTTGCTACCGAACCATGTACTGAAGCCTCTGGGTTAGTATATAAAGTCACGTGACCGAAAGAAGCCAAGATTTTCTTCTCTTGGCGCGATCGCACACATCCTGCGACTTCCCCCGTCGACTTGCTGCAACCTCCAACACTTCGACCCTCTCTCTATCGCCTTTCACCAACGTCAATACCTCCAATATGGGTCGCGTTCGCACAAAGGTCAGCACTGCCACTACACATCCAAGTCCACTCCACTAATATGTTCAATAGACCGTCAAGAAGTCCGCCAAGGTCATCATTGAGCGGTACTATCCCAAGCTCACCCTCGACTTCGAGACCAACAAGCGCATCTGCGATGAAATTGCCATCATCGCGTCAAAGCGTCTTCGCAACAAGGTCAGCATAGAACCCACTCTCCCCTGGATCTCACTTCAAATCACTAACACCGCAAAAGATCGCCGGCTACACCACCCATCTGATGAAGCGCATTCAGCGCGGCCCTGTGCGCGGTATCTCCTTCAAGCTGCAGGAAGAAGAGCGCGAGCGCAAGGATCAATACGTGCCCGAGATCTCCGCCCTCGACTTCACCCAGAACTCCGAGAGCGGCCAGCTCGATGTCGATTCCGATACCAAGGATCTGCTCAAGAGCATGGGTTTCGACAGCATCCCCGTCAATGTTGTGGCCGTGGCGCAGCAGGGTGGCCAGGAACAGAGAGGTGGCCGCAGAGTGTTCGGCACTGACCGTCGGGGCGCGGCTTGAGCGGTGTTGAATGGTGCGGTAGACTCGAAAATATTTTCATGAGATCAAGAGAGATTCCCACCGGTTACGATCACGCTGCGACAAGAGTCTTATGACCTGCCAGCGGTGCCGGATGTGGGGTTCGGACCATACATGCTGATGCTGTCGGTGGCAGCAGCCACATGGGACCAGATCGGCCTCGATGTGCAATCTTTTTAGTGCACCAGGCCAACGATACCAGAATCAACCAATTCCATCACAAGGTGTCGCTTAGCCCCACGAGGGCGAAGCTTGATTGCCATACTTCTATCCTTCCTACTCATGCTATGGTGAAAGACATTCGACGTGCACGAGTAGTTGCTGAATCACTGACAAGAGGCTTGTTGATCATCAAGACCATGTCTCCTCGAGCTAACACTTTCTAGTTGAAGCATACTCATTGGAACCTATTGTTCTGGACTCATTCAGTCATCGTGGCGTGAGCCCGCCTGGGTTGTTGACTCCCCGGGCACGATATAATGAATGGTCACTCGTGCAGCGGTGGGTCATGCGAACGCCCAGATTCATTGATCCGTGTGCATGCGACAAGAATCGCCTGAATTCGGTGGTCGTGCAGCACCACACGGCTTGAAGCTCAAGGCAGAATATAAACGCGAATGAACAGCAGTCAATTGGTATCAACCTCTAGTCACACTGCAACAGCGCTGGCCCATAAGCTGGCTTGGGGTAGAGCTCTTATGAGACCTCTACCTCACAGCGGCTTAGCCTGACTGATAGATGGGCGATGAAGAAAGAACCTCGACCCCTTACTCCCGTTCTTGAGACCAAGACCATCACCATAGATGCCAAGGCTTTACCAGCACTTCGATATACGGCAGGCGTCTCTGACCAAACGCGCAGTTACGAACTTTTGAATTTCACCGCCGTCGTTCGCTATGCCCATCTATCGACCACCTTCGTTTTTGCCATCGTCCCACATATCAATTCGCCCGCGAAAAGGCGTCAAAGCAGGCTCATATCCGCCAGCATGATTATCCCCATTCGCTGCTTCTCCTGCGGCAAGGTATGCGCCTCTATGACATCTCCTGGTTCATGATCTAACTCATGCACAGGTCGTGGCCGATCTCTACGAGCAGTACATCAAATACCTCGAGGAGGGCGACAACGATGGACTGGCAATGGACAAGCTTGGATGTACGCGCTACTGCTGCCGTCGCATGCTGATGACGCATGTGGATTTGATCGACAAATTGCTGCAATACGATCCTACGAAAAAGAAGGCCGCCGAGGCGCAAATTAGACAGGCTCAGGATGCCTAGAAAGATTCAAGTCTGCTTCCACATATGCACAGATTCACGATCGCGGGCGAGGAAGCACAGCACTAAAATCAACATCTGGCCGATGTACCGATCAACCTACCATTAAGTGGAGGTGCGTTAGGCTTCGTGTGCCTGTCGAACGACGCAGATTTACAGGACCTCGAAATCCGAGAGCTCACACCTGTTTGAATCGAAGGTGAATGGTTATATGAAATGCATCCACCCCGTATCGGCCATGACTTGGTTGTCCCATCGAGTGGCATCGCGGCGCTGCATGCGGTATGCTGCTGCAGCTCCTCCAGATATCGCCCTGCTCCGGCAGCCAACAAGACCGTTTTCGCCAATGCGAAGATTCGTAAGCATCCATTGCTACAGTCGTTGTCGCCAAGTCTCTGCCCACGGACGTGTCGAGATTGCGACGCTTTTCAGGACGGCTCCAGCGTACTCAAGGATTCGCTACAAGGTGCTATGGAATTGGAAGTAATGAGGCCTGTGCGAAATGAAACCTTTTTTGTGGCTGCATGGCGAACATGGTCTGGGACTGCATACGTGGCATAGAACATCAAGGGAGTTGTAAAGTGGATCTGATGCTTTCAAAGTGCCTAGAGTACATCAATCGACGTCTTCACTGCTCACTCGCAGCACAGAACTGTACATTGCGATTCTCCTCGCACTATTTCTCATCCATTGATGTCGTCCGTCTGGATTTCCCTGCTCTGCGGCAGCCATCTTGAGTCCTCTCTGATTTCCTTCCAGGGCCACCTCTACAAGCCTCAACCGCGTCCAGCGAGCAAGTCCTCGGGTGTTTTGTGGTGTGTCACGCGCCTTGCGGTTCACATGGCCTACACCGTACTCGTACAACGTTCATCCATCGACCGATTAGCACCCTCCACCGCCTCCACCACCGCCACCGCAACCACCGCCGCCGCCACCGCCGCCACCACCTGCGAAACAAAGTTAGCTTCATGCCCTCAAGATACAAGAAGCATCAGCTAAAGACTTCTTGACTTACCGCCACAACCACCGCCTCCACCGCCTCCACCACCGCCATCACCACAACTACCGCCGACTGCACCACCACCGTAATACCCTCCACCGGCATACGTATACCCACCCCCACCAACCCCTCTCCGGCCTCGTCCATGCTTCCGACCCTTGTTCTTGCCCTTCCTCAGCGTGGCCTGCTCCTTCTCGCCGTAGAGGACGGCGGCGGGGAGCGGGTCCCGAGTGTGGATGCCAGGGTAGGAGGAGGAGGTGGTTGAGGTGGAGGTGGAGTATTTGGGCGCTGTGGTGAACTGCGTGTCGGTGTTATGACCGCGGACGGAGCGGGAGAAGCAGTTGCCCATTTTGGGCGGTGGGATGAGGTTGATCTGCCTTTGTTGAGGGAGTTTGTGGGAAGGGTGTTTGTCGTTGATGGGATCTTGATGTCGAGAGTGCTGTTTGTTGGCTGATCCGCAGTGTATGTCGGTGTTGGAGTGAAAGGCTTGTTTTGGAAGGATGAGGATGAGGATAGAGATTTGGTTATGGTGATATATACCGCCGAGAATGTGTATGGATGTGGGATGAAAGGACACTGCCTGATCCACTTATGCCTCGAAGTGTAGCGCGTGGCTGTTGAGAGGACCTGGAGCTAAAAGTAGGGAATATCCTTCTAGCACTGCCAAGGTTGAAAGAACAGTCAGGTACTCGGTAAACAAGCGACGTATCTCATTGCTTGATCCGCTTGGCTAGGCGTACTTTAGCACGTCAGACTACACTGTAGTCCGGATCGGGAGCAGTATGAGCGATGGGGTGGTGGGGTGGTGCATCCTACGCAGCACAGCAACAATCTGCATCACGAGTTCGCTGGCAGGGCAGTCAGATGATGCACTTTGCACAGCCCCAAGCTCGTTTGGTACGCTTCTGCCATCCGCATCAAGTTGGGAATTTGGGGGCTGAGAAAAGGAGCTGGCGATCGAGTTTGTTTGGTGCTTCGCCAATTAAGGCGGAGCCCGGAGTCTGCCTGATCGGCGGGGCGGCGAAGAACTTCTAGCGGCCTTCTAGGGTACCTGGAGTCGATGCTTGGTTTCCTAAAATTAGGCGTCGGAAGGCGGATCACGAGGTGTGATGTCATTGAGATGTGGTGAAGCTGGTACAACCACAGTACCTGGGTTGCAAGATCGGCCGTGCACATGATCCTTTGCAACAGGTCCTTTGACTCCTCAAGCGTGCTAGTTGTCAGGCGCGATGATCAATATCTGCGTCGCTATGCTGACGGTCTGGAGCTGGTACAAAGCCCGTTTCTGTAACGAAGTAGACCACAGTCGACCACCCCTATCATAAGCCACTAATTCTCAGCGATACCGAGATTGGGAAAGGATCCTAGTAAACCTCCAACAGGGTCATCTTCGCGCTTGCGATTCTCAGAACGCAAGAACAATGATTCCATCAGATCCTTCCACTCCTGCAGTTCTCGAAGCGTTGCCGGGACCACCGTCCGGTCGCGATACATGTAGGGAAAGGGAAAGTCGTCCATACCTATTAGCCTGTCTGCTAACATCCGGATGCTGTTCTGTTCGCGATGCCTCATCGCTAGACCCCATACTGACATCGGAAGAAACCATTTCCCACCAAAGTTGCTAGCTAGTGTCAGTGCCTGCCTAATATTACTGTCGGAGACGACCTCGGGCCTCGAATACCACTGTGCTCGGAAGGCACGCATGGCGTAAACGAGGTTGTTCCGATGTTGAGGTTCCTTGAGATCAGGCGCGATTCTGTACATACTGGCCTCAATGCTTGAGAAGGAAACATGACATGCCTGCTCGGGTGCGCTGGTGTACAGCTCATGCTCAGCCAGGTATTCCCCTTCGTGATATGTATGCAGCAGATTCCTGTGGTCGTACTCATCCAAGTTGTATTTGCGAAGCAGGTCAACGGTCCACTGGAATGTGTCATCTGGATAGCATTTGGTATCCAGTATAGTGATGAAACAGTTATCTTTTGTGGTATTATAGCATTTTTCGATTTTCCTGATACAATGCTGGACGGTAAAAAGGAACGAAGACGAGAAAGATATCAATATGTCGTCCTGTCGGACTTTCCAGCTGGCCCAAAGGACATGGTCTTTGAGCATGCGTCGCGCGTCCTGCCGCTCTAAATCTTTCAGGCTTGCGATAGTGTTGCACTCCTCGGAGATGGCTTGACAACTGAACCCCATGCTGTTGTTTATGCCATCGGACCCTGGGGAATAGGCTCGGAACAGATACCGAGGGATCATGGTGATAGTGTCGATGAGCTTATGTGGAATATCTGTCTTGTCTGGTACAAATCTAAGACAGTGCAGCTCAACATTCTGAGGGAATGTTAGAGAACCAGGCTGCCGTGCCCTTACGCGTTTCCTCACCAGGAGATGCATGTCAAGCCCTTAACGCAGCAACCTGCATAGCGCAGCGCGAATTAGAATAAGCCACGTTGTGCCAGCATTGAGCGCAATACTTCATGCTGAGAACGTAAGCTAGACGTGCATAGCTTGAAAAAAGCCGTAGCAGCTCATTCCAGTATGACTTGCATGCGCGCGGTTGGGCGAGACTGTGCTTCAATCCAATAAGACGACCCGGATAGTGTGATCAACAATAAATCAGACATCGTACAGTCCGAGGACCATGACAGTGGCGCGTCATCAACATCGAGCAAGCGTGGCGCTACTCAATTGGTAGCAACGCGGTTTCGTGCAGTGGAGGGTGCGTCTTCGATTGTTGGTAGAAAGTACCTCCTCAGTATGCTGGCCAGTGAATGGGCAGAGTCGCCCACCCACTGCCTATGATGCATGGGCCAGAGATAAGCGTAAGTCTCACTCAACCCGTGACCCATGCTTGCACAGGAACCGAACAGAGAACCCCCCGACTCCTGTGTTGCCATCATCTCTCGTCCACAGCGCCCCAGCTCCTCAGACTCCGATCCGCCAGATTCCCCCCACTGATATCGAGTACAGCCGCATCTGTGCGAGAATGACGAAGAAAAAGGCACCCAATCCAGCAAAGGAAACGAGGACGTGCCTCACGTTTCCATGGCACCACAAGAACGTTCTGAAGGCGGTCTCCCCAAAGATGACCTGTACATGGATTCGAAAGAGAGTCAGCGACACAAGCGCCGACCGAGAATACACCACCCACGTCATGGGCGACTTCAAGTGCATGAACACCACCTGCAGTACACCCGGTTGGGGCAGCAAGAAGGTGGCTATACAGATCAGGGGATATGCGGGGAACGGGTACAATGCTGTAGTATTCAACCAGCGTTGCAAGGACTGCGACGAGTTGGGCACGCTACATCTGGACAAGAAGTCCTATGTTGAGCGAATCGCATACAGAATCCAGAAGTGGGCGGGTGTCCAAGCGGAGCAGCCATTTTACGCCTCCAAGAATGGTTTGCCGCACAAAAGCGAGCTCTGCGAAGGTTGCAAGAGAGGTGTTTGTCGGCAGACGAACGACTGGGGTTGAGACTAGATTGACACGTGCTAGGCGGGTATTCATGACTTGTGACAACATCCTTAGAAGTCGTCCATCTCGTCATCGTCCTTGTTGGCCTTCTTGCGCCGAGCCTCTTCCTTGCGTCCTTGCTCGACCACCTTTCGTCTCTCGTCCCCTAGCTTGCGCTGCGCAACCACATATGCGCCAAGAGGGGTATCTTCCCACGAGGTGTCCTTCAAGAAGGCCTCGACCTCTGCTGTGTCCTTGGGTGCAAAGTTGATTTTGTTGCGTCGCTCTTCGATCCACCTGGCATTGGACTCCGACTTCTGCACCACCAGCAAAAGCGCCTGATTGATCTTAGGGTTCTTGTTTCCGTCCGGCTTGGAAGCGCTCTTCAGCCAGCGCTTCAGCATGACTGTGACTGGTAATTGCAGCTCAGGATAGGCAATACTCTTGCACCACAAGACGAAGAACTCGGACAAGAGTTCCACAACTTGCTCGCCAACCCCGTCCTGGTATACACGCGTCTTGAGGTATGAACTGGACGCTCTGATGTTTGAAGCGAAGTCAAGCGGCTTGACTGTTGCTGCCTTGGCTGGCTTCTTCATCTCGGGCGAATTCAGCACTTCCAACAGGGCAGCAGCTAGAGGGATGTAAGTGCCAGTCGACTGTGATATCCGCAGCAGGGCACGCATCAGCTGAAACCGAAGCGGGAAGTAGGTTGATGTCGGAATCAGACGCATAACGCCAACAGTGACTTGGACAACAGGGTAGATCAGTGGTCGTAATTGAGACTCTTTACCGTTCTGCGCTTCGAGGAGTGAATTGCAGTGCATCGAGAGTACACGAGACCAGAAGTCGAGCGAGTGCACAAATTGCCAGTTGTACACCATCTTGTATGAGTCTTTGGTAGGCTTTGCGACGTGGCCTCTGAGGTGGATTGCTAGTTGGCGAATAAATTTGAATGCTGTTGTATAGCTGACCTTCTGATCAATTCCGTACAACTCAGCAGCGGAATTCTTCATCAAGTTCACGCCGGGAAGGGTGAGTTCGGTGACGTTCCTTGCGCCCTTGACAACGCCCTCGTACGTACTCTTGAGGACTGACTCTCGGATTCCAGCATCTCCGATGACCATGAGTCTGCGAAGGATGATGAATGCCGAGATCCTGGTGGCTTCATCCGAGCCATTGTCTGACCACACCTCGGCGATTGTCTTGACCACAACTTTCAGGAACTTGCGAAACTGCAGCAAGTATGGTAACAGAGGCTCAAATGCTGCCAGAGCTCTTCGCAGAGTTGCCGAGTCAGATAGCTGGCCCACAAGTGTGTGTAAGGACGAAACGTGGGACTTGATCACAGGTGACAATGTCTTGAACTTGGGCGCGTCGGCAGGCACTCGGACTTTTCCTGCGGCAGATTCCTTGACCGGCAGATGATGCGCCAGGACTTTGGGGACAGATTCGAGCGCGGTGACCAGGATCTCATGGTACACATCCGAGTCTGGTACCTTGAATCGAGCGTCTTTGCCCTTCTCCTCGTCCTCGTCTGCGCTGACCGCCGCTCTGAAAGCCAATACGATCTGTCGCAGAGATCGGACCGAGTATTGCTCGGACATGGCATTTTTCCATTTCTCCACATCTGCTCTGGTCACCTGAGCAGTCATTGGCCCTTGCGTCTTCTGCTTCTTAGACGGTCGGTCCTCGTCCTCTTCACTCAGTTCGTCAACCTCAGCCATATCGGCGGTGTCATCAAAGTCAAGGAGCTCGGCGTCGTTCTCCTTGAGATATTTGTAGAATTCCGGATCCTTGTCGGCCAGCGCATCGAGTTGACCTTTGAAGTCTGCTTCGTCGCCGTCTGCGTCTTCGCTCCCAGACAATTGTCCGTCATCTGTGGGAGCTGATTGGTCTCTCTTCCGCTTCTTGTTCTTGGAATCTGTCACAGGCTCGGGGATCGGGAAAGTGTCTTGGAAGAAATCGTCGTCGTTCATATCTTCGTGGCCAGAATCATCGTCACCGACTCCATTGGGCACGCCGGGCTGATCTTGCTCTTTCTCTGCTCGTCTTGCGGCATCTTTCTGTCTCTTCTCTTTCTGCTTGTGTCGCTGCTTGATCTTTGCAAAGTCCTTTCTCCGCTCAAGTGTGTCCTTAAGCTTGCTTTTCTCGAATTTCTTGGTCGCTTTAGCCTGCTTCGCCATGTTTGCGGGTGATGCAGGCGATACTCAGGTTACAAAGAGAAGTGATCGCAAGTCAGTCGGAGATCCAAAAAATGTGAACTTTTGCGCCGGAGCTCCGGAGTTTAGCCGGTGGGCTCCAATTCTACTGCCTGCAGGTGCTTACAGTAGCAACATGAACGTTGGTTTCATCCTCTCGGTACGAATGTGACAGCTCTGAGCCGTTCTGCCGCAATCATGTACGACACAAGACAGTCGTCAAGACCGCTATCCTATGCACCAACGCCTTATGGATATACACCCAACATCTCCCTCTCTGCAAGGATCAACCTGGACGAAGAGGTCAAGCTTGCAGACTCGGCCGCAGAAAGAGATGTAGTCGATTCTCTCGCCGAAATCTACAGCATCATTCGGACTTTGGATGGATTGGAAAAAGCATACATCAGAGATGCGCTACCAGAAAATGAGTACTCAGAGATCTGCTCCAAACTGCTCAAGCAGTACAAGTCCATACTCAATGATGAAACGGTCTCACACGAGTTCGTGGACCTCGACACCTTTTGTCGGACATGGGATGTACGTACGGTAAGTCTCGTTGATTGCGCCAGACTAATGCCTACAGATCGAGTGCCCGCGGGCCAAGGAACGGCTGCGAGTAGGCTTGACTGCAGATGAGGTTCTGGTGACTCGGCCTGCAGCATCAGGGCCAACGCCTGCCCCTGCTGCATCCGGCAGCCTCATCCTGACTGCGACAGAGAACTTCATCACCTTCCTTGATGCGTTACGTTTGAGCATGGTGTCCAAATCTGCTCTTCATCCTCTTCTGTCCGATGTCATTCAGTCCGTGAACAAGGTCACCGACCAAGATTTCGAGCACCGTGGCAAGATCATACAATGGCTCATTACATTAAACCAGATGAAGACGAGCGAAGAGCTAAGTGAAGAACAAGCTCGAGATCTTGCCTTTGATATGGAGCAGGCCTACAATGGCTTTAAATCTACCATCCACTGATTCAGTAACGGGAGGCAGCATCGAGCGACTTGACCAGTCTACCATGTGCCGGTTGACTTCTGGGATTCTTCTCCCTGAGACGCTCTATCATCCTGCGGCTTCCAAATACTCCATTCGCATATGACCTCAGCCGGCTTGCCGTCTTCGTCCAGCCAGTCATCGAAGCCTTGCTCTGTGTCCTCGATCAGCAGCACTAGACCAATGCCGCCGAGGAGCGATCTCAATTGAGCCCTTTCCTGGACATAGTGCTGGCGAAGGGGCAGTTCTATGATAACGCGAGAGCTCGGAGCGAAGTCAAGCCAGCGGCTGATGGCCCGGACAAGCATTTCGGGGTGGTCCGGAGAATATATCGGGTCTGCTGCCACAATAGATGGGAATTTGTCGCTTGACCTGCACGGTGCATCGTCATCATCCGACCAGTCTAGAGCTCGCGCGCTAGCAGAACCGCCCCAGCCCGACAACACATCATCGTTCAACTCCAAGTTACGCTCGAGGTTTGGCACAATTTCAGGCAGATCGGTAAGCACAACGTCGGCCTGCCATAGACAAGCAACACTGATACCTACAAGGCCAGTTCCAGCCCCGAGCTCGAGAAGCCGTGGCCGGCCGCCCGATACGAATTTTCTCAGGGCAGGCAACTGTCTTGACAGGAGAAGTGAGGATGCCCACGTCTTCAGCCCGAGGTTGTCTCCTGTGAGCGACGGTTCGTGAAGATCAATGGTGAGGGCGTCTGTAACCTCAAATTTGCGCGTCATGGCTGGCCTTGCAGTCCGCCCAGATCGCTCACTCAGACGCATGCTCGCGCAGTCCCAGATCCTCTCGCGCCCAGCATCATCCTGGATCCATGCGAGAGAAGACGCAACGATGGATGTCAGGTAAGCAGGTACACCTGTTTCGTCGACCGGCGAGCGCCCTTCCCCATGAATCTCTCTTGTAAGCTCGAAAGATGGGGGTGCAATAGTCAGCACATCCAAAGCATGGAGGAGGTCTTCAGCCGAGGGCTTCTGCCACAGCTGTGGTAGATCATGTACATGCAACTTTGAAGCATTTTCGCCGAACCAACCATGGTTAGTCGTTTCCATCGCTGGTGTGGCTGGTTTTCAGCACTACAACCATGACCCTGTCGTCGCAGCTCAGTGGATGATTCCGATTCACAAAGCCTGTCAAGAGACTCGGGCTAGTCGTGCATGCGGGCGAACTCAATGCGCGATCGTGGTCATTATCGGCATGATGGAAAGAATTTGCAGGATATTTTCGGACCAGGTCAATGGCTGCCAAGAATTCCGGAGCCGCCGTGAGGTGTGTGCTCTTCAGTCTCGCAAGTTGCTATTCACTACAACATGTCACACCGGGACAGCTTCGAAGGTCCCAGAACATCTTTCCAGGGGCTTACCTGCATCGGCGACAGATGTCGCCGACTTGATCAGCGTGCATGTTCATCAGCCATGGACGGACCAGGTTGGCAGCGACACGAGCATCATGGTCCATCAGCAGCAAATTTGCAGGAGTCAGCACTTGGTCAGCACTTGCCTCGATGGCTACGATATCCCGCCCGTAATCAAGATTCGAGCCGATGATTTCTAGTCCTGGCTTGCCGCATTCCTCTGGTGCAGTCATTCTCCTCCCATTTGAGGGCCCATGCACGTGACTTAGCGCCCCAAATCTCCGCATTTTGTTGGAAACGGGCGGTGGGTAGGATTTACTCAGGACTGATTGACAGGAGCTAGGCCGACCAAGAGATCCAGATCGGAACTGCACGACCCAACTACCGATCGAACCACACAGTACATCATCTGTTGTACCGGCGGCGCACAGAACGTCACCATGACAAGATGATACCAGTACTCGTTATCCTAACAATCATACAACAGTTCGCTCCAGTTCAAGGTGGTCTCGATGCCAGAATCAGTTCGCTACAGGCGGCTCGCCTGGTGTCGCAGACTTTTGTGCTCTACAAATAGCCAAAAAGGTCGGGTCAGCCATCCGAACTCTTTCACCAGCGTAGGCAATTTCCGGAGTGTAAGCGTTGGAGAGCTGAAGCGAGGCCCCTGTCTCAATCGTGAGAGCGTGGTAGCACCGAATAAGAGCCTTCCCTTTCTTGACGAGCCACTACTTGGACCGTTGAACGAATCAGCGGTGAGACCCAGCTTCTACACGTATCATTTTCCCGTAAGCTTGCGAGCAGCGAATTTCGGCTGGTGCGGCTGCATGAACTGCGTATGCAAAACCAGCCATCTGCAAGGAGTGATGTAAGATTGCCCCCAGAGAGTTAACGACTGTCAGTAGTCATGCTCCCTATCCCCTACGAAACTCCTCACTCCAGTTGGGGTCCCGCGTGATTGACAGGAGGAGTCAGAAACCCGGAAACCAGAAAATACGAGGCGCAAATCTCTGTACGACGAAATTTGTGGGAGTCGAAGCGCTAATCTGGAACTGCGCCAAACTCAGAACGTGCAAGTGCAGAGCATAAAAGTCGGCGAATGATGCACGTTTGACAGGAACAGGCTTAGTCGCCGGCGCTAGCGTGCTATAGCCGAGGCTTTAACTTCATCCCTGAACTGTAACCTCAACACGCCCCCTACGAGTCTGCGACAAGTCGTTTGCATTTGCTCACGGAAACCGCTCCAGATCGCGTCTGAAAAAGCATCGATGGAGTGCAGGAGAAGAGCTCTGGTATGATTGAGCAGTGACTGCAGACCTCCGGGCACCTCGGGTTGCCGTTACCATTGACCAAGCACCCTTGACATAAGCAACATGTCTTTCAACAAGACTTACACTATTGCTTCCAAAGCTCCGCTCGGCTAGAAGGGTCTCGGCCGCCCAGAGTTACGGAGTAGTGAATACTGTTTGGCACACGGATAGTACTGGTCAGATTTAGGGGATGCGGACACCCCTGCTTTGAACAGAGCAAAAATGTGCCCGCGGGGCCACCTACTTTCTGAAGCTCAACCAGTTTTGCTCTTCCCAACACGGACCCACCGTCAGCCAGACCCCCTTTTGGTGATCGTCAGAGGCATCGAGAACGACTCGGAAGTCGGTCGTTACCAAATCCTTGAGATTGCTGTAACGCCAGAAAAAGATCAAGGCAACCGCCACGCAGCGCTTCGACTGGTTCCCTGAACGGCTGGCACCGTGCTAAACCGTTTAGAATCTTCTACCCCGTCCTAGCTGCCAAAATCCGCCATGTGGCTGAGAGGATCTTACTCCGGGGACTAGTGGGTAAGATGAGTGCACCAACGTTAGGAGTCCAGGCGTCTCCATCCTCCTCGCTTGTTGCCCTACGGCCATGGCCGCGACCCTCATAAAGTCATGGCTAGTCGCTTCCACCTTTCACTCCCTTCTCCTCCAACTGCACAGTTCGCACCTTTGATTGATCTTTCAATCGTCCACTCACTTTGTTGAGACAGCACAGCTTCTAACCTCAGTCTTTCGTTAAACACAACAAATAATACCCACCCTCTCCATAATGAAGTACCTCAGCCTCCTTCCTCTGGCCGGTCTCGCCGTTGCCGCCCCCGGCAGCTGGGTTGACGCTGACCCAGCCAAGAGCACCACAACGACCGCCAGCCCGGCTGCTTCAACCTCTACCTGGGCTGATGTCGAGATCCCGGTCACTGTCACCTCCACTGCCACTGGCACCTACTGCCCAGGAACTGGCAAGCTCACCAAGCCTGCTCCTGAGGGTGGCAAGTGCACCATTGACGTGACCACCGTCACTGTCTCCAAGGCCACCGCCACTGTCACCGTCACTGCTGGCGGCAACAACGGTGGCGCTGGCGGCAAGGTCACCGTCACCGAGACCACCACCAAGACCGTTGGTGGCAAGGACACCGTGACTGGTAGGCCATGAAGATGTTTCGCTCCCAGAGACCTACTAACAAGCTCTAGTCACCAAGACTGCTGACTGCACTTCCGGCCCCACGGGCACCCCTGGCCACAATGGCCCCGGCGGCAAGTGCCTGACTGATGACAAGGCCAAGTCGATCGTCGACAACTTCCGCAACCTGCTGGAGTACACCAACTACGACGGCAGCCGTGGTGGTCCCAAGGGCCGTGGCTACAACTTCAACGTCTCGGCCGCTACCCTCGCCACCGACTTCGTCGATATCTCCGACTCGATCAACTACATGGCCGGCATCCCTCTGGGCGCTGCTACCTTCCCCAACAAGACTGCCTTCGACTTCGGCCAGGGCAGCCAGCCTGAGGTCAAGACCGAGACCCTCAACATCTTCCACGACTGCGACACCATCACCTGGCGCTGGAAGATCACCCCTCTTACCCAGAACCCGTACCCTGTCGTCGGTCTCAACTACATGCAGATCAACAAGGATGGCCTCATCCAAAAGCAGTATGCCGAGTTCGACAACGCCGCCTGGATTGCTTCTTTCCCTGCTCCCGCCAGCTGCAACTCCCCCACCACCGGCAAGCCCCCCACAGTTCTGCCCGGCCCTAACGCCCTCAAGAACTAAGGCCTCGGCTTTGTACAATAACCCGCCCGTCTCACGCTTGGGCTCTGGCCTCCTGCGTCGGGCTTATACATTGCAAGCAGGCAGCATAGAGGGGCGGCTCGTGCCGCCTCCGGGTTTTGGGTGTTGACATGGGTATATAGGGACAAAAACTAATGCATTCTGGGAGGGGTTAGTATGGGTTCATTTCTGTACAGTCGATTTGGATGCTGCACATGACAGAGCTGGTCCAAACGCGGTCGGGGAGACCTAAATCCGACGGATAATGAATTCACATGGCTCTCGCATCTTTCAATTCTTCACTATATTATTCTCACCAACAGAGAGTAACTTGATTGGGGTGTATCATCCTTCTACATGGCCGATGCCCTTCTTTTACCGTCGCTGCTAATCTCTTCGTGTCCTATTGTCAGCTAGCTAGACGCCGTAGTCGCATAACAGGAGTCTACAGACTCGACGAGCGGGCTCCCCGGACTCTCACTCCCCACTGTGTGTCTGGGGATCCCGCCATGTCAGTCTTGTTGACCCTTGGGGCCACGTCAACTTGTCCTCGGCCGCAGCAGCAACTAAACTCCACTATCTCCGCTGGTGCCTCCGTCCATGACGACGAACTCGACTAGACCTCGACCTTCCTCTCCAGTATGATACTTGGGCTCCGCCAGCTGAGTCACTCCAGATACGATTCTCTACCATTGGCAGATGCTCATGAATCCACGAGCCTTACACAGAGCAAGTGCGATACTCAGATTCATTCATCCCATACTATCCCTCCAGCAGCGCACCATGACGACCTCAATTCCCAAGACTTTCGATATCAACACCAAATACAAGCTCAATTCCGGCCATGAGATCCCCGTGCTAGGCTATGGCGTCTACCAAACGTAAGTCCCCCTTCCCCACCCTCACCCCCTCCTATTCTCGCGTCGCAAACACACCACCCCTCGCCCACCGGCTGGACCACCCCCCCAAAGAAACACCTCTCTAACCCTGCTGCCCTCTTTGGCCTCTTCAAACAGCCCCGCCAGTGAAGCCGAATCCGTAACCCAGCATGCCTTCCGCACCGGCTACCGGCACGTCGACTCGGCGCGCGCCTATCGCAACGAATCCCCCGTGGCGGCCGCCATGCGCGCCTCCAACCTCCCCCGCTCCTCCATCTTCTTCACCAGCAAGATCCCGCCGCGCGACCAGACGTACGAGGCGGCACGCCAATCCATCGCCGCCACCTTCGCCGAGACCGGCTTGGAGTACGTGGATCTGTATCTGATCCACGCGCCGTACGGCGGCCGGGACGGGAGGCTGGGCGTGTGGAGGGCGCTGAGGGAGGCGCAGAAGGAGGGCAAGGTGCGGTCGATTGGCGTCAGTAACTATGGGGTGCATCATTTGACCGAGTTGGAGGAGTTCATCAGGGAGCAAGGGGATGAGGGCGCGAGGATCGATGTCGGGCAGTGGGAGGTGCATCCGTGGCTGCCGAGGGACGATATCGTCAAGTGGTGTCGCGAGCGGGGGGTGGTGGTGGAGGCGTATTCGCCGGTTGTGCGGGGCACGCGGAGCGAGGAGCCCGTGCTGCAGGAGATTGGGAAGAAGCACGGCAAGAGTTGGGCGCAGGTGTTGCTGAGGTGGAGTCTGCAGAAGGTGCGTGATGTCTTGCCCTGTTGATAAGTGGCGGACTGGACGGGGAAGTAAACTGAACTGACTGATTTGCCACAGGGATACGTGCCATTGCCGAAAAGCGTCACGCCCAAGCGCATCGAGGATAATGCTGACATCTACGACTTTGAACTCGATGAGAGCGACATGAACAACTTGGATATGCCTGACGCTTACGAGCCCTGCGCGTGGGACCCGACTACGAGCAAAGATTGAAATGGGCAGAGTTCATTTATGACAAAGCATTTCAAAACCCCCCTCCCATGCTGTTGATTCATGGCATTTGTGGTTGTGTGACATTCAGCATCTGGTGCCAAGATTACTGAGCAGGAGAAAGGTTGTGGTAGCTAACATATACGGGAAGCTTCCAAGTCACACCAGATATCTGACCTCGCTTCCCAAATCTCAGACTCGAGGTTTGCAAGAGGAGAGTCTAATCTTTCCAGCCCCACCGTCCAGCCAACCACTTGACGATATATACCAGAAACACCAGGACCGGCACCTCGATGAGCGGCCCTACCGTACTAGCAAGCGCCTCATCACTATCTGCACCAAACGTCGCCACGGCCACCGCAATAGCCAGCTCGAAATTGTTGCTGGCTGCGGTAAAGCTCTGCGTTGCCGCCAGTTGGTAGCCGAATCCCAAGCGCTTCGTGATGGCCAGCGTGGCGAAGAAGATGACGACGAAATAGCAGAAGAGCGGTGCCGCGACGCGCACGACCGACACGATCTGGTGCACGACCTGCCGGCCCTGGGACGCGAAGAGGACCAGGATCGTGTACAGGAGGCCGACCAGCGACCAAGGCGACAGCCAGCGGATGAAGGTCGTGTCGTACCAGGCGGCGTTGATGCGGCGCAGCGCCATGCGAGTCACGATGGCGGCGCCGAGGGGAATGCCGAGGAAGACGCCGACGCTGCGTGCGACAACGGCGTAGGAGACGGTGTTGTTGCGCGTGTCGCCGTGGCTGATGACGTTGACGAAAAGGAGTGCGAGGGGCGCGTACAGGACCATTTGGAGGAGGGAATTGACGGCGACGAGGATGGCGCAGTATTGCTCGTCGCCGCCGGCTAGGCCGGTCCAGATGAGGACCTGTGGAGACTGTTAATGACGGTTGTTTCTGTAGGAGATGCGGATGACCACGTACCATTGCGATGCAGCGGGCGAGACCGACGAATATCAGACCGTTCCGCAGGCCTGGTTCATCGGGGAGGAAGGCCCAGGCTAGGCCGAGCTACAGCATTGTTAGATGAGAGATAAAAAAGTTTGGCTTCTGTGACACGGCATGGAGGATTCTTCGGGAAAGGATACGAGGGTCTTGAGATTGACATACCATGAGTAGCGGGGCAACGATCCAATTGACGACGATGCTGAAGCCGAGCTGCACCCAGATCTGACGATGGGCGAAGATCTGGTGCAGGCTCTCGAACTTGACCTTGCAGAGAATGGGGTACATCATGACCAACAGTCCCACGGCTGATCAGATGTCAGTCCTCTGGCCCGTTGGATCTCGGGTTCAGTCAGCCAGCTTACCTATTGGAATTGATACATCAACAAACTTCCCCTTCTGCAGAGCAGGACCAATGCCGTCGACAAAGTTGCCCAGGAGTATGCCGATGATGATGGCTAGTAGGATCCAGACGACGAGCAAGCGGTCTAGCCAGCCCAGGCCGGCATATACTGAGGATTTTATCGTCGGGTTCTGTTCGTGGCCACCATCCTCGGGGTCGAGAAATGCGTGCCCCTGGTTGGCGGTAGCCTTGTCGTTGCAGGCATCGCTGGCAGTCTTTGTTGCTGCCATATGGTTGAGGCTCTAATGGAATAAACCTCTGTTATGCAAGCTGGATCGATGACAGCTCCCCACGAATATACCTGTAGTGTACACCCAGCAGGATGATGGGGGAGTAGTCAGTGATCTATCTGCAGAAGTGAATACTAGCTTCTCGACCAATCATATCGCAGCAGTGACAAAGCCAAGACCTTTCATTTTTCTTTTCTCTCTTCACCACGTGCTCGATCATCTTCCCTGCCCCCTGCCCTCCGTCATACAATGCATTGCGACTACCCGTGGCGCAGCTAGCCGCAAACTTGTGGACGATCACTAAGCAGTCACCGCCGATGGCGGCCGGAAATACTGAGCTCCCGTCAAAGCAGAGCCGCCCTGGAGAAACCCAAGACACACTGCCAACACCTCACCAATCCACAGCTAGGACAGAGCAGAACCACAAACAGCGAAACTTGGCCAACCAGCGGAACTTTCGCTCCAGACGCAAGGAGTACGTCCTCGAGCTCGAGCAGAAGGTGCGGGACTACGAGCGCGAGGGCGTCGTCGCGACGGAGAAAGTGCAGCATGCCGCGCGGTCGTTGCAGGCGGAGAATGCTGCGTTGCGGCAGCTGATCCAGCAGGGATTGGGCTGGGATGCTGGGGCTGTTGATCGCTATGTCGCACATGCGGTTATGGGTGGTCGTGTGGAACCACTGTTACAGCCGACGACCCAATTCCATGCCGGACCTCAATTACATATTGAGCCCAAATGTGAGGACTATGACTATGCGACATCTAGATGGCAGGGGAGCGACTATTACGGCAGTAGTGTACCTGCAACGAGTGAGTCGACTACGCCAGGGGATGCGATGTCGTGCGAAGATGCAGCTACGATTCTCGCCGAGTTCCGCGCGCAGGCGGTAGACCTGGAACTCATCAAGAGAGAGCTGGGCTGCGAACCTGTGAATGACTGCAGATGCAGCATATCCCATGGGGCGCTGTTCGCAAAGATGGCGGACTCTATGTGATCATGGGGCGGCCGCTCGGCTATGTGTGCAATCTACGGACGGAGCTGCTGAGGTACTGCACGCCGCTGACGTGAATTTTACTTGCGCCTACGTAAAGGCTACAAACTCCTCTCCCGCGACAAGTCGAAATGTGATCGAGCCTTCGCGAGCCTGGCGAGTTGGACCGCTCCGTATGAAGATAGGTATCGGTTCTAATGCGCACGAGCTCGAAGTGGGCGGTAAAAGGCGCCAGATCCCGTCAGACTGTCGCATATATCCAGTGTTTTCGGTCACCCAACTGGAACCGGCCGTCGACGACGACTTCGACGGACCACTCCCGCCCAGGAGCTGCGTCCGGGGACCAATGCGAGATCGAACGCATCAAGGCTAAAGGGATACGCACGGAACACCGGAGTACGAGCTTGTCTGGAAAGGTTACGGAGCATATGCTGCAGCTGATGTTGATGTGGCGCCCAGGAGGCCGCCCAATGATGTAAGACTAAGTGGCTTTGCCAGTTTGGAAGCTTTATGTAACTATATTCAACCATATTGACTGATCGCCGACGTAGGTATTTGAAGGCCTCTGGATGATATACAGTACATCCCCAGAACCGAACATCTCAAATAGCCCTATGGGAACACAGGGGTCCCACCAGACTTATATACCCAAAACGCAAGGTTGCTTGCGTATGATGACCAGGGGGAGTTTGTCGACAGCGGCGATGCCAGATACGGCCCATCCGTGGCGGTCATCTGTAAGTTTCTCGGCCCGTCACGGGGAGTACGTTGGCCACCTTGGTATGTTTGCCCAATTCGACGATGAGCCACTAGGGAGGGCGCCGTCAACTATAGCTACGGGGCTGAAATTCGACGTTGCACCATCCGGGAGGGCACCAGCAACCATCGCCGCAGTTGCCGCAGAAGTCGACTCAAACCACCAGTGAGGGCATTGTCAGTTATCAGGTCAGTGGCTAGAGCTCGACGGCGAACCACTTCCACTAAGATGCTTGCCTGCCATCGTTGGCGGCAACATGATCCCCTTCTTCATCCTCTACCATTTACGATGCCGGAACGGCAACGTCCAGAACGCCGTGACGCAGGGGTTTCACCACCTTCTTCGCCCTGCTCTGCTCAGCGTGCACGACGGCCAAGCGCCACGAGATCTTCGCGGCCACGGCGGCGTAAGTCGAGCAATTGATGGGATGGTATATTGTGACTGATATCGGAGCATAGGTATTGCGCTGTCCGCGTCGTTTTCATTGCTCAGCCGGACGATGGCGATTGCAGCTAGTAGATTGGTCGGGGAATGATGCGGTTTCTCGGGAAAATGCACATTATGACCAGGTTGCAAGGAGCGGAATTTGCCCCAGCTGAAGAGCCAAAAAAGGTACCATTGACCTACATAACGCCATCGCAATGCACCCTGCAGACATATCCTGTGCTTTTTGGTATACACGTAATCAATCGGCCTTGCCGTTGACAGCTCCGGTGCCCAAAATACCTTCCTTGCCATCTAACCTGATAAAGCCCCTCTCTCGGCCACCAAAGTTCTTGATTCTGCTGCCATTCCTCATGATGCTGAAGAGGCCGACGATCGCGCCGATCAGCACGATGACGCTCAGATAGGGGTGGTAGGTGCCGAAATTTCTGATTTGGAAAATAACATTCTCGAACGCGCCGATGGTCGACTTCGACGTCAGCCGTGGTGGGTTGCTCACGACACGAGGTAGGGTTTCCAGGATAGATGTTCGTGAAGGTACGATGAAGTTGCCGGTGTCTGTCTGATCCCAGTAGCGGCGGTTCTGTAGATGTCAGCTTCCGTCGGTTAGTGGGTAGGGGTACTCACGTCTTCGTCGTTGATAATGACCCTCTCACCCTTGGATACGTCAATGCCATAGGTGCTTCTCAGCCACCGCTCCCAGAACACGCCATCAACCCATGCGAAGTTCACTCCCTTCCGGAAGTCATCCTCGGTGATGCTAATGACCATGCTCTTAGCTTGACGCAGGGCTCGCTGGTCATCCCGATCTTCCGCCTCCTCAATTCGAAGCTGCTTCGAATCCCGCAATTCCTGGCGTTCCAGTTGGAAAAGCTGGGTCTGCTTGTCCATCCATTCCAAAGCCGCGTTCTTGAGCTCTCGTCGGGACTGCAGGAACTCATCTGGTCGAGACCGATCAAGGACGCCAAGAACAGCATATCGTCCGTTGAGGATTTCCTTAGCATTGGTAGCCGTTAGCTCAGGAACAAGCGGTTGCCACACAGATTGCATCCATTGTAGCACTTTGCGGAAGTCTCGCATGTCCTGTGGAGACAAAGCTGTGTAATAGCTGGGCCGACCATCTCTAGAAACAACCAGACGAGGCCATGTCGAGATCTTGAAGCGGTTGGCCAAGATCGGATCGTCCGTCTTCACGATCTTGCCATGACCAATCAGGCTGAGAGTCAGCCTGTCGAGCGCGGCGAAGTCCTCACTGGTAGTCGCATGGTCGAAGAAATAGGTGAAGATGACCTCCTCTGTTTCCTCCATCTCCTTGAAAGCTGCTGCGTTGACGTACTTGACGTCGCTGTCGAGAGCCTTGCCCGTAAAGGAAATCAGATCGCCCAGACCACGGAGGCCATTGTATTCGACACGCTCACCACCTCGGAAGAAGTAAATGGTCGGATAAGCACTAACACGGGCATCCTTGCACAGGCGCGGCGTAGCCTCACAATTCACCTCGCCAATGTTGAGCTTACCCTCCATTTCCTTGGCAAGCTGCATCCAGGTTGGAGCCAAATGTTGGCAATGAGGGCACCAAGGAACGAAGAACTTGATGAACCATGGGTCCTGTGAGGTTGTGACCAGTTTCTGGAAGGACTCCGCATCCAACGGTATGGATTGGCCGTTGAGGTTGGGTGTGACGACCTTCTTGGGAGGAGCCTTTCTGCCATTTTTGGCCGTTTCGGAAGAGGAAAGCGCGGTGGTAGATTGGGTTGCCTCCAGCAACTGAGCCTTCTCGTTGTGCTTCTCGCCGGCCGCTGCACCAGCCGCCGGATCCTTGTCCTTAGCCACAGGCGTTTCGGGGGCGGCGGCGCCCTCATCGGAGCTCTTTGCGCCAGGTTGAGGAACGCGGACGCCTCCTCTAGGCCGCGATCCTGGTTTGATTTGTTCTAGCTTCTCTTCAAGATAGTCGCTGAAGCCTTGCATGTTCTTGGTGCCCTCGAACTTTTCGACGAACTCTCCATTCTTGTAGAGATTGAAAGTCGGATACGCCTTGATTCCGAGCTTCTGGCAAAGATCGCCCTGGACGACGCAGTCGACCGCCGCGAAGTGGAAATTGTAATAGCCATGGAAGGAATTTGGTGAATCGAGATCGGGTTGTTCGGCTTTGGTCATGCCCTCGAGAGGATCTGATGTGTAGTAGAACTCGTATATCGTCTGCCAAAGGGGAGCTACTGCTTTGCAATGCCCGCAGTAGGGCGAGAAGTTCTTGATCCACCTGCGTATGTCAGTTTGTATACCCAGATCAGTCGAAGATCACTTACCAGTTACCATCTTTGATGGTGGACTCGAAATTATCCATAGTCAACAACTTAAAGGGCGGGACCTTGATGCCGTTGAAGATGGTATAATCAACGCCTTCTCCTCCTTCTGCTGACGACTCTCCCTGAACAGCGTCTGCTGCGATGACTGCATCTTTCCGATTGCCTGGCGGGGCAGCCTCTGAGAGGGCCGGGGCGGCAAGGGTCAACGCCCATGCCAGCCACGCTGGCCGCATGGTGGACTTGCAGAACGTATGTCGATCTTATCTTCGAGATATGTTCAGTCGCAGAGATGGGCTTCGAGATGCTGGGGGTGATGTCGCAGAACCTCCTCGTCGATATGGGCGCGTGGTTGTACAAAGCTGATTAGGATGTAAAAGAGGAAGCGAGCGACGAGGAAGAGAGAATTAGTGTACAGCAAAGCGGCGACAGGCACACGGTTTCAGATGGAGTGTCTGGGGTTGAGAGAGGCCAGGAGGTTCCGTTCGAGGGTGGCTGCGCTTAGCCATATCGAGACCGGTGTGTCTATTAGAGTATTTTGGTGCTAAAGTCGGCGGCCGCTTGCCAAGGCTCTCTATGGCCGTCCTTGCATCAGCGATTCAAGCTCCGTCTGCGGTGCACTTCCACAGCTTGCGCCTCCCATTACACTCCTCGCCAGAAGCCGCACAACGCACGAAGCGAGCTCTGCGCCACCATGAGAAGCTCCGCGAGGCTCTTCGCTAGTGTTGCGAAGTATCTCGAGCCCAACACACCAACCGGTCTCACGGGCATTAGCACCCATCCCTCTCCTCGAGCAGCCCTCGTATACACCTACAGAACGACTCTCGACAGGCTAAACCAGCTGCCTCCTACATCAGTCTATCGCCAATCCGTCGAGAACCTCACAAAGCACCGTCTGGCTATCGTAGAGGAACAGATCCCCGAAGGCTTCGAAGCATGGAAGGAGAGGGTTGCGAAGCAGGTTGCGGCATCACCAGAGGCATACAGCAAGTTCCAGAACCCCGACGGCTCTTTCTCATACTCGGCGCTCGCAGAGTCAAAACCTATTCCATGGGACGGCACTGTATCTAAAAAGACTGCCCACAATACGGTTTCCGCTGGGCTTGCAGATGCTGAGGCCAAAGCGAAATCTGCTCAGGCTGAAATTGACCAGTCTGACAAGGAGGATAGAGAGGGAGTGTTGCCGACCGTCGACGATCTGGAGACGGAACCTCCTTTGACAGCAGAACAGTGGGTTGAATGTCATGGGTGTTGCCCGAGCTAACAGAAGACAGAATTGAGTCCATCGAGAACAAGATTGGCGCTGGTCTGATCGAGGAGGTCATTGTTGTCGCCCAGAACGAGCTCGAGCTTGCGGGCGAGATGCTACAAGCCAGACCGTAAGTCTCTCAACATGATCGCTTGACATTCGTCTGACGCGCAGCAGATGGGACCCACTTGAGGAGCCGGCACCACCTGGGCAGTGGAAGTATTTCGAGCGCGGCGACGTCGTCTAGCCAATCAAGCCCCTGACAACAGAGCTCTGTACATATGTCACCATACGAATACAATGATGAGAAGCGTCTGGCCTATGTGCTGGACCAGCATAGCTTCTATTGCATCTCCTCAAAGCACTTATTGACCCCGGTGCAGGCCTGGCGTACTAATTATACAGATAAAGCATTCTCTCCCGGCCGACAGAAAATAATGTCAGCCAGTCGTATAGCCCAACTCTGCAGCGCCACCCTCCGATCCTGACCTAGGTGCAATCCCGCCACAACCCCCGGCGACGCTGCGCAGATCGAGCCGCATTACCTCCAACGAGCTCGGCAATGATTTAAAGAGGAGCTCGAAGCCGCAATCGTTGGCCACCTTTGGGCAGGTCTGTAGTCACCTTCCTCATCAGATTTCACGGGCGACTCCAGGCTCAGTATGGTGACTGACGCCGTGGCGAGCTCCCATACAAGGTGAGCTCATTCACCGAGGCCATATATCCCCCCCACCCCCCAGAACATGATAAAAAGTGTACTGATTGCTAGAATATTGTGCTCCTTTTACTTACCGCGACGACACAAAACATTCCGAAAGCCCCCATCTACTAATTCTGGTGCTACTACTACTTACTTACCCGCTCAATCCATCGCGACCAGCACCTGCTTCAGCTCCGTCCACTGATCAAAGACATGCTTACTATTCTCCCTCCCATCACCGCTCTGCTTGTAGCCTCCGAACGGCATATCCACCACGATCATGGGACTCGTGACATTGACGCCCACGGTCCCCGCATCGATCGCCCTCGCGAGACGCATCGCGCGCCCCACGTCCCGCGTATACACGCTGCCGTACAGACCATACTCGGTGTCGTTGGCGCGCTTCAACACCTCGTCCTCATCCGTAAAGGTATTGATGCAGACGACCGGCCCAAAGATCTCCTCCCGCATGACCCGCGCCTGCTCGGGCGCGTTGCGAATGATCGTCGGCTCGACAAAGTATCCTTCTCGGTTCTCGCGCTTCCCGCCCACCACGACGTCGAGCCCCTGCTCCCGCGCCTCGTCGAGGAACGCCATGACGCGCTCAAACTGGATCCGATCCGCCTGCGGGCCCCGCCCCGTCCCCTCGCCCAACGGATCGCCCGACTTCCCCATCGCGGCAATCGCGCCCTTCATACCCTCGACAAATGCATCCGCGATCTTCTCATGCACGTAGATCCGACTGCTCTGGATACAGGCCTGGCCGGCATTAGCCAGCACGCTGTACGCGGCGGCCGGCACGGCTTTGTCGAGATTCGCATCGTCGAAGATGATGAGCGGGCTCTTGCCGCCGAGCTCCAACGTGACTTTCTTGAGGTTGCTCTGCGCGGCGGCGACCTTGATGGCGCGCCCCGTCGCCGTGCTGCCCGTGAAGCTGATCTTGCGGATCTGCATGTGTTTGGCGATGGCTTCGCCAGTCGGGCGTCCGAGGCCGCTGACGATGTTGAGCACGCCTTTCGGGAAATCGATTTCCTGCAGACAGCGCGCGGCGACGAGACAGCTGAGCGGGGATTTCTCACTGCTCTTGAGCACCATGGTGTTCCCCGCGAGGAGGGCGGGCGTGATTTTCAAGAGCAGCATGAGGAAGGGCGCGTTCCAGGGGATGATGGCGCCGGTGACGCCGAAGGGCTGGCGCAGTGACATGGCGAGCATGCCCGGGGTGTTGAGCGAGGTCTCACCTTGGACGTCGTAACCTTTGCCGATCAGGTAGCGCATGATACTGATGCCTATGGGGGAAACCTCATTGTGCAGTGGCTTGCCCATGGACAGGGCCTCGAGGTGCACGATTTCGGGGAGGGCGGCTTCGAAGGCGCGGCTGAGCTTGGTGAGCCAGTCTTGTCGCTCTGAGGCGGCGAGGGCGGACCATGAGGGGAACGCGGCGGCCGCGGCCGAAACGGCTGTGTCGACGTCCTCGGCGGTGGCGGCGTGGACGGTCGCGACGGGTTTGAGGTTGAAGGGGTTGATGACTTCGAAGGTGTCGGGTTTGGAGGAGGGCACGAACTGGCCGTTGATGAAGTGGCGGGTCTCGATGGACGACGTGTAATCTTTGGTCGAATCCATGGTGGCGGTGTTGCTGAGTCGACGAGATGTTGTAGGAGGCTGCTATGACTCCTCAGGATGTGGGACGGTCGTGTGTGCTAGACCTTATGGGCAGTCCTTCTATATAACGTTGACGGGAGCATGACTCGCCACAATACACGCATGTTGACAGGAACCACGTTTCGCCTTGATGGACCACGCTCTCATGTGCAGAAAACGTCGCATCGCCTTCCCAGCCGCACCAACATGCAGTCTCGGAAAGTCCGCAAGCACAAATGACCTTCGGTACCGTAGCCCAGAAAGACACTCGTGGGGTCACTTTTGATGCAGATCCAGTGCTTACGTGCCTCGTTCGTGCATGTCGTATAAGATGACCGGCGATTTCACTGTGCTGCATTACCTGGGGCGCCGAGAGAGGCTGTATAGGCGGGATCGCCCACGCCTTGGACTCCGTATGCAGCATGACTTTACCTCCGCAGCCGATCAGGCAACCCGCCCTAGTTCGGTACTTGGCTTGGAGCACGGGGAAGGGTGTGTATACACTGATGATCCTCAAGTCATATCAATCCGCTTGTTGAGCTTCATGACTGGTCTCGGCCTTGGCCGGTCAGCCAGCAGAAGCCCGTCGGTCGATGCATTGAACGGCACTGCATCCTGAACCAGCAACTCCTCCAGCTCAAGGTCGAAGCAGTTGGACTTGATCTGCTCGTTGCAAATATCCCAGACCGACCGATCTTCTACATTGCAGAACTTGCCCTCGTGGACGTTCGCGTAGTGCGGACCCCGCAGACCGGACATCTTGCAGATTTCTGTTGCGCTGAATTTCGGGTTGATCTCGAGGGAGTGCACCCACTGGCCTTCGAAGCTATTTCTCCTTGCCCGCTTCCGACGTTGAGGGGTGCTGCATGTCCTGATGCGGCCAGGTCCGCCTCTGGTTTGCGGCCAGTCGCCAACTTCGCTGTCAAGGACGACCGTGGGGTCCAGATGGTTGGCTTCATCCTCGTTTCCAGCCTGGTTGCCGTAGTTCAGCGGAGGGTCGAAGATGGGTATGGATCTTTCCAGACATCGACGTGCCTGCATTCGGGCTGAGCTCTTGCAGATGAGGTCCTTGTTGTCGTTATACGCCTGCTTGGTCGCGTTCTGACCATTGAAGTCTGGTAGATGAAAGGACATGGCGAGTGGAAGATGATCACGGGGATTCCACGGTTTGGACTGATCACGATACGAGTCATCGAAATCGATCCAGAAGCAGAAAGGCCGGTACGCACTGCCTTTACCGTCGAAATCAATCTCGGTCAAGGATGGGTAGCCGCTCCATCCGCAGAAGCCATGTGGTACATCGCCGAGTATGGAAGCTTCGCCTCCGTCCGGGAACATGACGGCAATTGCTGACATGCATACTGCATCACTATTCCAGTCCTTGACAACTGCGAGCAATTAGCTGTGTTTTTCTCATCAAGGAGAGTTGACTTGCTGGAAGCAAGCTGGAGATACGCCGGCCGAACATTGTTGTTCTGTTCGATAGCGTAGTCGCGAAAACCACCTTCGGGCACCTGTCTATCGGGGTCAAGTGCCCACGCACCACCCAAGCTGTCCCCTCGCTCATCGTACAGGTTTGCCATGGGAAGTCTGCCCGCAAGACTGCTTTTCTCTCGATGTTCCCGGTTGGGGTCCATACCGACCCAGATACGCACCGTCGATGTCGTGGGTGTCTTGGGCCGCGTGTCTTGCCAGAGTCCCGCCATCGAGCTGAGGCCGCCACCGAGCCATCCGCCGAAGGTCACGCTCATGGGGATGAACCAGTTGAGGGGCATTAAACTCATGGTGGCGGTTAAAGTGACAGATATTGAACAATGTGGAGGTGAATGATCGCAGAGGTGAATGGTTGCAGAGGTGAATGGTCACAGAGGTGAATGGTTGCAGGTATGGATACTGCGCTCTGCTGTGCTTACTTGAGACAGGGAGGGTCGCAACAGCAACAAGAGGCCTACCTTAAGTAGTTGAGAACAGCAACCTTTCTGGGTGCGTAGCGGAGCATCTAACAGCTGCCTGGCAGAACTCTGGGTAGGCTGAAGATGAAGGTTGTGGTACGGGCTCTGTCTGCTGCGTAAAAGGTATTCACATCTCTGGAAACAACAATCGGCGCGGGCCGCCGATACTCGACGCCAGTTAAGACTCTGGACCACCTAAGTGAACATTGCCAGGCATCATCAGCTCAGGAAGAAATTTTCGTGTTGTGTCCCCTTTCAAGAACTCAAGTCGTTGGAGCCTCAGGCTCGGTCTGCCATATGCCATGGTCTAGCTCACAGTTTGATCAGAAGGCCGCAGTGCGTGAATCTTATCCGGAGTGCGTTTGGCTTGTGCCTGAAGAATACGTCAGCGGTGTGGTATCGACAGCCGCAACCAGAGATTCGAGGCTTCTGTCGGGCAACATGGCAGCCGCTGGAATTACGTCGAGGAAGACGCAGCGGGGGAGTCGCGTCGCAGGAACGGTGCCCTGAGCAGTCGCACCCGGAACAGCTGCACCGTAAGCAGCTATCCGTCGACGTGGGCGCGAGGAGACCTCATCCTCGGTCGCCCTCTGACCTGTATCTGGATCAGCTTCTCCGCGCACGTCTCAACAAGCTAGACACGACACCATCGTTTCGATCGAGAGGAAGTCACCGAAGGTGCCACTGGCATGTGTATAGCGTAGGTAAGTCGGGAACAATCTCTGGTGTCTGAATCGCGGCCAATACTTGAGGACTTTGTAGCACATAATCAGCGCCGCGCTGTCGCCCGAGAAGTATTCTGCGGCGCGCTCGTAGTTATTTGACTTCCTTTTCTACTCCTCTAGTGCAGCTTCATTCCTCGTCCAGCTCCGGATAGTGGCGATATATCCCCATACTGTACTTCAGCCTTCGATCACTCGCCAAGTACTCCTTGATCTTCGCCCGTCCCTTGACGCGCTCATACAGCGCCCACACCTTGCCATACTTCCCGCTCTCTCTCGCTGACTTGACGCACTTGGGGAACGCGAAGCTCACGCCATCTAGAGTCTGGAAGAGCACTAAATCGGCATAGCTCAGCTTCCCTCCATACAGATACTCGCCCCCCTGACTGGTCGGCGAGCCGAGGACGCGCTCAAAGTAGCCCAGAAATTTGGGGATGCGGTTTAGACGATAGTCGACTGCCCTGCGCAAAGCTTCGTCCTTCTGGTCTTCGTAGTACTCGCCAGATGCGATGGGGTGATGGGTGTCGTGCGCCTCGTTCGAGAAACCGTCCAGCGCGGTCAGCGTCAGTTGATTGATGTAGTAGATCCCCTCCGGATCTTCGCTTTGGTCTGGAACGAGACCCAGCCGCGGGCCCAGGTACAGCAGGATATTGGGCGTCTGACTGATGGTGAGGTCGCCGTGCCGAAGAATGGGCGGGGCGAGGTGAGGGGGACTGTGCGCGTTGCCCGTGTACTTGTCGGAAATTAGCGGGTAGGTCTCGCTGGCGCCGTTGTCATTGTGCGCCGCGTCCCAGTACTCGACGCCGGCTTCTTCGAAGGCGAGGCGGATGTGCTCGCCTCGGCCGGGAATGCCAGCATGGTATAAGAGCTCGTAGGGCTCGTTCTTTTGGCGCTTGGAAGATCGTGTGGTGGCCATTCCGGTGTTCCCTTCGCTGTACGACTGTACCAAGTGAACTGCTACAAGTCGACGACAAGAAAGATATAAGAACAGTGTCCGAGGATTGCAACAAACAAAATGTCGACTCGGGCGTCCCTGGTACCGCGTACCCGTACCACCTGTACCCTTGTTCCCCTCACATCAGCAACGACGGTCCAGGGGCCGAAATGGCGTAAGAATGGCGTAACCTGCGGGGACTCTGCCGCTAACGTGCCAAGCCTCGCAACAGCACCTCCGAAGCAGAACGAGAACGATGCCGACGCCAACCCGATCGGACAACGTAGTGTTCCTCCTGCCACATGCCATGACAAGACATGTTCCTCACGAGCAGCCACAGGCCACCCTCTGAGCCCTACGATGCCCTCCACCACCCCAGATACTAGTCCCCCTTCTCAGCCGCTCGCCGTCCTGACCGGCGGCGGCTCTCTTATCGTACGCAGATACAGCGACGCACAGAACGGGGGCTGGCGTCTGGAATGCGCGTGCGGACGAGGTGGTCCGGGGCGGGCGCATATGGTGAGGAGGACCGGGGTTTACCTTTTTTGTTTTTTTTAAAAACAACAAAAACAAGGGGGATCGTTTCGTTGGAGGTGGGGCTTGAAAATGTGGTTAGGTAGGCCACGGACGGAAGGAGGGAAGCAGAGAAGCAGAGAGGTGGCGGGACGAGGGTTCCGCTGGAGGAGCAGCTTTGGGACGTAGAACTGTCGTTGAGGGAGGTGTGCTGTCTTGCGCCTGTTCTGCTGTACGGCTATCGTAGGTTTGCATTGCATATAGGATGGGAGACAACGAAGGAATTTAAAACACCTCAAATGAAACGACAAATTATAGGAGAGAGACTTAAGACTCATACTCTATCCCAACGGCGGTCGACGGGTGTCCTTTGGAGTGATTGATCCTCGACTTTCTCCCGAATCCGGAAAATATGGCCGTCTTGCAGGAGGGAGAATCGCATCATTAGCACTTCAGGCAGCAAATGTGACCGTCCTGCCCACCTCAGCGACACAGGAAAAGCCGGAGTGCAAGGCTGTGATATCAAGGGGGAAAGGGGCACCTACAGATGCAGATGCAATTGAAAGGCCAGCGCCAAGCATGCTCGATCCTATCTCGCGAGTCGCTAGAGAGCCTTTCGAGTCAGCGAGAATGCCTCTCAGAGACCACAGTGCAGGACTACACACTCGCAGCCTAAAGGTGTCTCCCACGCTAGGCGTGGCCGATGGGGCTGTAGCTACAATGATGATGCGTTGATCACCTACAACACGAGAGGCGAGGACCCGCGAGATACACATCGATGTTGCCAGGCAAAAGGCAATCGCAGTTGTGGTTGCACTTGCAAATGCAGCCGAGCTCAGTCACTGAGTCAGTAGGACCGTGATTCTCACTGGACACCTTGCCCACCTCGTTCCCAACTTCACCGCCTCCTTCTCTAAGTGACGAAGTCCTGGCTCCCAAGAGATTCGGATCGCGTCACACACTTCCTGTCCGCCCCCAGCACTCAAACATTTTTCCATCTACCTTGGCTCTTGCAAGCCATCATTGTCGGGGTCAAAGGAAAATCTCACACCAAGCTTCCACGCAGAATCCATACCAGAAGTGAAAGCCTGTCCGAGAACGCTATCATCGTGGTCTCAGTATGGTCCAACGATGCCAAGGCCAACTACCGGCAAGACGGCGTGGCGCAGTATCGCCTTAAAACTTCACACAGGAGGACCTTGGAAGCCTATTTGGTAAGCTTTCATCTTCAGATTCTTGCCAGGTTTAACTTTGGCTCTCCCTTTTCCGCTCCCTGTTCAATGTGGCTCAAGGCTCCACAAAGGGGGCCCGCGCCGAATATGCAAGATCGTTGTGTCAGCATGAAAAACGTTGAAGAAATGGCCGGGGGGCCCATCGGAGACCCTTCGAGTGTCCAACTGCCGTCAACCCTCCACAAACAAAAGGCAGCCACTAACCAGAAGCAGCAATGGTCAGCGATCTTTTAGTTCATTCGTAAATGGTTCAGACTTCCGACAAAGTTTTGAAGGATGATGGTTTTTGGTCGTTCGTTGTTGATTTGATGCTATTGTTTTCTTTCTCAGGAACTCTTTATCGATCGTGCACATCGATCTCCACCAAGTCTGGGAAGGCTCGTTGATTCAATGCCGATCCACCTCATCTGGAATCCCGGATCTGGGTTTCTGGTTGGAAAGTTCTACGACTTCTTTCGAGATCCGAAAACGAGTCCGAGGCCGAGGTGGAGTGTCAAGATGCTGACACGCATGCGCTGCGTGTATGCACATCTCGGTATGGTAGCAGTATCTCTGAGTCATGGGCCATGACGCTTAATTTTACAAGCTTTGACGCCGCAATACCTGAGCAACTTAACCTTGTTCCGTCTCGCGGAGAAGAGCGGTTAAATAATGCGTGCGAGCAGCATATTGACTCAAGACGCTGGCGCACGCCGGGTGGGTAGACGAGACGCTGTTGTATGAGTATTGCTGTTGGTTGGGGGTTCTAGATGCTGCCGAGGAGCGTGTTCAGCATTAGACCTGCGGGAGGAAGTTCTATTTCCATTGACGTGTCTGTGGCGGCTGTCTGGAAGCAGAACCTTCGCTGAATCGATCTGGGTTTGACAAGGAGTAATGTTGAAAGTATCGCATAGATTGCTTCATGCTATGGCCAGCCTGTTGGCAGCGCTGAGATTGTGTAACCACACTGTAACTGTGGATCCCATCGCTGATAATGAGGCCAAAGGAAACATGGCTGTGCTGTGTCAAAGGTGTAAACGTTGCTCAGGAAGAACGACCTGGTCGCCAAGGCCGGACTATTGGAAGCGTAACCATAGTCTAGCACACCTGCCCCTTGGAGCATCAGCTACTTCGCAGTCAATGAACATGATTGCAACTGCAATTGCATCTCGCAGCCAATTTGTGTTCAGCAAGTGCGAACTGATCGATGTGAGGCGATATGCTTTGACATGAATGAAGCATCGGATCCGGTAAGCCGAATCTTTTGTCGCCGGACCAGGGAAAGGTTTGTCGGGTAAGGTGTTTAACGTGTACTGCAGCCGCCCATCACGTCGAACATAGCATCGGCCGAGTGTTAGAGAAGCACGATGACGCACTTGCCCCAGGTATCAACTTGGAAATGAGGCTGATGAAAGTTTGGACTGCACCAACGTAACAGCCCTGCAGTGGAGAGGCTGGGGATGTAGGGAAATTCAGAGGCCTATTGGCCTTTCAAGAGCCGGGCAGTGCAGCGTGAGACTCGCCAATAGAGTGAGCGCATAGGCCACGCCCCTTTTCCTTGTGCAAAGACTTCAAAATCAACAGGTAGGAAGTCCAACAGAACATTTAGCAAAGCCAATGTCACCGCCTGGAGCACGTCTGAGCGGATAAAGAGATATAATATGTCCCTCGAAAGTGCGCGATATGCCACATAGTCCCTGTAGCGCATGTAACGTAATGTGTCACCCCGACTCTGACCCTGGACAGCCGAGAAAGAGTTACAGGCACCTCAGCAGAGTCGCGCCGAAACATGCAGAGGGCAGCACCGTAGCCTATGCTCATTGACAAGCAATGAGGGCCTGCGCGAGCGGGACTTCATCTGTGGTTTTGGACATGCAAGGAAGGCCGATAGCCTTCTGGCTGTCCCAAATAGCTGGAAATATCCAAGACGCTGATGTGGTGGACTTTCGACCACCTGCCTCGACTTCGCTTGTCGCCGCATACCAGTCTTGGAATGCCAAAGAGCGTGCAATAAGAAGCATCGGATGCGTGATGCTAGGGAGCAGACTTCCATGGCTGCGACCAGGATCTCTAGACAAATTGCTCGTGACTGAAGGTTTCTCGCCACCCTGGTATTGATGCCTGTTGCTCGGTCCAGGTTGGGCGGCTAATCCGGATGCCTGCCGCTGCGTTCCATCGGAGGCCTTGCAATGCAGTAGTAACCCTCTGAGTGCGCCTAAGGCGAAGTTGAATTGTTTTCCACTCACGATAGGCTTTGGCAGGTGCGGCCAAAAAAATCACATGAACATCCTTCACCGTCATCGCATACCAGAAGCGATGTGATGTTGTCGAATGGAAGACCGCTCGGCTGATTGCTCTGTATGAATGCTATCGGTGGTTGCACCAGCAATGGTGGATTCGAAAGCGAACCTTCACATCCTGAGCACATGTTTCCACAATGCTAAGAAGTGGATGGCTGTCCATTAATGCCGAATGGAGATTTTCAATCTCGAAACAAGAGTCTCGATCGTTCTCCGACTGCTGTTCAGGGTGCCGCTTCAAAGGAGCGTGGACGCAGTCACAGGGTGGATGACAGTAGGGCTGCAATGCCTGCAGCGATGCTCTTTCGAAGAGAGCACTACTGACTTCTTCTGTTTGCTGAGTGTTCCGCAACGATGGGCAGGGCTGTCCTCAGCTTCGACTTGATGGAAAGCGAGTGAACAACATCATGGTGTCCTCGGGTGATCGGCGAGGTTGATGCTCGTCATGGTCGCTTGCGCTAGCCTAAGCGATCGACAGTGGTGGCTGCGACTGCCCATTTAGCCCGTTACAGCTGGACCATGGCACTTTGCTTCCAAGGTGCTGACCAGCACCAACTGTGTACGGAGCTACATTAGCTGAGTATCAAGTACTCTCATTCTGCGAGCCTGCAAGCCGTTGTCTCGATGGCGCTAAACCTAAGTAGGCAGTCGAAGACTTGACATAGCCCTAACTCGAAGGGTCGGGGGCTTGCGGACATGGCTGAGGATCTACAACTAAAAACGTTGCCCACGCGCACTATTTCTGAACAGAGTTTGTACTGCCGCCGTTGGGAACCCACAACCAAGGAAAACTGGATCCTGGTGCAATGGGCACATACGCTATGAAAGTCTTGAATTATAGATGGTTCGAATAATGCGACGTTGTTGCCGATTGGTAGCTACAAGTCCTGCAAGCGCTCGAGTCATACGAACCAGAGACTCCCAAACTCCTGACTCCAGGGCGGCTAAACGGCAGAAC